TAGTAATTTTTGGGACGGAAGAAATCCTCTTCAGTAGGCAACCGTGATTTAACTTAGAGGAACTTGGGGAAGTGAAGCGACCATGACCCTTCTGATGGCTCCCACTACCCTGTATTCTTTAACCTGGTCTAAGTGTTCAATGATTTATTTTATGGAATGGTAAAACGTATCTCATTAGCTCCTTCTGTACAGTAAAAATGCTGACAATTCAAGAAACCCATTATTGCAATTTCGACCCTACTGACAGTCTCATTGGGCGAGGTGAGCTATCTTTTAATGAAACCGCTGGAGTCCCGGGTACGTGGCTTCGAACCACACCGGCGCCGTCGCGATTTGAATTAGCCGACAGGGGATGGCGGAGACGGCCGTCTAGTAGATGGCTAACCTAGTTTTGTGTGTCGTGACGCTGTACATAAAAATTCTTGTCTGGCTAATGATGGTGACTGTCTCGTACAGTTTGGACGATCTAGTAAACTTACATATGCCTAAATGAGTAACAGGAAAGGCATATGCACAGGGGTGTGCTTTCAGACGTGTCTGTGTGGCTGATGGGGTCGTTGAGAGAAGGGAGGCTCTGTGAGGACACGTGACGTCAGTGTTTACGGACGTGCCTCAACATGATTCACCTCAAAACCTAAGCACTTCCTTTCAATGCCGTCCAACTTCAGCTATTTAAAGCCACCCTGCTGACGGTCGACAGCACTTTGATGACCATCGGAAAAAATCTATGGGTGATAGCTGTGAAATGATTTATATTGTCTCTGAGAAATCCAACCACTTTAAGTTTTATCAAGGCGGAAAGTCAAACGAATATAAGAAGCCTGGGAGCTACCCATCAGAAGAATCTGAGACATCATGTAAATGGTACCCTTGAACTTATGGCAACCAGGCGACAGAGGCACAAAATTGACTTTGTGTGCCAAGGCTTAACATTATAAACGGGGCGAGCTCATGGCGAATTGACTTGTGGACACTTTTTGACCTGCTTTTATACCTCATGCTTACTCCGTGTTGTATGAGGTATAAAAAGCCAGCCAACCCCCACTCTTTTTCAAGATTTAGCCCTGTAGACTCAAAGGGCTGATAGTTAACGGGGTTTTGCATGTGTCTTTCTATAAATTTCGCTGGGAAGACTCCTCCTGTGATAATCCATAGCCTGAGCTTTGTTTGATCCCCGATGCCGTCGGTAATGATTTTCTCTTATTTCAACCTCAACAACCTGGGCGGAAATATTCACTAGGTTCGGCATTTTAGTCTGCTGGCTGGAAAGTTTTTCTTCGCCTTTTTCGATTAATACTTGCAAAATCAAAATATATTTCTCAAAATAAACTGTATTCAGTCGTTCTGGACTCCTTCAAATACCTTAATTTGAACTTCAACATGATCTGGCTAAGCATATTTACCTGTTCTATCGACACCAACTTTGTCATTGGCAGCTGTGAATAAAAAAATGAAAAATTGAATGCGTTCTCTAAATTTATAAAGTTAGCTTAATAACCAGAAATGTCGTGAACAACACGAGGATAGAATTTCGACCATCACCAAGACCATAATTTTCCTGTCAGTTAGTAATGTCCATCGTCGGAAAAATCTAATTAACAAAATACCCCAAAATTTTCGGGGGAAAACATTTAAAAATTAACCACTTGCCTCGGTGGTCATCTTTATTTGCATCAGGATTAAGCTCCACGCTTACTGATTCTTAAATTTAAACAGCCGCATGTAAAAATTGCCACTCTTGGCAGGTGACAGATTTTTTTAACTAAAATCATTGTCATTAGTGTCAGCGTTAAACACGAATCCACCACAAAGAGGTGTAACGTTTTGAGCACACTGCGTCGATTGTAGATGCGGAAGCCGCAACCACATTCACGCATTCGGGCGCACGTAGCGCACAAACCCCAGTTTGTCCTTTTGCATGCACCAGTACCCGTTAATGAAGCAGCGTTGGAGCATCATTTGTGGGCAATAAAGACGCACAGAACAGCGAATTACTCCCGATAATGACATTTCGTGCACCTTTGGTTGCTCGAAATCAGGTAAATCCGAATAATCAGCAAATTATTTAACCATCCTGGAGCAAGCATGGTGAGACACTCAAATACGATGCGCTTTCAGAGGTACAAGCAGTAATTATAACAATGACCCTTTGAGTGCCATAGAACCTAGCCGAGAAGACGGGCGGTTCGGCTATGCGTCCGCGACGCTGTATTTAGAGCAGTGCTGTTAATCGTGTTTATTCACAGTCCTTAATCCGGCCGCTCCAGCCTCCGACACAGGGTTCCTCTCTTCGCAGCATGTCGAGAGCCGCGCGGATCCTCAACTCCTCCCTCATCCCCCCCTTCCCCCTCTTTGATTATCCTCACACCCACATCTAGACGTTAGCGCATGTATGACTCACACATCTGAGGTATAAATACACACACGCATACGCCACTTTTGACACAACGACACCAGTTTTGGTTGAGCTCTGAAGTAAACAGTTGTGTCCACGTCCTCTCCGGTCTTTTTCTCCGCCGCGGGTATCAGGGAAGAGTAATCGGGCCAGAGTTAATTCAGTAGCCCCGGCGTGGTTCAAGACCACATGCTAGGGCCCACAAGAACAGCAATGACACGTAGACCGGCGTTGCTGCAAATTTAACTAATAGCGTATTTCAAAAGGCCTTGACGGCTTGTGACTGAGAGTCCATTTGAAAAATGGCTCTTAGACTTGAAAGTTTGTCTAATTGTATATGTACTAATTATTTCGGATAGTATTTTGGTACATGATAGACGTCGATATACATGTAGTTCTGGCAATTTTCAGCATTCTGACGAGGTATTTTCAGAAGCCTACCACTGGACACATAACCCGTGTCGTTGCCATGAGAAAAAAAAGCACTTTCCTCATTTACACTTAAATTTATCTTTTCTCCTTTTGCTAAATTTCAGAAATTAAATTAGACTTAATTACTAAATATTTCTTTGTGATTGCCAGCGTCTCATAGAGGCATAATGAAAATAACGTTGGCGAGCAATGTTTAACGTCTAGCTAACCAGCTAGTGGAAATAGAATTTTGTCCGTCTGCAACCTTATTCATACTGACTACCTCAAATATATCAACGGAATAAACTTCGACATTGCTGCGGACCGTGGAGACAAGCCAGCGCTTCGGGATGGGTGGAACTCAAGACCGGGGCAAGCGCCTCAGACACGAAAATTCACACTGCCCAAATTGGGTTAAGTAAAGACCATTCGAGCGACGTGCTTGGCAGACAACAGTCCGTTTCTTTGTCAAATAAACGGCCAGCGTTTACGCTGAGGTTATAAATAGCTATTCCAAACTTTACGGATGCATAAATTTACGCAGCATATAGCTGATGAAATCCGTTCATGCCTTGACTGGCGTGATTTAGTACGTGCTTACGTCAACGAGGAAGCTTTGTAATCAACCGTTTAAGAAATACAAAGCCGATTTGACAAATAAATACATTTCGTTGCGATGTAAATGCATATTCTAATAAGACAAACACTCCGTGACTACCTGCTTGTGAAGGCTGCTTACTCGTCATACATCTGTGAATATTCCAGATAATTTTTTGCTTTCCCATCGTATAACCAAGGGCACCTTCGTCTCTTCGCAAACTCTACCCTCCGCAGCGAAGGAAAAAAGTGTGTCCTGCGGTCTGTGCGCGGAGGTTCGCTATGGCTGCTGAGGCAACCTCTCAAAAATGGCTAACCCAAGTGAGGTCGGATGATTCACCTGCTATCAAAGTGCGGCCAAAGCCTGCAGTGTGCTCTCTAGGAGTAGGGGAGCAAAGGCGTGAAATTTAACGTTTTGCCAGTGGACGGTAGATTGTCACCAACAGTACTTGGAAAAATTGGGGATCGAAATTCGGTGCTGCTACATACTGGGCAACCTCTCATCAACCTACCATTATTCCCACTTTATTTTCGAGTCTTTATACTAGCAAATAGACTAAGGTGAAAATGTGTAGTTGAAATGTGATTCATACAAATTCAAAGATGATCGATCGCCTAAATTATGCTATTAAGAGGTCAAGGGAAAGGAGGCAGCCACTGCAAGTACCTCTAGGTCTATGTTCTTCAGCTTTCGGGGCAAACGTTCCCGGGAGCCAAAGACAAATGGTTTTGTTCAAGGCAAATCCTTCCAATGAGTTTTAGCTCTGGCAGGAAAGCTTCTCGCTGACGAACCCTTTCGCCCAGGCTCGTGCCCCGAGACGAAGACGGTTGTCGACACGATAAGTGTAGGACATCCTTGATAATAGTTAAGTGCGAAAATGAGGATCAAGCCTTTCGAGAGGCTTCGGATCAACAGAGACGCCAAATGAATGCCATACCCAACACGATAAAACGGTGCCCAACCACTTGACTGCATCTTCATGAGAAGGGGGAACGTTTGATTTGCTCACAGTCGCAGCAGAGAATTCCAGGTTCAAACGAGTTTAGCCACGGCTGCTCTCCTGCGATTCCACATACACACGCAAAAAGGGAAATTAATAAGATGTGCACTGGAGTCGATATACGCGCCATCTTTACCAAGGAAAATCCTGTGTCGGTCGAGTACGTCGATTTTGGAAATAACGCCCACGCACAGACTAGTCAAGAACCTGACCTGTAAACACAGGCTCTCTACAGAATTTGATTTGTTTAACAGACACAATGTAGGATAAAACACCCAGGGAACCTGTTTTGATGATCGCATAAAAGCACACTCTTGACAACCGCCTACCGGCGAAAATACTTGCTGCTACTTGCCAAATAGTAGACACTCGTATTGAGGGCATCAGTAGTGATAACACGGGCCCCGCAAAAAGGGAGCAGCCACGCCCAATGCAAAGAAACTCCACTTATTTAAGAAAAAGCTTAAAAAACTGAAAACCGGAAACCTCTAATAATTTATTCCAAATTCGATGTTGGCTGCCACGCGTAAGATTGACTTGATAGAGCAAAACACACGCAGATAGCGAAGAAAGCAACTAGTGTAGGTCAAACACGACTAAATGGCCTTTTGATAGATACAAGCGGAGGCAGAAGAAGCATCGCGGAAGCCCAATGACCGAGTCCAAACCCGCAGTCGTTCAACCTCACCGTCAATAAAATGCCTTACCTTGGAACAGCGATGATTTACGCAACCAGGACAGCGTAAAAAGAATTGCTTTGAAGCTGGCTCGCCTTCACGCAAATGGGCTACAACCAGATTGGCCATGCCCTAAAATGCAACGTGACACTTTAAAATCCGCCATTCGGCAAGCGATCGATCCTCGGATGATCCTTACAATAAGAAATAGGCATTTAGTGAAGAGTTCGTCCAAAACTAACAAGAGTTTAATATTGGAACGTGAAGCGGAGAGACCACCAATCCTTCGTTTTAGGCCTTAATTTGCCATTAATGGACGCCCACAAAAAGCCGGACAAGAAAAAATAGTTAACGAGAAATATTTACATTAGCAAGTACCTTACGTGCTCATGATACCTGAATTCTAACACAAAAGTTACAATACCGCCTATGCAGTTCTTATTTGGGTGGCCACAGACTAGCCAGGAATGGTGTTCGGATACTAGATAGAGAAAGATGCAAACTTCAAACCAATCATGCTAAGGAATAACGAATTCGATCTTACTAAGTTGAAAAGCACTTTTCTAACACACACGTTACGATTAATCATTCGTGACCTCGGCGTTCACCTATGAACGCACCAACCTGTTTATACATTCACACGAACACTAGCGTGGTACTGTCAATACTCATGTCCTATGAAATACCTATGTAGTGCTAAAACGATGCAATTAATACTAGTGGGTTAACAAGTGGTGGCACGCTGATTCCTGTTTTATTTATACCAATGGGATTTCACCAACAGACATAGACTCTGGTTCAACTTAATACAAAAGGCTTGAGGCCTGGTGACAAGTTTGCTGCATTCCGTAGAACTGTAACCCTCATGTTACTAGCTTCTGAGGGCTTGATAATTCACCAATTTGAGTTTAGTGCGGATTTCATCCTGTGTTAGGAGCAACAATCACGTCGTCGGAGCTGAACTGAATTCAGCAGGTAACTTAGATGTCTCTTGATGGTCCCTACTACTAACTGACCTTCAATTGTTTATATTTTCTGCCGCATTTTTTACCTTGGAACTTTCTTCTATGTATGAAAAACTTAACTAGGAAATTCATGCGTAAAACGCCCTAAGGCTTTTGCTAGGCTCATCATAGAAGACTGGATTCGTTTTCATATATCTAGTTAGACCTGACAATTCTTCAACGATTGTATTTCCCACCGGAACACAATAAGAACAGAATCACAGAACTTATTATAAGGTCATACTAGATTTTCAAAAACTGTAAATAATTATTTACACTGTCGAAATTTATCTGTTAATTATAGCACAGAAATATACACTTTCATAAGTCAACTTTACATTGACCAATAATCGCCAAACGCGATCACAGTTGCTGCCAACATCAACAATGCCTTCAAGTGTCTTAAGTCAATTCACAAGCTCGAGTGTTATGCACTTTACATTAAACAACTTTGAAAGCATACCTGGATAAAGAGTGGATTATCATTGGGTGCAGCAGCCCTTCTGAGATTCACCATCCCGATTTCTTTGGCCAGATCGGCACAATATTCAATATCGAGTTCGTACAAAGTCTCGATGTGGTCGGAGGTGAAGGCAACCGGAACGATAATGGCATGCTTTCGCCCGAGCCGTGCCAGGCCACGCAAGGCATCTGCTATGTCCTGGCCCATCCAAGGCAACGGGCCGACCTTTGATTGCCATACTAAGCGATAGGGAAATGCAAAATCAAGCCGTTTCATCACTGTGTAGACGGTAGCTGATATCTCCTGAAAAATGAAAGTAGAACAGCTCATTTGCCTAAAGTGCTTAAAAATCTGACCTAAAATAAGTTGCAGCTGCATCACCACCGGTGTTAATCGACAACGTCACGAAGCAAACCACCCACATTCCAAGAGCTTCAGGCGAATTGAATAAAATAGACATCTCAACAACGGCTCCCCAAATAATGGCCTTGACTCAATAAACACCATTTAGGGGGTTATAACGAGTTTGGCATCGTTTTCATAACATTAACAATGTTGATCATTAATTAGAATTTGCATTTTTTTATATTCATGATTCCCTAAGTTCTCTATTAAGCTGGCAACATTATAATTTATATGCAGTTCGAAGCGTACTAATTTGACATAGCAAAGACATGCGCTTAATTGCGATTACCAAAAACACACCTGAACGTACGGGTCCCCGCGATTTACAATCGACATAGGGAGAGAGTGAGCGCTAAAAAGAATGACGGTATTTTTACTGTCAAAGGGCGGAGGCATCTGGGATAATTCACGTCGAATGCTTTCGGCCAAAACCTCCGAGAATTCCGGCATGGACGTCGACCAACGATCGAGGAATGACCAAATTGGACCAGGACGAACAGGAAGGCCACCAGCCTGGGACCTCGGTGGAGGTATGGAATCAATACCTGCAAGGCCACCACGCACCGGTGAATTGTAGTGGGCAGCGATAGCGTTGAAGCTGCTACCAGATGTGGTGCAACTGTACTGAGGATATTGACTAAACGCGACTACACGTTCTACTCCATCACTAAAATCCAAAAACCGAAATGACATGTTACACAAAAAAGAAGTAAAAGTCTTCCAGCGGATTATAACTTCTTACGCTTCTATATCGTTGATAGACTCCTCGGTTAGAGGGTGAGCATACCGCATACCCAGGTAGTACTTATGAGGGCCTAAGTCTAAGTAAATTTAATCACATCAAACCTGTTTCGGGGCTGATTGTGTCTAACATCCTCACGAGAGCCTTGCCTTGAGAGATGGTCCATTGTATAAGTGGTGAACCGCCACCAATCTGAGTGTACATCTCCTGCATAACAGGAGTGCGGCGTCGAGCAATCCATTGAGCGAGATACTTCTGGAGAGGCAATTTGATAATTTCTCGATCGGAAAATAGCCGCAGAAGAAAATGGAAAACATCATTCGTGGTTTCTGGACCACCCATATTGAGCAGTAGAATTCCTGTTTTCGGTCTAATGATTTTCATTTTATAAAAAAAATCGAGCAAACACACTTTTGTGTACTAGTATGCAACAGCCTGGCCCAATTAAAATTAAAGGTGGAACAATAGAGTTTTACTTTGTCCATAGATAAATTTGTATCTGCAGGTCAAAATACACTGGCTATTAATGCACTCTTGTTCACCAATTACACGACAACGTAATGATCAACATCATTTTAGTTGATCGGTGCAATCAAGATGCAGCAGTTGATAAACTTAACTGCTATTTTTGCAATAAACATTTACTTCATTAAATACGTTTTACACTTCATTGCTTCATAACTAGGTCTCACTAAAATATGACACCTTTGTGGTCATTTCACAGAGGTAAAAGAGAAGTATTTTGATAATTATGGATTTATTGGAGCTCTATAGACAAAAAATGCAATCGCCATGATCTGCCAATAGCATAAAATTGGGCTAATGCCAACCATGAGCCCAAAGCTAACGTGCACAGAGCCTTTTTTCCATTTAAAAGTTTAAAATTTTGAATTTCATTGCGTAAATAATTTTCGAGAAGTGATATTCTTCAGAGTAGTTATGGGGATTTGGTGATAGATGCTAATGTTCTGAATTTAGAATTCGTGTGCTGAGGCAAGCTAACTGAGTCAAATAAATTACAATATTTATCTCATTTTATTCTTAAATTCAACGTTACATCGACCTACAAGGTGAAAACTTTGTTTAAGAACATTGTTTTTGATTGGAATATTTGCAGACCTTGGAGAACGATACCATATTTCTATTGTACACAGGCTAAAGGTCAGAGACAATTTTAACAGCCAAATATGCTAATAGGAGATTCAAAGTGTTTACGGACAAACGAGTGAAGGTATGATAGTATGACCCCGAAACCGACATTGAAACCTTATCATCTTTCCCCATTTATGCCTTCACCAATGCCTCTTAACATTAAGCTCTCTGGTGTTATATATAGTAGGCCTATAAAATATGTCAGACCAGCGCACCTCACTAAAGGAGGAATCACGTTCAAGCCGTTTGAAACCTCAAGCTGTGCTTACTATTAGCTTATGCAACTCTCTTTCAGAATAACCAAACCGATTTAACATTGAATAAGAATTAAGATATATACCTGATGCATTATAGCCCACATTACCCGGAATATTTCCAAAACAGCCTTTCATTACTTCCAAAATCCAATTCAAGTTCAAACTAATATTTTAATTAAATGTTTAACATATTTTTAAAAAATTAACAAAGATGTGCGAATGTAGATCACAAGGACCTCCCCAAGTATGGCCAAAATCTAAGTACTGTTATTTACTTTTTAGTAAACACTTTAATACATCAGTTTTAAAAATTGAGTGAGGCCTGTATGCAGTGGTAGAGAAAGAACAGAAAAATATATATAAGAAAAACTTAAAGAGATTTAAGTTGCGGAAGTTACGTGACCTAGTGGCTGCCCGACACGAACTCTGTCAGCTTGTCTCACAGAGAACTCGAATTCTTCTGGTGCTTCAAATATGAGAACTATTGTGGAACCGAAATTAAACTCTCCAAAAAGCTCTCCTTTTGTTGCGGCTATTGGATCGGGAAAGTGAACGTCCTCGTATCCACCCATCTTCATAATCACAGGCATTGAACCACGCTCGAGACTAGAGGCGGAATCGTCTCTGTTGACTTTGACACCTCGTCGGGAAGAAAAGAGGTAGCGCAGGTAGCCCGGCAGCCGATTCGTAACAAGATCTGGGTCAGAGAAAACATGAATGCTGCCAACATTGGTGGCGCCTACAGCCACGAAGGCGAAAAACCCATACATCCAGTTACCCATGTACACAGCCCTTTCATTGATACAAAACACGCCATTCAGCCAGCTTGTCACAAGAGAGCACACTGAAAAGAGACGACCTAAAAATGAACCAAGCAAACGCACTTAGAGATATTTCCTTTAAATTCTTCAAGGAACTTTTTCTTAAACGAATTGTAATTTAATATGGAAACTGGCAAATAAACCATGGTTCACAATCGTTAACTTAACTTCACAATGTGCCTACATCATAATCGACGTAAGTTTTAAAACCTGCCCCATTAAAGTCTCAAAATATTGATCGTCTAGCTTAGGTTGCGTAAGTGCACGATAACTGCGTAACACACTAACATGCCCTTCTGTCTAACGACTAGACAACTTGCATTGACTGTGACTGCACCTCGATAGACACGCAACCACTTGACGACCTTTAGTTGGGTTTATTGGTAGGTCTTACGCACATGCACGTTAAAAAACAGCAAATTCACTTCACTTGCACACAACGAGGATGTTACGCAAATTAGCATTCCCATGGATCTACGTGCGAATAAAATTGACATTATATATATTTTATCTTTATTTTTGCGTTCACTGACACCTGTCGACCACCCCTATCCATCTTACTGGATCATTTACCTCCGTATTTATCGCACGAGACGTACCTGAGTGGACGCGTGTGGACATGTTTTCTGTGGGGAAAGTAGTGGGTTGTACTAAACAAGGGATTTGCGCATCGGTACGCAATATGTGCGTGTGCTTTTGATCACCAGGAAACTTTGCAAAGTGGTTCATGCGGGTCTATAAGTGTAGACTTTAATGTCCGTGCAAGTAATGGGGCACTGCTGAGGATGCGATTAAGACCAATCGCGCAGGTGTCGGTTGGGGCGAATGCTCTAGTATCAAATTCCATTAATGAAACGTCGGCCGTCCAAGTTGAGCCAACGCCTAAGGACACAACAGTTATGTTGCAAAGCCCAAGCTTCTGATAGTGAGTAACAATTAGCCATGATATTACCGATATTTTGGGGTTAAAAAATGTTTGCAAGAAAATCAAGATAATTGAAATATCGCCAAAATCTAAAGCTAGTAATGAAACAAACATTTACCAGCGACATTTTAAAATGAGAGGGCACTATTTAATGTCGTTAATATGAACGCAGATGAATCGTTCAATGAAATCGGTTTCATGGCAATAGAAAGACGGATGACGCTTGCTTGGATCAAAGTTGATTTCTAAGATATCCTCAATTTTAAAAACATACCACTCCACCGGATAAATTTACCATGACATGGGCTCATTTCGACAAAAGGTGGCTAGAAAATAAGCAGTGCACCGATTGAGTTCATTGTTCTGAAAAAAATGCATCTTTCTTAACGTATCTGAGGCTACCTTACCTTAACCCAACTTGAAACTGGAAAATCTTATTACGCTAAAGTGCCAGGACCTCACTCTCGCCAGTTGATCATAACTGCGTTTAAGAATTATTTGCCCGCACTTAAGTTGTCACATCAAACTCAATCCCCTGAACAGATAACACCACATTCGGTAAATGCATTAGCCAATGAATGCCGGAGCTAAAATTGTTTTGTAGTTTGTTAAAGTCATTGATGCCTTACGAAAGTGTGTCATTTGCAATTAAAGTAAAAAAATCATCTTAAAATAGCTTTTTTACCCTTTTATCAGATTTCGATGACAAGCAAGTGTAAATGAATGGCCATTGAGAGGGTAAATTAGAATTTAAGAAACGGCTGCCATTACAGCAAGTGTCCACCGTAAACATTTTTAAGCCACGATGAACACACATCGGTCAAATGTGGAATGCTTCGTACGATTCGCGACACTTTCCTCGTAAATGAAGCCTAAAAATTCCATTACCCATTATCCAATACATCGCAAAAACTTGGATATAGACGAGTGTGCACAAGAAATCATCAAACCTAGACTGAGTAAAGCCAAAATGAGTGCACGTGTCCAAGAGATTGCAATTCTTGAAATTCGACCACAATGATTAGTCGCAGAAAGCACTGTGACAATTTATTTTTGAGAACGTAAAGATGAGGAAAAAGACCCGAATATGAATATCTCTTGAAGAAACCTGCAAACATTAATATTCCAGTACACGAGTAACCATAATATGTCGGCATTATTTGACCTGGAATCTATTTTCTTCTATTTGAGCGAAATGTTCTGCATTGGCTGCATGATGGTTTGTCAAGAAAACAATCCGGTAGTACACACTTCAGATAAACGCTAAAGGCGATTGAATGACAACTAGAGAACTACCAGGCAAGCTCCTTATTTAACATGTTCAGTTTCTTTACTGACACTATGGCTTTACCACCTATACACACAGTCACACCGATCCCATTGAGGAAGTTGACCATTTGATTAATAAACAGAATTAAACACGTTCCAAGATTCTGATCATTACCCGGAAAGTGTCGCCTCATGTCGATTTTCCAGTCGGCTGGTGAATGGAAGCAATGATAGTCACCGGGAGCGAGGTAAATGGCGCAGTGGTAAAGGACATTTGTGAAGGAAGGGGGGTGTGAGGACGGCACTGCATCCTCTCCATGATCCAAAGTGTCCAGTCGGGAGGGCAGAGTCATGGCGCGTCGCACACCAGGCTCAAACTGCTTACCAAGACGGGCGTGAGGGCCGAGGAGGGCGCGCAGCGTGTAAGCGAGACCCTTCACTTGCTCCAAATGCCCCTCTCTGACTCGGCCACAAGAAATCACTTTGCCGTCAGCTGGGCTTGTCTGTAGCGCAAACACAACATCGGATTCGTGACGTCACTTAAAATATATTATGCTATATTCATAAAAATACACTATATAAGATCGAACGGGTGTTGCAGATGGCAGGATTCCTGCCTGTTTCTACCTACGTGACGTAAACAGCAAACAGAATGAGCTGGCGTTGACAAAATAAAAATCCAAGTTTACACTGGGACTAATTGAAACGAAGAAAACAAAGTGCCAAGTATTTACGGGGATTTCAATTTTTCACTGGAGTGCAATGTTTTCCAGTCGTGGTTTCACACAAAATAATTTAATACAAAACTTCCTGAAGGTCTTGTTCTCCTGTGCAAAAAACTGTCATGTCTTCATATTAGACCATGTTGTTTGCAGCCTACACACTCGGTGCTCCCTTGGTAACGAGGGAAACTGCGGCACAACGCAGCTAAAAGCGGCCAATTTAGTGGATCTGGTGAATGCGTCTAGCTGTTCGCATATTTCAAAAGAAAACCGCCTTTAAAAGGTCGGCAAGCGCCAGCCTTTGTACAAATTTTTGATTTTCTAACTAAAAGGAGCTCTTTCAAGGCAGGATCAGATCTCATTTTCCTGCACAAAATAGTCCCAATTATAGAAACCAAAGTTGGAAAATACGGAGAAGCAAACAGCTTAGCTGCTAGGGCTATCAACTAAATGCGGCGAAGGAAAGTACTATGTTAAGTAGAAAACCAAGCGCAATCAAGAGAAATCAGGGGAGAAACTTAAAAGAATGTGATAACTTCCTTGTGGAAAACAAACTGCTGCCAATGCCAAAAACATCCAAAATGCACAAACAGAGACAGAATCTGCTGCAGAAGGTGAACGGATAGAGGCAACCTCGTGCGCAGATCTGAATATTTCAATTTGGCCGAGGTTAAGTTAAAAAGACGCACAAGTGAATTTTAGATTCACTTTATTTACCAACAACACGGGCAGTGCAATTTCACGTTCTGATTTCTGCAACCTATCCATGGGGAACTTTGTGACGCCATGTTTGTCTAATGCAACAGCTCCGACTTAATTAAGTCCAATTACCTTTTTATATTCAGCCACCGAAATAAACCAAGACGATGCATAAGCTTTTCGCAAAAGAATTCGATTACATGGATCACCCCGTCATTCATCGCCGAACTATGACTAAGGCATGATAAAGAGAGCCTAATTGACCAGAAAGAAGGCCCCCTATCTGCATTGATTCCTACTCTATTGCCCTCTCTTTGCAAAATGGATGATCTTTTGGTTTAGAGCGGCAGTTTTCCCATTATCATTGGATTAGCAATGGACCCGCCATGTCCCAGAACAGTTTTGGTAGTTCGCATGAATTAAGCAAGCCAATGAATGCACCTTGAATCCAATAGAACGAAGACCCACAGCCAGCATCACTAGCACGTTACTGAATATCTTACTTTAAACATGGATCAATTGTTGACGTAAGTTACACCAAATGATGATGATGAGGAAGAGGAGGAGGAAACGACAACACAAAATCCGATATTCCGTGATTTAAAGCGCTAAACCAATCAATTATCTCTGAGTGAAATACTGGTACTTGTGTTTGTCATAAAGACCTTATTCCAATTAATTTAGCGTAATGGGACTTCACATATTTAGAAATATTTAAGAAAACGGTGCAGTTTTTTTATTCGCGAATATCCCAAACTACGACCGATTTAGAATGTGAAAGAATAAACAATAACCAGCAGATTACTTAGACCGGATATGCACAAACAGATACACGCAAGCCAAATGCAAGACGTGACGTAAGCCAATGGTTTGTTTACCAAATCCGACATTTAAGAGGCGACAAAGACGAAACTTCGTGAGCGAAACTGACAGACAATCGTTCAGACCCCCAAGATTATATCTCAGTACGAAATTTAAGGCAAAAAGGCGTCCACACATTCAACAACACTGATCTTGTCGTAGAAAGCACTCGAACGCTAGGCCCCGCGGTTTTAACCGTTTCAGGATGGTGGGGGCAAGTAAGTGGACCCACTCCCCCCCCCCACAGCCGTGTACTTGAAATGCACGCCAGTATGCTTCGTGCTATGACCGACGCTAAAAACCGGATAAAGTGAGACAGCCAGGCACATCCTCAGTACACCTCAAAAACAAAAATTACTTCATAAAACTGGATCTATGCGTATAGTTCATTTCCTCGCCAACACCCGTCACACTTCCCTCTTGGTTAAAAATTACTCATTATCCTGGCGGATACTTTAAATTATGGAAACGTTGTTTTTTTGCGGCTGATAATTTTGCTAATTACTACAACAGTAGAGTTCTCCATGGTCTGCCTTGGGACGAACTGACGTCGCGCAAAAGTACAAATGGGCAATGCGATTCAGTAGCAGTGGGAAAGAAAGACTTGCTTTGATAAGGTCGTGGTCTCGTCATCATGTTCTACTCAGAATCTCGTTTCGAATAAATAGCAGGTAGAGAGGTGATCAAACAGTCCCCACTTCATGGCAGGCGATCACTGCTGAAAACACAACTAGTAATCAATGTCATTAACATGACCTTGGCATATTTGGAAATTCCATGGAATAATTTTTACCATTTCCCCACAACAATGTGCTCTTTTCTTGAGTATTTGCACATTAAAATAAGATGAAAAAAAGTGGAAAATTTATAGATACACTCGCTACATTGCTGTCATCGATGTGCACAACCTTCCCGCAGCTGATACCAAAAACACAGTCGTGAACTCTGGCGTATGTGTACCGCTGTACGCAGAGGTAGTACTCATGAAAATGAAGCGCGCGATCAGCCATCGTGGTTGAACCGCCTCGAGAGTTTACGAAGGCACCGGTGGTCACAAACAGGTAACACCAGTTTCTAACTAGAATCAACAGCTTTGGGCAGATAAAATGACTTCCTGCCCTGAATAATTCAGTTTCACTAATTTTTATTTGCAAAATTTCAGACCACAACTGGTAATGTGAGTGTATTGGAATTAGTAATAACGGGTGCTGAGAAGACTTATGTTGTGGCAATTGCTGTCAATTGGCACTTATGAATGACGTTCTCATGTCACATCCCAAACCGCATTTTCAGGGTAACTGTCCATATACGCTAAACAAACCAGCGACGGGGCCAATACCACCTGCCGCACTGATATAAGTGTTCAACACAACCTAAATGCTTTAAAATCTGTTGCCATATCGTCGACTATGTCGAGAAGGGAGAAGAGATGATAAAGTTGCTTTTACACAAATGGACTTACAGAAACGTCACACTAATCCAGAATAATTCTAATCACCGTCAAATTACTAGAGAGGTTCTTCAAATTGAAAAGATCACCCGCTATCACTAAGTATAAGATATGAGGGCACCCCCAAATATGAAACAATTAATCATAGACTTCCACGAAAATCGACGAAGTTAAGTCTATTTTACATTCTGTTAAGGCCATAGCTATTGGCAGATAATCAAATAAAACGACTAGAAACGCAAAGTATTCTGAACATTCTAAATGGTTGAATCCATAAAATTTCTTGGCTGAGTGTGCTAAACACGAACACCAGTCACTTTAAGAACGGAGACAAGTTCCCATGAGTGTTATCAAACGTAAACTAATTTCATGGTTATTAGTGGACTTAGCTTGTTCGTTGGCACATTAGCTCTAAAATGTGCCCCACAAACCTGCAAGTATTTACCATCATTGAATAGGCAGTTGAGGGGTGATCTGCATGTGTGAATGTTATGAATCCCACTCGCGAAGATTACTATTTTGTTAACTTAGTGACATTTAATCAAGCATTTACTACTTATGTAATAATGCAGAGCTCAAAAAGGCATCACAAACGCGTACACGAGGGTAAATGAACGGACATGTACATTGACCCAACGGCCCTGTTGCTCCCTGAAGTTGAACTAGCAGATCCACAACACAGCAATAACCAAGGTAGCTAATCATCAAGAGGAATCACGACAACAAATATCCGATGGTTTTGAATGTGCACGTTTGGGTGAGCGATGTTGGACAAAAGTGAGTGATTAGAATTCACCGGACGCAGCAGTGGCATTGGGGGAATCGATCGGTTGAAAAGGTTTAGCCAGCCATGAATTAACGCCGCAACACGCAGGTCAACGCCTTTTCGTGCCATGCATCAGAAATTATGACAGTTTTTTGCTAGCACAAAAAAAATTCTACTGATTGGTCAAGTTCCGCCCATAAGCACACAATTCGCATAGGGCTGACGTACAAACTGAACTCCTGTACGCTAGTCTTAAAATTGCTGCCTTTTAAAAAGGTTTGGGAAAAATTAAAAGAGCGTCGAGAAGTCCCTTAGTCGAAAAATTGCGTAGCTTTCTGCAGGTAAGCTCGTGAAAAAGCAACGACAATTGATCCAATGTTAAATTAAATAGTAGAACAGTTCACAAAAAAACTCTTGATTAGACCAATTATCCTTCTCATATTAATTACTTCAACTAAGAACAACCAGATTAGTTTGGAGAGTGGTTCCGATGTGCTACACAAAGGTTTAGAGTTTGTCGTGCAAAATAGTAATGATCCACGAGAAACACAAAAACACTTGCAAAGATAGCGGATCTAGTGAATGAAAAATTACCTAATCTCAGTTGGCGAATGCACACATGAAAATCGTCTGACGCTCAATAATTTAGCCCAAAGTAGACACATTTACAACTGTACCAAGGGGAAGTTAGACCCTGTAAGATTGTAGGGGACCGCCATATCGTCATTTTTTTGTCGTGTCACCTGCCTTTGTAAGCAGTCATGAAAAACCTCACTAACGCTCTTTGCTCACAAATTCGATTAGTTGACTTCATTTCAAATTTTGAGTGTGGATTTTGATACGTTGACTGGCTCAATTAGAGCGTCAGACGCAAACAGTAAATCTAGCGGGCGAATGAACGGGCGTGTCGTGTCGCTTCTTCACTTCTCTCACTGAAAATGGCTTTTACATTACTATAATAAACGAACGTTGGAGAATCCCATTAAAAGGAAGAATTATGATGGAAGCCTTAAAGTGATATGCATTTATTTATTTAATTTTTTTATTATCAGGATCGTTATATCGTCACAGAGATGCTTTTGGATCCTTAACATAAATTAATTGAAGCAAAAGAACAATCAACACAATCAAGAAAGGAGACAAAAAATCTTTTTTTGATTTCCCACACACCTGTAGCTAATGCTGCTTGAAGGATAACACATGTTTGACACAAAATGAAACGGAGGCATCCAAGAAATTGAGCCTATTTTAAGTCGGTTCTCAAAGCCTCGCTAAGGTTGGCCCACCTTATTAAAAAGCGCGAACACAGTCCAAATGGACACTAACGTAAAGGCTTAACAAACCATCAGATTCGGTAAAACATTTTTAATAAGACAAATGCATTGATCAATAAAAACTAATGATTAGATTAAAACTGCATCAACACTCCGCATATCGCTGTTTTTTTCGGCGAAACATTTACCCAATCAATAAGACGATGGGCCATGACACCAAAATTAGACGTTATTAAAGGGTACTTTTGAGGGGAAATGTTCCAAGTGATTCGCAAAGCCTTGTCACGGTGTGAATTGTTAGCGCAAGAGATCTACATGAAGTAGAACAATAATACAACAACCAACTTCCACTATGATAATGACGGCACCGATGAGCACGCGTGCTCGAGTTCACGCAAGAGAAGGAACACGTGATACCAGCAGAGTGTTTCAAATTTGCAGGTAATGAGATTATTCTTCGTACAGAAATCAAAAAGCTATCCGACAGAGATAAGATAGTCAGGATAATAACACCGCATTTTTCGAAAGTACACGACGGAAAATTCGTATCTGCGTCAGATATAATACAAAAAGTTATTGTTTGCAACAATTTGCGAATACAAATCGCAGACGACTTTAAACGTTTTAATAAGAAATCGATGTGTTTCGGCTAACGCATAGGACGCCTTTAGTTTAGGATAATCAAAAATAACTCTGAAATTCATTAGTGGAATTTTGAGGACAAAATAAGGCAAAGTATCAAAATTTGCTCCGTTTTAATTACATACATTGGCTGTCCCCCTATTTCATGGACCAATACATGTCGGTTGTCACAAATGATTGTTCATAGCCGGCTCACTGATTTGATGAAAACACATGAATTCTTGTACACAGTAAACATGTTGTGTTTGGTCATTTTATTAAGAAATTGCTGATTTGTAAACATTAAAAAATCATCATGAGACTCTTTCACGATTTATTATTTCTGAGCATATCGAGTGTAGCCCGTGAAATAGGGGAGGAAGAGCGGTTAACATTGCCCTCAACGAAAAGGATTAGGTTTGGTTTACTTCTCGATCATGATGTTAAAACACTACACAACACATTTGCTCGAGCTCTTAATACGGTCGTATTTACTAGTTGTGTGGCTTTGACTACAGAACAAGTGCTAATTTTAAAGAAATCGTTGCGATTACATTTCCGGGATAAAAGTAACCAAAGCTATAAACCTACAAAACATAACTTATTGGAAGATCATACCCTTAAGATTACCCTACATTAATATTAGTAGTAAAAAGCGGTTTTCACTGTAACAAGACACGTCTAATTAGGAATATTTTAGGAATGTTACGCTTAGACGTGGCGTTTACATGAGTCGCTAAAACTTACTAAACAGGAACTAGGGTCCACCGGGCGTGCGCTAGGAATAAGCCGACGACGGAAAAAATGGGAAATGCTATTGTATCTGGCCAAGTCATTGTGAAATTCAGCTTCTTCCAGACGGACACTAAAGATCCAAGCGTAGGCCCGCATTACTGGTCCCCGAAGAAATCTTGGCAGCGGCACTTGAGACAACTTTCCAACAATGCGGGAGGTCGTATTGAGGGGGAACCATGTATATATTCCATAAAGGATAGCAGCTAATATTCTCCAATGTATTCCGATGTCATATCCATAACCGCCCTGCGTTTTTTGACAAAAGGATGTGTGGGCATCCTCCAAAACAACTTCAGGCCCAAGCTTCGTTTCATTGAGCGATAATTTTGCTCTTAAATCGCCAGATTTGTCCGCATTTTTGGTTGGCGAGTTTATAAGAGAAAGACCGATTCGTTGTGGAGACCATGCAGAATTACACGAAACGGGGACGCACTCGGACTTTAAATCCATTTTTTTGAGTTGAGAAATCCCCTTGTTGCATGGGCACTTATGATAACCGAGGAGGCGCACACACACACGCACTCGCAGACGCGCGTGCACCCAAACCAGAGCTACAATTTTTCCAAGCAGCCAGTGCGTGGTAGCGTATAATTGGTCTGATGTCGGCACTGCTAAGACATTGCACTGTGCTAATTGGACGGTTAGAAGCCAACACGCTGACGTCACGCCTTGAATAGACCAATCAGATAATGCGAATAATTTGATAGGTTTGGCGAATTGGTTAGCTTGCCAAACCTCTAACGCGCGCGTTGTTGTACGAGAGCAGCGCAAATCTCCAGTTTTGGTTCGGGTGTGCGTTAGCGGCTCTAGAATTCTCGGTTTTTCATCGATCAGGGTATTGGTTATTTTTTTCTCCAAGTCGTAGGTAAGCTGTAGATTCACACAAGTTGAGCTTCATTTCAGAACTTATTGTGTCAATTATAATAAATAAAAACGCCCTAGCACCCTCACAGTTCTTCATTGTAGCATACGCTTGACATTTTTCGGCTCGTCTCTGTTTGCAAAACGGGTAAATGTCACGAACTTGCTAGTTTGGCTGACTTTGATAGACCGGTCGGAGACCGACGCACTAGACTGTCTCCATTTCTAATTTGTCCCTCATGTCTACATCGAAAGCGATCACGCCAAATCCCTCCTATTTTTTGAACGCTTGGCATGTTTTGAAGCGAATGCAAAAACGGTAAAGCATCCACTGCTTTTGTTTACACATGCTACCCTAGATTATTCTTCGTCTTCATCTGAGTCGTTTCACTCGAAGGCACAGCCATTCCCCGTCAATGGCTCGATAGCCGTGACCCCGAGCACAGCTATTTTTGCTTAGCAAATGCCAGATTAGGGCTGGAAGTGATTCCCGTGATACCTTTCGAAAAAACCAGAGCAAGACGGCTGCCACACGTCTGCCTTGCTTGCAGGAGTGCGCATAGACCAGCCCATCCAAGAATTCAAGAAGCATTCATTTTTGTGTTGGCATTTACAAAAGTGTGACCCATGACATCTGAATGTCTTTTTACTATTTTGTGTGCATTGTTCTGCAGTCTATTTGCAGCTTTGAAATTCACTAAACTAGTTTACAACAGTCGAGATGTGGATAAAAATAGTTTACAATGCAACCCCAGTTTAAATACAAAACGCGCAAGTTACTCAGTAAGAAGACTAAATGTTTTACTTTGGTTATCAAAAAATACTGATAAAATTCGAAGTCCAACGGCAATAAAAGCAGATTTGGGTGTCTACAGCTAATTGCGCACTCCACGAACAACTATCAGTGTGGCAGTGCGCATGGAGTGGATTACACAGCCGGGAACTACGCCGGGGAGAGTAAAAAAGGGGGCGATTGCTACAAATTGACTGTGGAGCAGGTAGGACTAATCGTGAGTGGCTGCTGCTACACGCAAGGAGTGCTTGAATGCCTAGTCGGTTGGTGCAGCAGCAACAGGGGTTTCGGTGGAGGGAGCGCTTTCGTCGCCCGCGGCAGTGATCTCAACGGTGCTTGGTTTTTGTCCATTGAATCCATGGCTTCCTCCTTCTTTCTGAGATTGGCTAAAAAATTAATTCCAGGGATGTAATCGGCCAGGGCTACCAAACCAAGATCATGACACAAAATGTTCATAAGTTTATCTGGTAAACTAATTATTTCCCAGAAAAGGGACTCCAAGCACCAGTACAAAGCTCAGCTGCTGAGGCGAACACAACTATCTGGTGACGTTTTACCAATTGAATTGCAAATGCTTCCATCCGCAGACATGCAACAGTTGAATCTCGAGATGAAGTAGCGCAGTGGTGACGCACCCTCGCCCACATAGAATGGGATTGGGTAGGAAAGTTCTGGAACGTAGAGCGTACCTTATCTGGAGGTAGAAGATCCCATTCACTCTGTTCAACGTGTCCAGAATGGACACAAAGTTTGGCGCAGGTAGGGTCTGGCCGAAATCAAGCCGACCATCCTTTATCGGTGCTCCTCGCTTTGACCTCTCGCTCGCGTTGTTGCCGGTTTGGGCGCCATTGAGAATGAGGGGTTTCTGCAGCTGACGTGCGGCGGTGACGGCCTGTTGAGTCAGTGTGCGGAGACACTCGTTGCTGTCCTTGGTGTAGTCGCTGCTTTCGCCAAACCGCTCCAGGTAAATTGTGTAGCGACGCTTCTCGTATTCCAGCGCCGATCGGAAGTCACCCCGGTAGGCGTGCGTTCGACTCAGGAGATGACAATTGAAGGCCTCCTTCAGACTCTTCTCACCGTAAAAACTGGAACATAAGCGAAAGCCCTTAACCTAAATCGATGCTTCGACCCCATTGAAAAAAAGGATTAACCGCACATAAATTAGTACAACAGAGAACCGCTACCAACGCCTACATTAAAAGAGTGCTAAAGAAGCCTCAGCAGAGAAGTTATTGGTCACAAAAGGAAGCGGTCACAGATTAACGGCGGTACTGGATTTATCGACAATACACGATATTTGAATACGATATCTTGGGGTTTAGGTGGCCATTAATTACATTACATTACTTACATCTTACTAAGATGAAGGGCATTCTCAAGGAAGACCACGGAGGTATCGAACTCATCGACGGCATGCAGCATGAGGCTTATATTAACGTCGATTTGGGCAATCTCCGGGTGATTTTCGCCGTGGCACAACAACGCCAAGTATCGGGCGCGGTAGAGCAATTGGAAAGCAATCGGCACATGTCCGCAGGCAAAACAGTACAATGCCATGTGAATCTGAGGGGAACAAACAGTATGAATTGGAAGACGATAATTACTAGGGGCAACAATTAACAGGGCAATGAGTCGAACATTTACTTATAAATACTCAGTAGAAACTATTTCACGGAAAAATAAGTTGGCCAGAAAACAATCAAAGCTACTTATCAAATGCATAGCACCATCTGGGATTCCCATTTTAATTCCGCAATGATGTCGACAATTAAATTTCATGGTTGTATTCATCTACGCATTAAGCAGTGCCACCCGGAGCACCCTTTTTTGCCAGTTTTCATGACGCCAGTAGCCCTTAAGCGAATAAAAGATTGTTTTTTTTTCAAACGAGATGAATCGACATTCCGAGGAACAGACTATAGTGCTAAACAGCTGTCGTAGCACCACTGCACAAAAGCGTACGTATTCAGCTGCTGTGCTAGGACTGTCGATTCCGTGGACACGTTCGCTGATCATAGTTGCGCGCTGCTGGAAAAGCAGAGCAGCCTGGTGTTCGCCCATGACGTAGGAGAGGCGAGCAAGCAGCCTGTTGCACGACCCAGTGTCGGGGTGAATCGGCCCGTAAACCGTGTTCAGCAGATTCAGAGCCTCCGAGATCAACTCGAAGCCCTCTTGCAGGTAGCCCGCGGAGATCCTGGCTTGGCCGGTGTTGAAGTAGGTGTAGGCATCCGTGGCGTGAGGATGAAGGTGCTTAACAATGGGGTAGAGGGACACCACGTCGTCGAGCGTAAACACCGGACGAGAATGATGGTGGGCGCCATTGGGCGGTGCCAGGGCATATTCGTGGAGGGCCAATTGAATCCCAACGGACTGACAGAAGGACCGCAACATCTGAGTGCGCGGGACCTGATGAGTCTGACAGAAGGCGTCTACATCCGACCTTGAAGGGAACAGCATATTTCCATCCAATCAGGAGGTAAAAAACAAACGAAATTCGATCATTTACACTCAATACATCAGTGAATGAGATACACTAAAAACTACATGAAAAATAGTTGTTTGGTGGGGGCGAAATTCCCATGGAAAAGAACATTGGAGGCGTTAGAAGCGATGAGCAATTTGGCATCTAATTGGTATCCTCGATTTATGAAAGCATACTCGTTTTTCGCAAGGCGCGCAACATCACGAAAAAAAAACAAACACGGCGCACAAAATCAAGTCACGAATTTAAAGTCCCCCATGTTCACAATTTCAGTACCGCCAGAAAAACACAATGCTGGTGGCTGGTCTAAGTGATTTTGAGTTCACAGGCGCGAGACATTGGTGTCATGTCACGGCGTGGGTCGCACGAAATGAAACACGGATTTCAGCTCGCAGAGTCTCATCAGCGTAAACACAGACACCGATGCCTGATAAGGCACGGCGAGAGCGTAAGTCGACAAATAAGCTGCTTCGTTTGAACAACTGACACGAATCCACAAGGTCCAGCACATATGTATATATAATGTCAGTAAAGTAAGTTGGGAGGCGTACAATTGCAAATCGATGTGGTAGTACTCCTTGGCTTCCTTGTTTAGACTGGCCCAAAGAGAGGAAGGTGTTTCATTGGTCCAAGACATTTCCTCTAAAAGAATCACCAGTCATTATCGATCAAATAACAATAATCTTGAAGGGTCTTATCTAAGAGGATACAAAACTGCAAAAAAATTTCACGATGTCGGGTATCTAGCGATTTGACAGGCGAAACGCAAATCCCTGGGGGGGAAATGAAAAGCCATAGGCACTGTGAGAGGCATTTACCAGTCGCAAAGCATAACATACCAGAGGAGTCGCGCACCGACTTTCCGCGTTTTTTCCCCTTCTTGACCTTGACCATCTTTTGAATTTGCTGAAATAAATTTTTCAACGATTACACTCTCTTCAGTTTGTGATTAAGATGATTGAAACAAACTTCAACGTGGGTTGGAGTTGTTAGAACACAACTTCGTGGAAAATCTCTGACCTTAGAGAAGTCAGCTTCCTCGGAATGATCATGAGAAAAAATTGTGGAGTGAACGATTCAAGAACAGGTCCTTCATTCATTCAAAGGGAAAAATGCTGGAATGTGCATTTTAAACGCCGGCAGATATAACACGAAAACTGATAGCTAAACCGAAAACACGTTGGTGACAGATTGAGGTGGTTTGGATGACGCTATATGAGGGGACGTGAAATTGAAGTTGTAACGAGACGAATAGTTATAACACCCGGTGAATACTGATGATTACCACAGAATCAGCCAGTTGCTAACTCGGCTGCTTTAGGAAATGATCTCATTCGACACTGAATACCACGGCATCGAATAAGCTCACCTCATCGATACCCGCCATTGGCTGGAGTAGAGGACACGCAGTAAGAAGGCAATTGAGAAAGTGGGCGATTGCAGCAGAGACGAACAGTGGGTCCACTTCCTGGATATACAGCTTGAACAAATGCTTGGCAGAGCGAATCACAACTTCGCAAATTGCAAGTCTCTGTGATGACAAAAAAATATCATCTGAAATACACATTCATGTTGTGCTACAAAAGACTTACATGACCAACACACACCTTGTTGTGAACCAGCTTGTGGGCAAGAAATTTCAAAACGTATAACGTGGTTTATTACCTCTTCAAGTGGCTGAACAAAACTATTGCAATAGGCCAGCCTGATGTAATTTATTGTGTGTCGTGGGACTCAACCGAGTACAGGATAAACAGACAAACACATGAGAGCTTACTCGAATGTACGTTAGGTTTTCCTTGTCCGCAAGCATTTCGATCAATCTGTTTAGATAGCGAACATTGATGCCCCTAGAACAGAAAAAAAGTGTCAGATGGCCTTAGGCCTAATGCACGCGTTGGCTTGCACATTCGGAGACCAATTCTTTTGCACCACGTTCACAAATGCTTAGATTGATAATTTCCGCTGCGAAAATAGCGCGGTAGGACAGAACGTGTTACAGCCCTTTTATTGGCACGTGCATGGCCGCATTAGTCCGTGCAAGTCCGGTGACGATGAGCAACTGGTTATAACACTACTTATCAAGCGGACGGAGCGACCCGCAAACTATCTACGATATTATGAATAATCGATTGGTGTTATATGAGGGAGTCGCCGGAAATCGATGCCGCAAAAAGATATCAGAAGAACAAGTACTAAGATATATGGCTTGCTGCTACGGCATGGGTTCGTCCATGGAGGAAAACATGACCGACACGAGCAACAATCACGAAAACAGCCTGCTTCGAACACTTGGGGCAGTATCATCTCACCTCTGGTGTAGAATTTCGACCAAAGCGCGTCCATCCTGCGGCATGACTGTAAAAGTCAGGCAGTCCTGGATGAAGGCGGGGATTTGCCGAAGGACGAGGAACTCACAAATATCCCGCACCAGCGCTTCATCGTTCTGAATGGCCGCCAACTACAAGTTGTAGGGCATTACAAGTTAAAACCAACAGAAGCTACAGTGTTTGTTACAAAGGAGTAGACCGGCATAAACACGGTCGTGTTTTTTTAGCAAAAAAAAACATATTTGGCGACTATTTTTGACAGCAGCACATTTGAGGTACGGCCTTGAAAAAGGATCAAATTAATTTATGGCTGGATTAAAAATCAGAAGCCTTAAAAACTCCCGCGTAAAATTATACAGGAACACGGTAAAGTTAGGAAAAATAAAGCGATAGTTTACGGGAGAAAATATCTGAAGGAATTAGTTGCGTTGAGGAGGTACTTCGGCACAAAAGTCAGCAGTCAAATCACAACTGGAAAACAAAGAGTCCGTCAAACTGATCGGAGAAGTCATGTACACTACAAAAATTGCACTGATCCCTTTAAAAACGGCCATACGTGACAAATGTGCCTTTAGGCAATTCGATCGACGACAATGTGAAGTTGCAACTAACTGCGCTGACCCTACTCACTTCGTCTTGGGCAAAGGTAACGTTTGGCTGATAGACGTCAGGGTTGAAGGCTAGCTGAAATTGGGAAACGGACAACGATCCGAAGGATTCCGCAGCTTTTTGGATGGCTTCTTTGGTTTCCATCTCACCTAGCACGAAAAAAAACATGGAGGTCCATTGAAATAGATAACACAACATAATCTGCTAGTTCCAAACAAAATCTGGTAGCCAAGCAAACACAGGAACTGCCTACATATTCGCTGATTAGCAGGCAAGGAGTGAATCAGTAACGACAACTACGAACACATTTTTCACAATGTCCTATGACTTTCTGTTACCTTTCCAGAACGTGCGGTCTTCTTAAGCAAGACACTCAACCAAGTGCGAATTTAAATCAGCACTGTTTGTGAGTTGTAGCATTCGAAAATGTGTAATCTTCAGAGGATACCTGACGGCACACAACGAATGCACCAAGAAGGACACGAAACCACATATCAAATAAACTCGGTTAATTGTTCCAGAATCACCAGGTTAAAATCGACTCAAAACTACAAGCTGCAAAAATAATTGTGTTAAAACCCTCAAGCCAAAAAGTACACATTTCAGAATAGAAAATAACATAACACACAGAAGTTATTTAAAACTATCAAAACGACAGATATTTGTGAGATTACTCTGTTGCCGACGGGTTCATAACACCCGCGAAGCATTACTTGCAAGTTTAGTTGCTTAATCGAGATCACGAGGTTGGTAAAATTAATGTTACTGGAAAGAACTTGACTTAAAAAGCCAGAACTTAAATACCAGGAACTGACCTTCTCCGGTTCCATCCACTGCCCCCTCTAAAGCTTTCCGAACTTCTGAAATGATGCCATTTTCTGAAGCTCTGGCGCGTTGGACTGAAGTAGCGCATTTATCCTGGAGCATGAAATTTTGTACAGATTTGACCGTAGTGTCCGCATTGAGAAGAAGAACGTTGTTTTCGTCGGCGATCGAACTCTCCACCTCTTTTTCATCAATTTCCTCCACCTGAGAGTGAATAAACCAGACTTTATGAACAAGCGCTAAACAGCCTCAGGCTAGTAAACTTACATGTCATATAAACAGGAGTTAAATTTCGTATTTAACAGGAACGATGGATATATACCTTAGATGAAGATTTAGAATCCGACTGAGAAGTAGAACGGAGGTTTTGGAGTTCGCGAGCCGCAACTTTCAAAAATTCCTCGTGACGAGACCTAAACACAGAATCGACGTTTGGGCTAGATGCCAAACATGTGCGATAATTGCACACCAATGCAACTGAAAAACGATCTCGAATGTTCCACCTTACCAAATCACAGACGATTGCTAAAAAGATTCACAATATAACTTCATTGGTGACAACAATAGGTCACCAAATAGTGGTAGGTAAGGCAACTCCCAAACCTGTGCCCAACCCCATATCCAACAGATGGAGCCAATTTCTAGGGCCAAACCAAGATCAATCAAAATTATGTACATAAACCCACCCAGAAACCTGGGCTGACAAAACTTTATGACGTTTTACATACAAATCGATAACCAGGGATCAAAGCGTTATTTTTGAAAATTTGTGGTTCACTTATTTGAATAAGCTCACTCGCAAAAAGCATCAAGTAGCTCCTGCCGAAGGGAGGGCAACAGATGCCGGTGGGTGTAAGGGTAGCCGAGGTTGAGCATTTCGTCACTAAGAACAGGGCGAGAGGAGGGTGGCGCACCCCCCATGTAGTTGAGATCCGGTGGGAATGTATGAAGCAAGTCGAGTATGTAAGTCCGATTGTCAGTGCCTACGATGCCTTTGCAGTCCACCGAAGAAAAAAGTTCAATCTCTTTACCTGATTTGTCCACAACTCTATGGGAAAAACCATTTTTATTAGTGCATCTTACGTTTAAAAGTGTTTGGATGATGAGCACAAACTTCGAGCCAGGACAACAACAGTAAAACCTTCGGCAAAAGGTATGGTTTTCTATTCTAGGAAGTCCTCGACGTGCAAAATAAATGCTTCTACAAGCTCGGAATTTGTATCAACATTCCAGGAAAAACGTAATACAATTGTAAAACAGTTGCTCGCCTTTTTCGTCATGCTGAAACTCTTACTGACAATGCAGACGTGAAAACACTTTAAGGCAATCATTACTAATATGGTTCAAGATAACGCTGATGGGAGTTGACAAAATGGGACTACACTTTAGGACATAACGTGGATGCCCAAATTATTGCAACACACATTTTCAATTGCTAATTCAATGTAGAAAATAATCTAAATTGATACTTTGTAATCCTAGGCAGTCGCAAAGGCCTTACTTGTGGGGACGGATCTTGAGGTGTTTAGCAGTCTTAGCAAGAAGTCCATTGTACCTCTCATCTCCAACCACTGTTTTACCGAAATCGATCGACCCATAGACAACAAGTTGTTCCTGTTCTTTTTCGAGAATTCCTATTAAAAATTAAAATTACCAATTGTTCAAACTAATATTAAGAGCCATAGTATTGAACGTGGGATGTACCGTGATAATTAAAATATACTGTCACGTGTGAGGAAATGAAATGAGAAAAATCCGGAAGTATTTAAGCATAAGCCGAATCTGATTCGAATAAATTCGGCGATTGGAAATTTTGCTATTGTTTGGTGCTCCAGTGGAGTTTAGACTATGAAGATAAAATCACAAAAAGCACCTTTAATGAAATTACAAATAACATTTCACCTTGGAAAGGTTGAATTGTATGAATTATGCCGGCAAGTGAGCATTAGGGAAAGTGATAAAAGGGGGGCAAGGACCTGACATAAGTATTGTCTAATTCTGGGACACAGACCAAATAGCAACACATGCCATTTTGGCAAATACCTGGAATTATTGTTTGAGCGGTTACACGATAACCACAATAGTCGATAATTGCAGTCCCAAGGGTGCATAGTCCAGGCTGGTCTAACATGGAATACGCCCGGACACCATTTAGGTCGCTTGACTAAAAAATGAATTTTGTAGAACGCAAGTTAGTACTCACTGCGTATTCGGAACCACTTACGTAGAATATATTCTACTACTATTACTGGATAAATAAAACAAAACTAGTCTTCAAGTATGCAGTTTCTTGATAACAGATCGGAAAATTCTTGGAATTTGGAATCAAGACGAGCGCCAGAATTCCAATCCAAAAACCGAGCTGCTATGAGGTTACTATATTGAATTTCTCAGTTAAAGGTGGCAAAAAGATTACGCAAACTAACTTAGACAACTACACGGCTAATTCACTCTAGTGATAGATGACGAGAAAAAAGTAGGGAACATTTTGATACACATGACGCTAACTGCTACAAGAGAAAGTTGTCGGTTTCTACACTACTTACTGTGGCTGCGTAAGCAGCTGCATCGCCACCGAAATCTTTGTAGTGATCCTTGACATCAAAACCGAGGGAAAAGAACATGTTATTCCAAATAAACATTTGTTGTCGACGTGTTTCACCGGGATTTATGGCCATGATATCGCCCTTTACGACACTGATAGCGGCTCGTGCGGCAGCAGCGACGAAATCACTGTTAGATTTGAATACGGCTCGGTCACGCATTAGGCGATCGTTGATAGTAGATTGCGGAAGTTCGCGTGTTGCCTGCAGTTCGTCATTCCAGTCACGAGTCTGACCGGGCAAATTCTCTTCCCAGGCCATTCTGGACGCAAAGGCTTAAATGAAAATAAACCTTCGACTCATTACTAGTAACCAATTCTTAGACGCACACATAAAACCAAACAGCAAACTAAATGACCACACATCGTACACATGACACACAACCCTTACGCACAGTGGTTGCAATTCTTGAAAAACTTACATTCTTCCTTCCTGACAGAGTCCGGAGTATGTTCCCATTGCGGAGTAAGCCAGGAATAAACCTGGTAAGGAGTAGGCAATCTTTCGAATGGATGCTTGTTCGCCCTTCGTTTAAGCAATGTTTCAAAGGCCTTCTTGAAAGCGGGACTCAGCTGCTTTAACAAGTCCACAAGAGAATGTGCTACATAGGCGTTTTGCACCGGGGCTGGGTTGAATTCTTCATCTGTTGTTCTGAAAAAAACGTGGATACAGTGACGAGACGTTAGTCATTGGGAGAATCAAACAACCGAGCAGCACGAACTTACTGATTGACGTAGAAGCCACGCGGACAAGCCGTGATATGGCAACGTTTACCTTCAAGTGTATGCACAATAAGGTAAAGCAAATCTCCGGCTAGGCGACGCGGGGCTGGAGGTGGATTCCAGTTACTGTAATTAAGCTGTTGAACGCATTCTAAGTCGTTTTCTTCTTTAGACAGAGGATGCAATGGGAGAATCGGAACCTCCACATTGGAGCTTTTAGGCAAAATATATGCCGGAGGTAAAAAGCTAGGCGAGATATCAGATTTGTTTGGCTTTCGCTCTTAAAAAAGGAATTTGCTAATTAGATGGAAAAAAGTAATAATTGCAATATAATTTGCTTCAAAAGTTGCTTACCTAAAATGTCCCCCAAAGTAACTGAACTCAAGAAAGACAAAGACATTTGTTCCCGTCCAGCATATGCGTCGCGCAACTTTATGCTGTTGAGTATGTCGTGGACATGTCTTACGTGGTTCCTTACCTCACGCGTAGTATACCGTTCTAATAACCAAATGTTAATGAGAGCTATGCTAACCTTCCAATACACGAATTTCTGAGTTTTCACCAAGTCCATCAACTGACTTGAGATCAGTAAACATATCAAGCGTTTGTCCGTTAAACTGAAGGGAGAAACAGGTCCTGTGGCAGGATTCCTCGCGCTCAATAAGGGCGCGGTAGATTTCCTGAACAATTTCCGAGGCAGCAACTTGTAAACTACAAGTATCGGACGAAGGGAAGACTATCGTAACGTTAAATGTTGCGCCATCTATACTGTCCACAGACAGGAGATTTTCCAAAGGAATTTGCCCAGAAGGATCACCCGCCTTCAAGGATTGTATACCACCCGAAATCTCGGACACCGTCATCCTTCAGTTAGTCAAGCGTCAAAACGGAGACGAATAGCCAACTCACGTGAAGACCCCAAATTCAATGTGGTCCAGGAGAGAGAAAACGATTAAAACACAGATTTTAGGTATATTTGTTGCACTGACATAATACCTGATTTACACAAACCGGCAAATTTTTTGCTAGTAACGCTAAGCGTGATATATATGATTTACTACATACTTAAATTTTGGTCACCACACATTAGCCAAATTTATGTTTGCAGTAATTACTGAGTGATGTGAGAAGTTTACAACTACGTCACGCATATCTTAAACATGAATAAAATCGATTTCCAGCTTAAAAACATTTTAAAATCAAACGCAAATTACAAGATTTACATATTATGTTATCAACTTTACTCTTGTAGAAATTTCAAGGTAACACGACTTTTATAAAAACCAGACTATGTTACAGGTACTTTACAGGTACTTTACCTTTCTTTTTTCACTAATTACTGCTAATAGAATTAAATTTGTTCGCCAAAAGCTGGTTGTAATGCACAATTAAAACTAACAAAAACGCGCACTGCTTGTGTAAATGATTTTTTTAAATGTTAGCAATTATGGTAAAGTAAAATCATGTTGAGATTTAGAATAAATTTCAAAGCTAAGAATTAGTTGATTTATTTTACTGAGAATGATATTATTGAGGCACTCAAGTTTGATTCCGTAACATTGCCTAATGCCTAATCCTCATGGCATCCAGGTACTAAATAAGATTATCCTATATTAATTAGCTATTCCTTGATGTCATAATGATCGTGATTATTTAACTACGTTCAAAGGTCTGAGGAAAAAAGTAGATTGTCGACAACAATATCAGTCGCTAAAAGTTGCTAATCCTCATTTATGCAAATTATATGAATTTCACTTGTTAATAAGTTGCATATGTGCCTTATTTTCTATTTTGTAAAAAATTGTACTTAGCAATATTTTAATTGCTCTTTTTAATGTATATGGAATGTAAAAATGTAGTACTGGAATCTAAAGTCAGCATGTTTACAATAAACAGTTTTAAGTTTTTAATTATTAAGTTAACCAAAATACTGACAGCATCGGCATTGTAAGAATGCAGTTCAAATCAATTTTACTTTGCCAGGTTCATTTTGATAATGTCAATTTCTTTTTTTAACACCAAACACATATCGCTAACCAAAATGTTCATAACGTTAGCTTTGGACAGGCCTCTAATGTAGATGCCGATATTTGAAATCATGTGCCTAGTTTGTTTTAATATGTAGATGTTGCGTAGTCATAATAACCGAACTTTTAAGGTCATACAAACCGCTCTTCCAGCCAATCACATTGTGCGTTAAGTGGGTGAGCAAGGACGGCCGTCTTTTTTTATTAAGTCATGTTGCAATGAAAAGGTTTGTCTTTTACAATTATTTGGTCTTTAAAAACTTAACTCATATTGTTTTGTATGTATATATTCTTCTGGATATGTGCTGTCGATGTGTTGTAAGTAGCTTATTTCAATGCTGAATGAAAAGTCATTTTGATCTGACCTTTAACTAGGGTTTCTTATTACTTTGCTTTTTAAGGGACAATAGTCGCATTTAGTGGTTTGGTTTTTATTTGTAACTTTTTGAAAACTAGTATGAAAATTGCTAATGTAATGCCTCGATAATAAAGTCATTGTATTTCTAATCAGTTGCAATTTATTTAACTGGATTCTCTCCTTTAATGCTAAATACGTGGTTAGTGTTTTTTTTGTAACATTACATGAGGCCCTACGGTTTAATACAAACAATTTGGCCTTGAGTTACTTTAATTGTCCATTCATTCTGAAGCTTATGCCATTGTTGAAAAGCCGTGTCAGCTGAAACACTGTCAATGATTTGAAAATGCCAAACAGCATAATTCAGATTTATTAACCTCGATTTTAACATATTATTAATGCTGTTCTGATATTATTCTAAATAAATTCGTCGATTTACGCATTCACGAATAGTCTTGTTATCTAATTCAACTTCGTTGCGATTATTTCGGCCTGTAGCATTTAAGGAAGGCAAAATTACATTTAATAATACTCCATTGTTTTGAATGAACCTAATAAAAACACTTAATAAATTATCAATTTCTTTAATATGGTTGTCTTTTTGTTGTATTGTTAAATAAGACCAGCAGGCATTCGGCTAAACACGGCTATTAAAAATTGGAGCCTTCAGGTGCTGAACTTACCCTTACTCTTCTTCATTTTTAATATAACTCTAGGAGTACTTCGGTGCCGAGCGTTACTGAAATATGGAAGAGTTTGACTGATGCAACAAAAGGGAAAAGTTTTGATGCACTGATTGATACTACCGCCGAAAGAAATGAATATAAGTAAGGATAGCATTTTCCTTTTCAATAAGACTTGGTATACTATCAAATGTAAAGCACCATTATTAAGAAATGTTCGGTCAGTCTTTAACGGTTGTCTTACGTATTGTATAAGAGTGATCCTTACCTAACTAATTCCTTAATTTTTATCATTTGAAGTAGGCTTGAGGGATTATCAATTACAGAATTTTGTGCTTGAGAGGCTACTGTCTTGTCTGCAGTTAGCACTGTTATGGAACATGCACAAATACATCGCATCTGCTTCGGTTGCAGTAAAATTAATTCTAGTTAGAGATCATTTGTCTACTTGTTATTTCTGTTGGTTTCCATTGTCCAAGTTAACTCCCCACACAACATGGAGAGTAGCTTAGAGTATAGTTATTCAATTATGGGGCAACATGTAGGTCCATGAGCCAAAATAATGGTGCCTATTATGCTTACATTTTTTATCTTTTGGCTACATCATCTACGTCTGTTTTTCGTCATTACACTTTGTAGATTCTGCTTCAATATGCCTCATTCTGTACGAACCTTTGTTGCATCTATTATTCATTCGACCTTATACCAAATTTATGGCGATGAAAATGGAAACGTTTCCCATGAAGCATCACAGTAAGCCATTAATTTTTATGTTGATAGGTCAGAGTGCACGTTTATTGTTTACTTCTCACAGGTTTAAATACGAAAAGCCAATATTTTTTTTATATTTGCCTTATCTTTACCGTTGGGCTTACCTACATACTGAATTTACTAAATTACGAAAGATTACGTTTAGATGATTTTTAAATCTAAGGCATTTTAATCACACTGGAGGTTCGGCCACACCATGTGATATCGAGGCCTGTAATCTCATCAATAAACCGCTTGAGAGAATGCTTAAACCGTTGAAACCAAACGATGAAAATATCTGGATCTCGAAAGCCAAACTTAAGAAAACGCCCGATATTCCACCAAATATTACCTGGCCTTCCAACGAGGAATTTACACAAGATCTTGGTGTGAAGAATATACGGCTATACATTACTGTAAGTTTCGGGATCTTGTGAGTTACACTAGTAACTTTTTGGGGAAGATATAGATAACGTTGTGTGAATCGGTTGATGTTGTAAACAAAAACTTTTCTAAATGAGACTCATACAGATCTACTGTTCGAGGCTTATTGCAGTGATATTTACACACTGTACTTTAATTGCAACAGGGACCATGTATATTATTGAGTTTAAATTTTAAAACAAAAAGAAGAATTATTTAGCGTCGTGTTCTCTACTTCATAGAAAAGAGTAATTGTAAATGTGTAAAATTCATTTCTACTATTCACCTTATTTCCTTTATAGAGCTGGGGATTGACATGCGGCTGGGTGTACATAATAAAACCGTTACCACCAAAAGAAAAGGAATTTTGGGTTGAATACTATTACGAGGTACTCTTCTGTATTCCAACTCGACGCACGCCGGTTCCGAAGCACACGGTTTCAGTGTTCTTTACGTTGTGCAAGTCAAAATACAAGTCTGGTGTGAGTTCCAATCACCCTAGTTTAGTATGATCACTGCACATTCAGAAAATATTTACATGTTTGGCTTGGCTTATCCGTTGTGTTAATCCTGATTCTCACTGGCTACAGCTTTCAAGTTGCTCACTGAACGAGCAGTAAGCATGCGGAATGCTAGTTAAAGAGAACAAAGCGATGAGCTTCTGTATTTTTTTATACATTCTGTTCACCATTTACTGTCAACACTCGTGAGTTTTGTTGTTTAGGAAAACACGTCTACTTTTTCGGACGTTCCAAATAACCATCTTTTGCGGGTCCAGCGTACCACTTTGCCTCTAAAGTTTTCCGTTGCATGATTAATAGTTATGAATAAAATTTCCTACATGTTACCAACGAATCCAGTCAGTAAAGGAATGTTTGGAAGAACAGCGGAAGAAACCTAAACGTGTTACAGAAATGTAAATGAAACAAGATTTAAAGCTTTCGACAACGTGTTCGTATTTTCCAAAACAATAAACAACATAACCTCTAAATGCCAAACAGTAAGTGTTTACAACAAATATACACTTCAAACAGCATTCGATATAATTACTGCTTGTTCAATGAGAGAATTGTAAACACCAGTCAATAATTATCAGGTTGACATGTAAATTTTGTGCATCATTTATTTCGTGTGTCACGTTTTGAATTTACTCTCGGACAATAACATGATGATTTCCGGATTCCGCTTTCATAATCTAAATTCACCAATAATCAGCTTACATGAATATCAGCGTTTACGCGGTGAATGATCGCTGTTGATCATCCGCTACTCATAAACAAGCTACAGTCGATCTCTACTCTATCGTGAATTTCTATTTGCCAATGACTAATGTGCGAAACCTTTACACATATCTATAATTTAGTGTCTTTGGTTCTCTTGCTTAAAACAAAAAAAATTAATTTTTTTGTTTTATAGTTGTGCAATGAATTTAGATTAATTATAGGCAATTGAAATAAGAAGCTTGAAAAACAAATATTTTAAGCAAACTTTCCATTATTTAAGCAAATTACGTCTATAAAACCTGTATAAATATTTCTAAATATTGGACACTTTGACTGGAGTCGAGGATAATAATTTATTTTTACCACCATAAGCACATTTGTATTAGAATGTATGCTGTATGTAACCGGACAAAAATCGTTTTGCTTTATTCCCAGCATCAAATATTACGTATTGTGTAAGTGTTTCGTAATGCTTCCGATACTTTCTTAGAAAGTTTATTAAGCCAACCTACAAATTTGGCAGCGGCTCTTTTATGATTGCACGTTTAAGAATTTGAAATACTTTTCAAAATTTTCTTTTATCATAAATTTCAGAAATTACCTGTGGACGTATGGTATGTAGTTGAGTCATTCAGTCAGAAGCACAGGTGAGTCAGCTGTCCCCTAAAAAATTGAAAATTACGGGGCCTGTTAATTGTGGGTAGTAGTAAATTTGATCAAAATGGTCAAAATTTGCGATAACTAAAGGGGACCAATTTTTGCTTTAATCAACTTCTGACTCGTTTGATAAATAGAAACGGGCTAAAGTAATAAAAAGTAAATAGTAAATAGATATGATATAAAACAACAGGTCACGCTGCACAAATCTAATGAGTCCGAATCCACTGGCTTAGAGCTCACACGGTTTAATGAACCCTGTATTGAACAAAAAATATCCAACCACATCTATGGACCGACAACAATTTTTTGTTTGAAGCACATCGTGTGTGCTTACTTTTCATGTACTTTTACATTGTAGACCTGAGAAACACATTTTTAATGAAGAGTGGCTGAAGACGGTTCTTGATTTTAAAGCCAAGCTTGGGGAAACACTTCTGTTTTAGATGGACGATAAAGTTTGCTCACCAAAAATCTAAGCTGACCACGGAGATCCAAGCCAATACAAGTGAATTTGTTTACATATTATTCTAATGCAAATGCTTTTTAGAATAATTCTCTATTGCGTTATGTCGTGGTCCTAAATGACAGTGGCGAGTACATTGTGGAGATATCGGGCACCGTTTTACAAGGAAAGTAATTAATCCACAAATAGTTTATCTGTCATTAATTTTGAATGCTTGCACAGACATATGTAAACTGCAATATCATGAATTTATGGTAATATTATGAAGAAACAACTTATTTGGATCGCGGTGTTCTTCCTCCACTGCCCCCAACTACATTGGAGACATAAATCCTTTTAATTAGTGATGTGAAAAGCGCTTACAGCTACGTTAAATTTATCATAGCTCTAACCTTTATAAGTGAAACATCGAAGGTTCTTCCTATGTCAGAAATACCTCCTTTGGAAAAGTGGTCTTAGGAATGGATTGAATTGCACGCATGATTAACTGTACAAGCTTTCAATTTACCCAGATTGTATCTTTCGATTAATTAAATTGTTCAAAAAATAGATCAAATTATAGTTGTACAAGAACAAGTTACCCAGTCATATTTTAGCTAAATCGCCATAAGTGGTTGCTGTGTTAAAACCAGGAAGAATATAGGTTATTATCAATTGACATGCTTTGAATTCTGTTGAACTCAATCTTCGTGTTTTGTATGCAAGTAATTATTGATCGTGGAGTGCAGAAAGTGTAAGTACGCTTAGGGTGTATCATACATTTTTAAGATCCAGCTGAATTTGACGCCATTTCAGTTAGGCTTAAAAAAAAGAACTCAAAGTTTCAAGAGCGAAGACATTTAAAAAATGAACTAAGCTTCCTACTAAAATAGGATAAACACGAATAAGATTAAGTAAGAGTCATATCAAGATTTCTGCTAAATTAAATTACCTATGTGATACCTAGTAAATTAGAATCATTTGTTGTTGGATCAAAAATTGAGCATATTATATTTATGTAAACGTAGAGATTTCTGGATACCATTTATTGCTATTATGATCGGCATTCAGGCTTGCATAAGAACAATGATATATGCTCCTTCAAATGGAAAACAGAATTGTTCACATGGAAACATCATTATAATTGTAAACACTTTGTATCGAATGCTATACAAGACCGATGACCTTAAATTAATGAAATGTTAAGTTGCTGAGGCAATTTCTATGACCTCTCTACCATATGGAAAAGTGCATACTGCGCTTACAAGGATACCTGCATACAAGGCAATAAAAAATTTTAAAGTCTTAAGGTGAATATATTTATTTTATAGCTTTTTGTTTTACATCTCTATCATATTGAGCGGGTGGTTTTGTCCGCTTTGGTGCCATTATCTGCTTACACGTCACCTTGAAATATGTTGTCTCTAAAAAAAGATAAAAATGAGGAAGATGATGGTACGTACTACAGTTTTTGTTGACCCTTGAACGGTTTTGAGGTCCGTGTCCTTTCACAAATTGGCTAATGGAACATCGCTGTTTGCCATCAGATTTATGATTTGTCTGCATACATTTACTTTCTCAAAGAAACTACGCACATATGCAGGTCTTGGTGCTTGCATTTAATAACGCTATTGGGTTGCTTACTGTGTGTTACGTCTGTACTTTTATATAACGTCATCCATATTTTTGATTTATGTGGCTTCACGTCTCAAGTGTGTACTATGCGTCACGACACGTTTTTGCATATGACTATGTATAAGCAATTTATACTGGGTCTGTCTTTTTTTTACGCGAATGCCATGATTTTTGCTTTTGTATTCTGTCGTCTGATACTTGCTTTAGTGACTTTTTTTAAAAAAAATCATTGCGTCTTTATGGCGTTGTTCTTTTACAATTCCTATCTTGTGACTCTGCCCATATTGTTCATGTCAAAAATATGCGCCGCAGGTCGACGCTTCCACTATTTTTTGTTACTGCACATTATGACGTCTTACAAATGCTACTCATTTCGTTGTTCTCAGGTATCGGCTCCACCTACATGAATCGGGACAAATCGTCTGTGTTACAAGACGTAAGAGTCGAATATCACAACGTCTTTCTTGTAGGCTCGGCTTTTTAATGCAAATCAGCCAAATCCGAGGAAGTGTATTCAAATTTTAACAAGAATTTTATGTCTTCTGAATAAGGTAACTATGTTAACAACGCTCGTTCATAGTCACTAGGGTGTCAAATTTAGCCGCCAGGAGGCTACAACAACATTCTTTGCCGTCACCAAATTATTTCAGCTTCCTAATGTATGTTTCTTTCATTAAAGTTAATTTTGTTTATCAGCAAAGTCTTCGAAAACTCCTCTACCTTGTTATCAAAGAGTTGTCACCCTACGCCGACGATGTGATTATCCTAACTAGCAGCCTAACGAAAGATATGACGGGGTCAGAGGCGTCTTTCCGTGCTCCTGCTATTAGGACACTATGCAAAATTACTGACGTAAGTTCGCTGAATCCTATCTCTCACTTAAAATTCCTGCCCGTTTAACTAACAATGCCTTTTATTTGCAGCCGAATATGGTGCAAGCCATTGAACGGTACTTGAAACAGGCTATTGTAGATAAGTCGCCTGCAATCGCATCCGCTGTCTTGGCTTCTGCCTATCATCTTATGCAGATTTGCCCGGAAGTTGTCCGGCGGTGGAGCAACGAGATTCAAGGCGCTATTTCTGGATCTAGTGTCATGGTACAGTATCATGCCCTCGGTCTCCTTTGTCTGATCCGTCAATCTGACCGGCTTGCTACTTTGAAGCTCATACAAAAATTCCTTCAGTCTCCACTAAGGTCGTCATATGCACATTGCGTTATGGTTTGTCATTACTTTTCCAAAACTTTACAACTTGTTAGATCCGTGTCGTGGCACGACAGGTCGAAGAAGAAGGCATTACGTAAGTTATCGTCACATTTCGTGTGTTGTTGCCGAATAATCGCTACACAACTCCTAGATTCCTCTCTTTATTAGTGATAGCCGCAATTTGATGGATTTCCTGGAGGCATCCTTACGCCACAAGTCTGAGATGGTTGTCTATGAGGCCGCCCGCGCTATTGTTGGTTTGAGTCATTTAACAGCTAAAGAGTTGGCCCCTGCCGTGAGCGTCCTTCAGCTCTTCTGTTCTTCGCACAAATCCTCTCTCCGTTACGCAGCCGCTAGAACGCTAAACAAAATTGCAACGCGGCACCCCACTGCTGTTGCTTTCTGCAACCACGACCTAGAGACTCTCATTTCCGATCCAAATCGTAGTGTTGCTACTTTGGCTATTACAACGCTCCTTAAAGTAAGATTATTGATTCGCTTTGGTTTAAAATTGGAAGGAAAGTATTTTAAAACACATTAACACACCAAACATTCGATCACATCTTAATGAGTCGCTATCTTGCAACTTCAACTCACATAGTGGCCCTTCCCTATAGTCCTGGTATCATTCACGGTACATGCGGTTAATGCTAAGTATACTTGCCTTTATTTCATTCCAACAGTCGTCTTATGGAGGCCTCAACTAATTCGCTAACATTTCCTGGGACTGTACAACCGGGATTACCCTTAGGTCACTGTGTGGCACCACTGCTGCGGATTCCTCATTTACGTGGTGCAGTCTATTGTTCGAGATATTAAATGTCAATCGATTTAGTAACGCTGCGCTTTTTTTGACACCGATCGGCTTTTTTTCGTAGACGGGCAGTGAGAATAATGTTGATCGGCTATTGAAGCATATCTGTTCTTTCATGGCGGACATTACTGACGAATTCAAGGTCGTGGTTCTCGAGTCGATCCGCATGTTGGCAGCTAAGTACCCTCGAAAGTACTCTGTCCTCCTTAATTTCCTGTCTGGCCTGCTGCGTGACTCAGCCGGCTATGAGTTCAAAAAAGCTGTAGTGATCGCTATGGAGTCCATTATCAAGGAAAACTCCCAGGCTAAGAACCTCGGTAGGTTTTGCTTTTCTTGAAATGTTGTTTTTTGGTATTTTCAGAGTGACATAGTTCGAGAAGGGACCACACCTTTATGGAAACCTTTTGATGATGACATTGTCCTAAGGCACTGTTTTGTTGAAATTTTTGTGCATTATGCCATAACCTTCAATTAGTCATAACAAAACTTACCTGTCTGTGTGTGACCGTACTTAATGAATTCCAAGACAACTAAACCCCTGGAGTTATTAATTTGCGATACCTGAATTTTTAAGTACGCTTTACTTAGAAAGTGTTCTTGTGTAGTAAACCGCTTTATTTCAAGAGTAAATGCCTACTCAAAATCGGCAGTTTTTTCCTCACAATTCCTTTTTATTTGTTTATTTTTTCGTTTTTAAGGTAAATTGTGTCCTTTTATTTGGAAGCATGAAACAACTACTTGAAACTGCCATCCCTTTGTCAGCAGTTGATAAGAGTTAAATCTAGTCAGCTGACGGCGTGGGGCAATATCGGCCAATGAAACCTTTTTTGATACATAACCACGCTACTGACAAGTAATCAGTAAGGTGGCGCTTAAATAATGTTTTCATTGGGGTAAAACACTCATTTAGTGCCACAAAGTTGTAATCAAACGCTGAGAACCGAAACACGTAGCACGTGTCATCGCGTTTAGCTATTTTCTGCTTCAAACCATTTGTTGTCCTTCGAACAATCAGTTCAGCCAAAAACTTTTTTTCATGTATTTCCCTCAATGTGCTCAATTTATTTGGGCCTCAAATTATCATTATTGTTATTATTATTATTATTATTCGTATTCCAATAAGTGGCCAGTGTTGCAACCGAAAGTCAGGCAGTGGGACTGCACAACTGGTTGCTTTTTGATAAAATCAAAATGTAATATTTCGAGTAAGGTAAAGTGCTAAAATCGTGAAATAAGGGTTTTGTGTGAATCCCAGATTGGCTCAAGCTCTCAAAAGCTAATTTTTTGGTAGAAAAGTACGCTTCATTAGGACGCTTGCTTCTAGTTCATCAGACTTGGTCTTTCTATATTGCCTGGTAGTGCTAATCGTTTTTTTGCCAAAATACATAGCTCTAAAAAGCTTAGTTCAATATTTAAATAGCCGTGTCAGTTTTTGTACTCCAGCAAGCGCTTTCAGACTTGTTTGACTACCGCGTTGCGGATGAGATCAGCAACCACTTGTTCTGTGACCTTAAACTTTACTTTCGTGAGCCCGAGGTGTTATGTTACGCAAATCACACACCACCTCTACTGCAGTCACATTTTCACAATTCGCAGGTCTTCTGCAGTTGTGTGAGTTCATTGAGGACTGCGAGCATGAGAAACTGACGCAGCGTATCTTGTACCTGCTTGGGCGTGAGGGTCCATTTTTGAGTCGGCCTCGCCAGTTCATCCGCTTCATCTACAACCGCATCATCCTCGAGTCCGCGGCCGTCAAGTGCACCGCCATAGTGGCGTTGGCGCGTTTTGGCGCGAACTGCGACGACCTCCTGCCCAGCGTCCTCGTGCTGCTTGAACGGTAATATCCCGCACCATGTCCATGTCGCGATGTTGGCTCACCGTGGTGAGGATGACTGTCACCGAGATAGTTCTTTTTGAACCAGTCCCTATATCTGCAAACATCATACTTTTTTGGCGTAATTGCCTGCCTTTTGCATAATGTGGGGTGCTGCAGTCTCGATGTTCTTTTTTGCCCATAGCGTAATGCTCGACGACGACGATGAGGTCCGTGACCGAGCCGCATTCTACCATCACGTTCTGTCGTCAAGCGACCGCACCCTGGCCAAGGAGTACGTTCTGAATGACGAGAATCGTCTCAACATCCAAGCTCTGGAGCGCGCCCTCCTCGCGTACACCCAGGCTTCTAGGGCGGATTTGGCAAAGCCCTTCGATTTGTCTTCTGTCCCTGTCGAGGAACCGCCTGCCGCTGGCATCTCTGAAGTCACCGCCATGGCAGAAAGCTCCACGGTCGGTTTCTTCGAGGCCCCCAGCACTGCCGCACACGGTGCTGGCAAAGGTACATGCTTTGGTGGTACTTATTGGCGGACTATACTTTGTGCACGATTACCTGGCCTCACCAATAATGGCCTATTGAAGAAAATGTTCTCCCTCCTCCAAGAGAATCGAATTTCAGTTATTTAATTACGCAGTCTGGTCCATTCCAATCATTGCCACTGCGTTGGTTTTGGTGCCATCAACATGAATTCATTGTTTATATCTGTTATAATGCCACTGATTTGACACTACATTGGTGTCCATTGAGTGAGGTTAACGTGGTAAAATGTGTGCTGGGGCTCATCGGGGGTTTTTTTTACCAATGTAGTGTCAATCAGGTTAATAATGCGCAATGTTAATGTGATTGTGAATACGTTGCGTGACATTTTGATTGAAAGGATCTGTACAGTGCAGTCCCTAGGGTGCTAACGCGTTCTAGTGCTAATTCTTAAAGTATTTCCTACTAAGGCGACGAGAAGGGAGGTGCTGCGAAGGACTCGACAGCTGCTGGAGCACCCCAAAGGCGCCAAAGTCGCTACATGGAGGAGCTGGAGGCAATCCCTGAGCTAAGGGCTCTTGGTCCGCTCTTCAAGTCTTCGATGGAGGTCGAACTTACCGATCCTGGCACAGAGTACACGGTCTCTTGCGTCATCCACACTTTCCGACATCACATCGTCCTTCAGGTCGGTCGTTGGTTTTTTTTACGTCGCTTTCTTTGTCGTAATGGCGAAGCAGGTTAACCAGACGAGGTCGTATCATTCTCTCCCCCCATTGGCATATTCTGGTTCAAGGTGACAGGTAGAACGACCTCACACCTACTTTTGATTAGCTGTAAGGCAGCCACTGCAAATGGCGTCATGTTTCGTGTCATTGTCGACGATGAACTCACGAAAAAATATTGATCTTTCATAAAATGCATAACAAGTTACGGTGTTCATGTGGGTGCATTTTTACCACCTTATTACCGACTTATTCTCATGTCTGCAAAGAATTTATGGATTTATATCTTTTGGTGAAGTGTGAAGCCACGGGTGTTCGTGTGCATTTTTTTTTGTTTTCGGCACAACTGAGAGTTGTCTTGTCCGATAGTTTCGAATGGTTGCTGGTGTAACCTGACTGTTGTACCCATTAATTTGGTTTTGTTACCACAGTATGAACACACTTTAGAAAACCTCTAGAATTTGTGGGTTTTCGTCTACCGCAAATATTTTATGCAAGTATGCATAATTTAATGATATTCCTACCACCATCATTTGGTTCTCTTACCGACCAAACTCTAACATCGAAATGTGGTGAATTAGCCGGCGGTAAGTCCTTTCACTACCATTCTTTGACGACTTAAATCTAAAATAAGATGTGTCACCTGTTTAATCCACAGTTGATTCATGCCTTGTTCTGTTGCAATCAGTGTTATATTCACAGTGCTAGTAAACAATGCTTGTACTTTCTTGAACACACCTGTCGTTTTTGGCACAATGTAAAACTGGATGACTTGAGCTTACCATCTTTTGTTATCGGAAAATGAATGTTTGATGAACACTGTCCACGATACTGCTTTCTAATTGACCGTAAAGAATCCCAATTACTGATTATTATTGTTATTCGACTTGATTTCTGTATATTAGTACGAGGTAACGAATACAATGGAAGATCAGTTATTAGAGGACGTCTATGTTGAGGTTGAGGTTGCAGACGAGGACTTTGAGGTGTTGAAAAGCCTTCCAATCAGGTCCCTGGGATTCAACACACCCGCCTCAACCTACATCATTCTTCGACTGCCTGAGAGCGTTTCTCTTCTCACAACTTCTTTATCCAACACCCTCAAATTCATTGTCAAGGACGTCGAGGCCGGACCAAATGATCCTGGTCTAACCGATGAATATGCTGTGAGTTATTATTATTTTTTTAAATTGCATAGATTGAATTAGTCAAAAATTCCGGCCTTCAAGTGCTTTTGTGCTTCCTCAATAGTTTACACCCTCTAAGCTTCGGAATGCGACATTCGTGAAGAATAGGTTTCTAATAATCGGAATGTTACTGGAAGATTAAATTTACTGTGGTGCGTCGTATAATAGCAATATCACCATCACAACCTTCAAATTATTGCCAAGGAGAGGAAATCAATTGGTCTATTCGCGTGTTGCCAGCTGATCACTCCCCGATATTGGTCAAATTCATGTTTGCCCTGTAATTTGCGAGATGTCTGAATTACTCGTGTTTTGTTTTATTGGTGTGTTGACGTGTTGAATTTGTGCCCACTAGCTTGAAGAATTGTCCGTTCCTGTCGCTGTCCACTTCCAACGCGTGCTGAAATCAAACTTCGCCGCTGCTTGGGAGGAATGCGGCGATGAAGGGGAAGCCGAAGAAACCTACTTCCTCACCAAGTTCTCAACCATTGAAGGTATCCCTTGTTGACTTACCTTAGTACTCTGAGTGTGTTTTTGCAATATGACCTGTGGGGGTTCCGTGTCACCCTTATTCTTCTTTTTTTCTAGGCCTTTTGTACTGGTTTTTAAAATTAGCCCCAAGATCGGCATTTCCCTTAGAAACTTAAATACGAAACTCGGGCGTCTTGTCGCCTTGATCCTGTGCTGAAAAACGCACTGCCGAAGACCGGAGCCTCGTTAGTGGTCAAATTAATGCCACGAGGGATTGGTCATTGTTTATGTGAATCGGGTGCAATGGAGCGGTGAACGGGGAAAGGAAACAACCTATTAAGATCGCATAACCTAAAGTGGACAGGAGAGGCGTGGAAGACGCTGGCATGTCAAGCACCTTGTCTTGTGTTAAGTTGCAGAACACCCGACTAAGTGTTCATACAGGCTGGTAAACTGCACAGATCCAGCTTATTGGGAATACTTAAGGCCTTCATTGTTAGCGTTGTGGACGAGGATAAGAGTTGTTCGACTCGTGCTGTAGTCGCCTGGAGTTTGTGCTGAATCGAGCATTTTATATGCATGAACAGACAAGTTATATTTTGGTGAGAATCAGTTCTAAACTTCAAAATGTACGCTAGTTAACTGCTGAGTCACATTGCTTTTGTGATTTTTGATCAACCTGCTCTCTTGGGCAATTTACGATAAAAAGTCCAAGTTTCATTGTGCGGTTTTGAAGACGTTCGGTTCCCCTTGAACGTCTAGTCTTATTGTCTGTTAATCAGTTCTGAACTTCTGTTCATGGTTTCGAGGGGCGACGTAGGCTCAACACCTTGTTTGTTTGTTCATGCGTTATCGGTTGGGCACCAATCGGAGACATGGCTTTTGTCTGATTTTGCGCTATTGCTCTAACTGAATCCAATTACGCCCCATACTGTGCCTGGGTGTTTCCTGCGTAGCCTTCTCATCTTCCTCGCGAAGTCACAATGCCTCAAACAGGCCTCGTTATGGTCACCTAACAAACAGTTAAACAGTCGCCGCTGATGGCATCCGATGACTGCCGTAATTTACATGATTTCTTCATCGTTGTCGCCCACGTGTATCGGCGTTTAGTCATTTTTATAATGCAAGATTTGAAAGTGGACGTTGCCGTTGCCATAACTGTAATATTAATGACGCACCGTACACCGTTAATTGCCCCTAATTTTATTCAAAATTCTACGCCCTAAATAAATATGGCCGCGGATGGGTCCTATTTTCTTTACCGAGTTTTCTCTTGTGCAGTTTTCTACTTGTTCCTGCTAGCTTTCGTTCGGAAGGTTTGTAATTCCATGTAGTCTGGCATAAATTTCGGCACACAGTGTTTGTGAGAAGTGGTAAAAACTAACCAGCTGTCTTTTATTTAAGAAACATGCTTTAGCCAATGATGGAGCATTATTCTATAGTAGGACAAACTCCTTTTATCGGCATTAAAGCGATATTTTCATTCACCTGTGCCATACATTTTGGGGTTCTGTTTGCTGAAGTACTCCAGTGAGGTGCATGTTATCATGCAGTACTTATCTAGGTGTGGTCGAATGGTCGTTTGTGTGAAAATCGAGCCCTGTCTGTGCTAAGGCGTACTTGCTTTACTTTACTGGCATTCCTCGAATGTCATACTAACAGGCATTTTTCTACTTGCTAACTCAGAAATGGTGACGGAGTTGGTTGCTCACCTTGGCATGCAGCCATGTGAACGGTCTGACCAGCTGCCCACCGAGGAGAAGACCTCCCACACGCTTCTGCTCGCTGGTGTCTTCCGTGGTGGAATCACCGTCCTCGCACGCTGTAAATTAGCCAAGTCCCTTCCTGGCAGTCAGCCTGGCATCAACTTCCAAATCACGGTCCGTTCGCCGGTGGCCGAAGTCAACCAAGCGGTCGCTGACTCACTCAGCTAAATACGCTCTCCTCCCCTCTTTTTGGAAGTTTTGTGTTTCTTCTCGACAATACTACTTTATTATATTTAAGAATGGTTGATTCATTGGTTTTATCGTGCATTCACAGGTAACCGAAGGTACTGTTCACGACGTCTCTTGATAAGTGCATTGCTCGGTTTCTCCTAACTTTGGCCTTCTAACTACCCACGACCTACTTTATTCCAATGCTCTAATCACATACTTCCAGCAAAGATGTCTTGTACACAATTATGAGTAATCGTTTTCTGTGCAAGGAGTTAGTCTTCTTGCTAATTATCACACCTGATTATCACTTAATCCACGCGCATCCTTAACTGCGCTGAGTGGTTCCGAATTTCTTGAGCCAATGTAAATTTTAAAGTATTCCTCACAGGAATTCGCTGTTGCAACTGCGCATGTTACTGTCCCATCCCAAACTTTGCCTTAAAATCGTCTCGGAAAATTTGGTTGAATAGAGGTTGGTTAATTTGTAGACGCCCCGCACAAGACAAACGCTTTGGTGTTGGTTTAATCGATTGTATTGTATAGCTTTCATCCTGATAAAACCTTTCCTTAAGCCTTTAAAAGTTCTTGATCCCTAGCAGGGCAAATAATTCTGGCACAAAGATCGATAAGCGGCTGTTTAAAACGAGTAAGCTCGTGGCCCAAATAAAACAACCCTCTCTCCAAATGCCTACATCGAAACGCACTAACAAAACGTCAGGATTTTCTGACGTCCCTGGTTTGGCGGTGGGGGCACTCAAACGAGGTGAAATGTCTTCCCGACAAGAAGACATTGACTACCGCGAAATGGCGGATATTTATCGTACATTCTGTCCGCCCCTCGTCAATAGACGCTGCAGAAAACTCCAGGTCATCGATCCTGATATCGTAAAGTTCGTGTCAGACTTCTCACAGCAGCAAGCCAAACAAATGGGTGTACCAGCATGGCTTTCTAAGAAAGTGTTATACCCCGACGCTATGACCATTAGCAAAGTCCGAGGACAAAAGGCTGGCGGAACTTCGTACTTCTTGCCGAGGTATCTTGACTCTCGGGAGATCAAGAACCTTCTAACCGAAATGGAAGAAGACCCACACATGGATATTAGTGTCATGAGTACTTTGGAGTCATCTGGTGAAAAGGTGGTGTTGAGATCTCCCGAGGGACATGATGCCGTCATCGCCCCAAAACGTGCTACTTTCTTTAATCAGGGCCTTCTTCAGCTCGGTAAAGACCTGAGAAGGGCTGAAAAAAAAACCGCAGGCTCCTTTGCATCAAGGAAGGTGCATTATCCACCAACTTACAAAGCGCATAGCACTACCGACACCTCTGTAATCCCACCCAGTGCAGACCCCCGTTATTCTAACCTTCCATTCGGTTTGGTTCAAGAAAGCTTAAAAGAACCCCCACGAGTATACACCAGGACCCGTAAGAAAGCTCTGCAGGGGCATCTGTTTGAGGCCAACGCCAACTTCAACAGCGCGATTCGATTCGCCCTGCCAGAGCATCTAGGTAACCTTAGTGGACTGAATGTCCTCCAGTACATTCAGCAGTTTTGTTCAGTTAAATCGGATCTGCGTGATGTGCTTATCCATCGCTACCAGAACACCTCGAACTGGGAGCGGAAGGCGCCGTTTGATATGGTGAAGGAGCACGCACGTACAGCCCTGTTGGGAATGATAAATGAGGATGAATTGGATGATTTTATGGGGTACTTTAAGTTTTCAGATGGCTTTACACTAAACAGGCAGGTGTATGTGAAAATAATGGCGCTTATATTTCGCATCTACGGTAGTCGACTGGCGGAAGTGGATAAGGACTTTTGGAGGTTCTGTGCGGCCCCTCTCGAATATGTCGATTTCAGGGGCCTCCTAGATAGGCTGCTGGACGTAGAGTTGACCCCCAATCTGCGGAAGCTCCTTGTAAAACTTACTCAAATTGCAGTGGAATTCCATCTAACGTAGCTCTTTTTACGTCATTAGTTATTTGTTCATATAATGGGTTGGCCAATCTGCAGTAAGTTGTTTTACCAAGCGATCTGTATATGTGCTACGTTTGCACCTCTTGTAGTTTTCTGAAAGCGTGAAACAGAACGATTTTAGCAAAGAGACTTAGGAAAAATCGCAGCTGGCCCAAAATTGTTCGGTTCTGTTTGGTAGACACCGAGGGTGGAGCACTATTTTTAATTGTCTCACGGAACATTCATTGCCTTCTTTAGAGTGCGAAATTGAGTTGCGTGCATTGGCATATATGTGGAGCAGGCACCAATTTCACATTACTCATTCTAAGGCCGTCTCATCGACTCGACGACAAAGCGCTTCAGCACACGGCACGACACAAGTATGGTAGAGAAGGGTTCGAAAAAATGTGGACAATTTTCGAATGTATGAGGTGGGAGCAGCCCTCGACTATTAGCCTCCCCTGCTTAAACATCTCGCCACATAACCAAAAGCAACTTGAAAAACGTCACACATCTGCCAGTCGGACCAAGGATAATATTTTTGTTAGACCCAGTTGAGGAGGACGGCATAAATGTGTGCAAATAATTTGACAGTATGCCATTTGAGGTACTGAGGTAGATCATTTTTGGTAGTCAGTAGCTTTACGGTAAATTTACGATACGGAGAAATTGTGGGACTTAATAGAGTCTCCACGAGAAAAGATTATAACGCGTGGCAACTCCTGTTCTAACATATGATTACAATGGACATAACTTTTGCATAACTTCACTCAGACCTACCCGCATTTGCACTGGTAAAGGTGGGGTTAGCTGCCTTATTTGTATTGGGATTACTGTCTGTAATAACTTGTTAAGTGACAAGCCTTGATTCCTATCATGGTTGTGACGCCATATTTGTCGTCAAAACTGCACCCACACTAAACTTACATAGTGATTCTTAGACTACTTCAGAGGAACTAAAAGCCCACAGTTAAACTGTATCATCGTTTTACCCTTCTCTGATCAGAATTTTGAACTGTGCCTAGGCCACATAAAGGCTTACAAAGAATAAAGGTCCTGCTCCTTTTTTTGAAGGGGTGTGTCGCGCTTTGACGGTGGCCAAGTTTGAGTAGCTGCAGAGAATAGACAAACTTCTGATAGGGTGGTTTAGCTGTAAAGCGACGCCAAAAGAAGTCGGGTGCTTTCGGTAAAAGGTCCATTTTAACGCAAAATTATCGATTTGTTTAACAAGTCTAATAAAAATTTATGCATGGTAAAGTAGGTAATCAGATTTGTTGGCTGTGGAATCCAAATGTGGTACCCTGTTTCTGCACTTTCTTTTGGTTCTTGGAGGTCCTCTTTCTCCGAAACAGCTGCATTCGAGTCGAATAGAGGTGGTGGGCAGTCGGAGTAAAAGGGAATTCCTTAGTTTGGGAATTCGCTTTTTCCTCAAGCTTCTCGAGCAGTTGCCTAAGCTTTGGGTCAACATTCAGGTGTGCGATTCTCCGAGACAACAGCCAAAAATCCAAACGCTCCAGTGGTCCAGCCTGCAGACTCCATTTGTCGATGTCATCTAATGGATTCTCACTTTCGTCGGCTTCATCAAAAACTGGGGCGAATAAGCGTTCGCACAGGCCCACGCACTTACAAAATGTTGCTAAGTTGAATGAATAAGTTTCTGTTAGACCAAGGAGCCTGGTGAATTCGTCCAAATCGTCTTTCTTTAAGGTGTCTTGCATGAGCTGTGTGACTGACAGCTTCAGTGCTGGCATGTCGACTGCCAACTGTTTTATCCTCGAGAATAAAGCTTCATAAACCACAACTCTCTGTTTCTCCACTTCACAAAACTTATCCAAATATTCGATGACACTTAATTCCTCGAGTTCTTTTAAATTTGCTGGAATGCTAAAACGAATACTTGAGTCAACAATTTTCTTGGCTATTACTTGACGTCTTTGAAGCCGTTGTGCGATCCATTTAGTCCAGGAAAAAGAGGCAGCACCGGTGTTATCCTCTACGTCCATCCTAAAGAGCCAACGAGCAGATGTTTTGGGTATACTTTGGAGAGGTAAAACCGGGGCCAAATAGGTATCCTTGGCTCGAAAACGCACCAAATCGACCGTTTTCTTACGAATGATCCGATCAGTAAGGACTGTGCCCCTGCGCACTATTTCTCGGAATTGAAAATTCCAGTTGGACAATCCAATGGCCCTTTCATTAAGCAGGATATCTAGGTAGCGAGATCGTGGTTTTTTTGTGGGTTTTGTATCAACAAGCTCGGAAAGCCTTCGGGGAGAAGCATTGGAGACCTCATCAACTTCTTGATCCGTCACGTTTTCTCTCAGAATGTGCTTTATATGTGGGCCTGCTACCAAGTGCAAAGTTTTATTCTCCACGATATCACAATGGGATTTTTTCGGCAATGAAGGCGTAAGTGGATAATTTTTCTGTTTTTTTAATTTAGACTCAATCATCCTGGAAAGCGCCCTTCCCCACTCCAGAGTAATGTGTTTAACCCCTGAAAATAGCGAAAACTCCTGAAGAATATATTGCACGACATCAGAGTCAATTGCTTTGCTATTAGTTGCTGCTGCCGATGGCAGAGGAGGCATGAAAACATGACTATCGCCCAGTTTCTCAGCAAGATCAAGGTTATGGCTTGTGCTGCGTTTCACATCGGTTAAACAAAGTTGCTGCGTGGATACGGGAAAAAGATATTTTGAGCGTTTACCTGCAGTAGGGGCAATAGCACCCTTGACACTGAGATTCTTCATCCTATTACTGATGTGGACGTATTTTTGTTGTCAGCTGACCCCTATCGATTGTGGCGTCTGCAAACACTTGGATGACCTTGAGAAACCAAATCAATTGGACCAGGTCAGAGAGAAGGAGCAGAGTTTTGATTATTGAAGTCCGCAGTAATTATTGAACCTTTGCCTTTTGCTCTTAAAATTCCTTTGTATATACTTTTATTCAGCCACTAATCTCACAGGAAATTTTGAGCACTTGCTTGATGTAGCCTTAATAAGGGATTCGGAAGAGTTGTGAAATTCCGGCAGAAATGTGTGTCTGAGGTACATTACTGGCAGCAACCACTCATTGAGTGCCTACATTAAGGATAAATTCAATGCTCCTCTTTAAAAGCCAACGTTGTTTTTAAATTAAAGATGGTGTGTACACATTTAGCCTTCTAGAAATTCCATGAACAACAGTAGGTGCATTGAACACTAACACGGTGAGCTCAGGAAGTCTGTTGTCGGTGCAAATATTATCTTGCAATGGATTTTCACCAGCAAACGACTTTCTATTGCAAGGCTTTTGAACGGTGTACGAAAGACATCGAATGAACCCAAATTCGAATGCTTGTCATCTTGTCAGGATTTAATAATTGATGAAGGAAAACTAAGTTTGTGCAAAAGCGTGAAAGGGAGTGGCAGGAGACATAGCTATATATGTTACTCTATGCAATCTGTACAAGTGATGCAAATAAAAATGTCTCGTTCATACATTTAATGTATGCCTGGTGTATCTGATAAAGGAGACGAGGCTTTTGTACAAGTCCAGTTTGTCAGGGGATTTCAATGAGGTGGCTCGTGAGGGTTGAGTGGGGGTGGGGGGTGTTGGAAAAAAGCGAGGTACTGTGCGTGCGATCGACACGCATCAACGCGCTGCTGCAGCAGTTCGGTTTCATCAGCTAGGGCTTCGAGGTAGCCTTCGTCGTTCGGATCCATTCGTTCAGCAACGTTCACTATAAAAGACATGAGGTATGCCAGTGCGTCAGTCACTAGGAGTTACTTCAATGACCTTTTCAATGAGGTCCAGCCAGCTTCCATTGGTTTTAAACTTAGCAACCCAGAAGTTCTAAATGTTTCGATTGCCGTTGCGTTGTTAGGTGCAAACTATCGTCAGATAAAGAGCGGCAACTAAATACTTTCCAGAAATAACTTGAACCACGGCTTTAATGCGGATTAGTTTTTGGAGAAAGTGAGTCTACTTTAATGCCTCTGTGAGTGCGTTGGTATTGCAATTCGAATTTTCAATGCAAGTGTTTTACTATATCATTTTTAAGCTAACACTTAAATTTTTAATTGAATGCAAATGTACCTAAAGCATAGCTACATAACCTATGAGTCACAAATACCTGACTAGGAAGTCGTTTTCCATTTAGACTCTCAATATTTCCACTAACTAAATCGGAGTCTGTTATTTCTTTTTAATGCTTAAACAACCTAGCTAAAGGTGAGCAATTAATTACCAAGCAATGTCCGCCTCCAAATATAGATGAAAATGAGTTATTTTGATCACTTTAAGGCGAATTCAGTTTCTTTTTAAATAAAGAAACCAATATCTCATTCCTGAATGACGCATTCACGGTCAGAGAAATTCAGCCATGTGTTGGAATCCATTTAATTAACCCACTCAAATAGGACGATAAAATATTGAAAAGTTTGGCCTTTTGTCGACGCGAGCTCAAAGAACCTAATGTTTATCTAATAACAGAGTCCAGGGCTATCAGGAGCAGGACAAAATGCTGGCGCGGACCTTTCCGCCGTGCCTTAAAAAAACCACTTACAATCGAAGCTCCAGGATCCAGGGTCTGCAAGAAGGCGTGTCTTAGCAGCAGTCAGTTCATTCTTCAATACCTCCTGGCGTCGAAGTAGAGCGGTTATCTTTTCTTCGCGCAAAGTAGCCCTTGGTAGCTAAATTATAAGAAAAACCAGTGAAACGCCAGCGACTGTTGAAGGCCATCTGGAATTTAGGACGAACTGACTAGAAATTAATGTCACTCACTATTTGACGCTGGATTTAACGCGTATTCTACTATTACACGAGGCAATTTAGAGGGCTTTCTCCAACGTTGTTGCGAAATTGAATAACCAATAAGACTTTATTGATCGAAATTGCTCTTTTATACTTCTAACTTATCTGTGGAGTTGATTCACGCAGATTTATTCCTCCTAGAGTTCCATGACTGCCGACTAAGTGGATACGGCTTTAATGCAAAAAATACAGGGCGGCCCAGATGTGACCAAATCATGACTTTTTATAAAAATGGGGAAATTTTTCGTTGCAAGCTTGCGAAATAAAACTGAGCTCTAATTATTTTAAATTCTAAGTCTTCATTTTCACACACGTCAGAGTTGATATTTTTTTGTTGACAAACACTGTATCGCAGTATTTTGCGACCTTAAAGAGCCTTTTGAATACCAGAGGGGAATCATCCTACTTAACTGCACTGTCAACATTTCACATTTAGAATAATCTTGTCATAATGGCCAGTCTCGAATATGGATTTGCTGTCACTTGAAGCATCCGGATTAAGTAAAACGCAAACATGATGAGCGAGGCGTTTTGAGTGAATCATGATAAATTAATAGGTGACCACACGGAGCATTTCATGTTTTGGGACCTTAAAGAAAATTCTTCTTAGTAACACTATTTCGTAATGCATGTTCGCACGAAAATTACAGGGCAAAGTAATTTGCGTACATTAACGTATGTTGCCTTCTGCAGAGGCGAACGTAAAAAGGAAAATTCATGTTCCTTGCGACGCACTGACTAAGCAGAAGTTAGCAACCGACAGTGTGGGTTTAGTCAAAACTTGTGATGCATTCGCTTTGTACTTAACGTTGTGTAGAAATTACTATAGCACTCCACATAACAACGTTGATTAACTTCGCAAAGTTAGCTTGAAGATTTCGAAGTTATGGCACCTTGAAAAAAATCGTTTTTTACACCTCTACCACTACTTTACCAAAGTTTATCGGTAATTCTAAAGGTTGAATAAGTGTATCGAAACATAAAGCCTCTCCAAAGTCAGACTGCGAAAGTGGCCAAATCTGACCCTTGATCCAAGCAACAAGGATACATTTCCTGCGGAGAATGGTATGGCCTGGTCACCCCCTGATTGTCGCATTTCCATTCCCAGTTTTCTTAATTTGGCTTTAGCCTATTAAGATCTATGCGCATTTATCTCTGTTTAGTTGACTTCTGGACTTCAGACAGCTGAGCGTAGCGCACCGAGTGGTTTAATCTTACGGACATTTTATCGCTAATTTATTATTTAAAAATTAAATACTTTCTTTATGACATAAACGTATCACCTAAGTCTTGTGACCTCAACATTATTAAAACAAACATTTATCGTTTTTTGCAGATGCCATTTAATCTGTATCGACTTCATTAACTTTAACAGCGCATTGAAAGTGATTTCTTTTAAGAGAGAGGAGATTTCCACATATTAACAAAACAAACTAACCCACCAATATTATAGTGTGCAGTTATTAAATGTCAGGTGATTGTTTGCTCACAGGGTCCTAGGATTTTAGTTTCAAAACAAATTTCTGAGTTTTCCTATGCCGGAAAGGTTGCCAAATGGTACGAATGCGTTCTACTCAAAAGAAATAACCCACTTAGGAAAAAGAGACTCCAATTTTGAGAGTAGAACATTCATCTCACTAAAAACACAGCTGATGTATAAGCACGTTGGCAGTATCTGAGTTTCCATCTTTAGATAATTAGTAGGTTATTAATTTTTTTAACAAGATCTGCAAAATAAAAATATTACTTGTGCTAGTTTAGTTACGGTTAAGCAGAGTGCGGCAAAAGCTTACCACTTCGCTTTAGAAAATTAATTTAGTAATTTACGTAGAGTAGATGACAACAAAATGGTGGTTTGAAAAAAACCACAAGCTGCGTTTATCTGAATCTGCTTTTCTCAGAGTTAAAATTGAAAGGAGCAGATACGGAATCTTCAGCAATTAAGAGCTGTTTTTTTCCAATATTTTCATTTCTGCGATCCACTACAAAATGCCACACTAAAACCTTATTCTTACGAAAATTCGGCACTAAAAACATGGCTTGTACCCTAAAAGTCAACAGTCTTTGCACGTTTTTTCTTAAAATCGACAGATAACACTAGGCATGTTTCACTTTTTATGCTCGTCATGTAAAAATAAAGGCGTTGACAATAAGCATTAAATTCTTATTGATTGGTCAATTCTCCTGCGTGTTACCAGTGCTAACACAAGTGAGTTGATTTTATTCATTTACTTAGACCATGTGAACTGTAAAGCTTTCGCCTTGAATACTTTTGCAGTCTTGAACTCAATTTGAAGAGTTGACCTTCTTATTTCCGAATTAAGATTGTCGTACTGAGTAGCAAACAATTATAATTGGCATATTCTTATGAAGCATCATTCTTTAATGTACATTTGAACGGCAGTTTTCGGACAGGCATTTTCGTTAATCTTGCAAACTCTATGTCAAAATGAGACTTATCACCACCATTTATGCCAGCTCAAAAAGCAAAAGGATCTAGAGCTGAGTAGACAGAGGCGCTGCTAGCGACGTGAAGGCTGTTGTTCATTTTAAATATGCACGACAAACATAACATTGTTCCTGGAGTTTCTTTCCAAAGCACGGGATTTAAAAATTTTTGACATCATTTGGGAGTTCTGAGACAATTCATGGATCTTAAAGATATGGCGTATTTTTCATTTAATTTTATCAAATTTTAATTTATTGGACCCTAAAACATGTAAACCCGCATGAATGCATTCGCAGTTTGTAACTCAGGTGTAATCGATGCTGTGGAATAATTGGCGCGTTCATGAACGTGTAGTCCTCTCTCGCGGTAGGAATAAAAGGCAAGAGAATGGATCAATCAACGAATGGTACATCATTGTCATTAAGTGATTTATTATCTTGTGCGCGACGAGTAGTAAAAGTGAAGCATTGGGCATATGCGGTCTTCGCCACGTGCTGCATTGGTGTGATGTTGCGCCATTAATTAAGGCATTTTATTTCTGCTCTAAGTTAATATGTCCAAAACATAACCGCACAAACAGGTGCCAGAAAGGAAAATACGTGGAAGTGTTTTATAGGCGCTGAGTTCTCCTGTAATGCTAAAAAATTAGAAAGAAATGTTCTGTAATGACTGTTTCTGTGGTATAAAGGCTAAATCAACATCATTAATCCAATCTAAATACCGTTCCTTTTTAAAATTGCCTAAATGATTAAAGCCGAAATAATATGGCTAAACTGTATTCATAATAGAACGAACTTGGGCCAAGATTGCAACGTTGCTGAAAAGTGGTTAGCAGGAGGAAGATCGATGTCGTTTGGAAAAACAGATTGGATTTCTACACTCAAGTGTAATGCTATACTTGCATATTGAAACGTGCACCGTTTGTGGTTGAAGTTCTCAGTTGAAAGGGCGCAGGTCTGTTTCTGAGTACCCATGACAAGCTCATCTCTAGGTGCATAAATTTAGTTCTCGTTATGCAAGGTAGTGTCCTGTTATTAATGTACCAAGTTTTAAAAGTTCAGTGCCAGTTTTATAAGTCATGGGACTGTTCTCCTGCAGTACCCGTCCCTAGAGCACATTATGGCACCATGGTATTTGAATAGTGAAAGGCTTAATATGGAACTAGGGAATTGCCCAAATTAAAGCTGCATCAGATTACGGTCGATGGCAGGTTGCTTATACAGATGACTACTTTTGAAACGGTAGCATTTGGCTTCTTGCCATGTCTTCACAAGACGACTCCTTATGCATCAATCAGCCCCTATCTGGGGCTAGTAGGAATTACGTACCTCAGGTTCATCGCTGTTTACTCGAATGAGTTCCTTGAGACGCACGTGGTGTTGAGCAGTGCGGGGATAGACAGCGTTAGTGAGGAAGCTTTCATCGCCTGTGGAGTGCAGTGGTTTAGCTGGGGAGGCTCGGCGGACACTAGGCAGACTGCTGCTTCTTGATTCCTCAGAGGAACCAGCTGGAGCCGACAGACTTCGTTTCGAAGAGATGGTTCGTTCACCGGAAGCTTTAGTCAAAGAAGCCAACATCAACACTGGTAGCAAAAAGCGTTTGGTGGGGATCCTAACATTTTGGGGTAGGGAAATCGTACGTTTTACGGTGAATTGTTCCAAGCAGTAATTCGGTTTACTTAGGGCTAAATCGAATATGCACAAGTAAGGACATAATCAACGCCACAATGGAAATACTTAAAAACGAAATTTTAAGGACCAGAAGGTACACTCTCAGTCGTTCAAATCAGTAAATTAGGTTTATTTAAAAATTTAATATTTTCCACTGTTTATTTGTTACAGGTCTTTTGCTTGATGCCTCAATTTAGGGGTTTAAAATCCTTCTGGAAATATCAGTTAAGACAGCAATTCAATGGTAATAGAAAAATTTGATAAATGGATAATTTTTTTTGGAATTTCTGATAGTTTCATAGTAGCAATGCCTTCTGAAGTATTTTATGCATGAATCAAAGGTGAACTCCCAGATACATTTTGAACAAAGGGCATACCCTTTTTATCCCTTCGTGGTAAATAATCAAGGTATGTCAAATGAAAGCAGCTGACACTTGGATAACGAACGAAAATGAGCCAAACGTTTACATTTTAGGAATTAAAGGAAAAAGAATCTTGTGTTTAGAAGCACTACAACAGTAGCACTTCAGTTTGTATGTTGACCAAATATCTTCACATTAAGAAGCGATGTCATTGGACTTGAATTGAGGTAGATAGTGGTGTAAAGCAAGTTCAAGCCTGAGTAGCAATATGTCGTGTATTTCACGAGAAAGTGCATTTTATGTCAAGTGATCAGGACCATAAATATATTTATGCATTCAATTTCAGTCGATTCTCCGTTGCTGGGCCCTTGCTCTTTTATTACAATGACGCAAATTGATGCAAAAATCGAGGTGACAATTAGAGGAGATTTACTTGGTGACTGCAGGGAATAAATGTCCAAGTTCAAAAACATACAGAACGCAGTTTGTTCAGTGTATTAGTTCGTCTATTTTGGTCCGTTCCCGCCTTGCTAAGGCCCTAAGCAATCGAAAGCATTATCAATAACTGTCCTAAGAATGAATTCAGAGGTTTGTAGACAAGCATTTAGTGTGCACATAATCAGGGTAGTTTGACAAGACCCCTCATGACACGGTGATATATTCTTGTCCAGTCACCACGGAGACTTATTTTCAAAGTTACTGACACAGAATAACAGTTGGTTCTTTGCTACTTCCGCCGTACTAACTTTGCTCCTTCTCGTTCATCTGCGTAAATGCGCCCAGTGTTCTACCTGACAAGAGATTTCATTTTTAGCAAACAAAAAATAGGCTTGTCAGACGTAGGCTGCCAGATTTTACAACGTGGTTATCCAAAACGATTGATTATAGGCCTTTAGAAAGGGAAGAATAAAAATTAGGTCGTTCATATAAGAGTCTGATTAGAGGATTTCAATTCAGTAGAGTCAATCATAAAATTAAAGTCACCTACCTGGCAACTCCGAGCAACATTCACAGTGGTTCAAAGATAACATTACAACTTTTCAGAGGGAGTGGGGAATTTTGCAGGCATATTTGGAAGGGAAAGCTAGTGACCTTTTGGAAGTTATTAAAGCTGATATTTTCTGTTGTAATTATCTTACACTCCTATGGTAAGGATAAATCTGTGACCAGGACTAGAAGACATTGTGCAGCTCGTTATGCTAGAGAAGGTATCTAGCAAAAAAAAAATATACCTATTTGCGGAACACAAACAAATTATTTTTTTTGCATGGACAGCTGGCACCAGGCGCTTTGAACTAATCCGGTGATTCCTTGAACTCCAGTGATGCAGCAGTGCGGTGTAGTAATGTGCTCTGCCTACGAAAGATCCGAGGCTGAAATGTTGTAGCCAGAACAAGCTTCTAACTGAGTCTACTTTTTGTTAAAATGCATACAATTATAGGTGTGAATTTATGTGTCCAAAGTGTTCTCACGAACAATGATTGCTAACGATTTCATTGTCCAGGCCGCAATCATATTCACGTAGACCTACGTGTTGCACGTGTGTTGTTAAAGACGTAAAATAAAGTATCCCAGGCAATTCAACATCAAAGTATACAGGCCACACGAAACTACTTTACGAGAGCTTGGAATAGTTTTCGGGGCAATGATTACTGAAGTTTTACCTCTGTCACCTTTTCATTTAGAAATCAAAACCGCTAAATAAATATCGCAGCAAGAACAATTTTTCAGTAAAATCGTCATAAACATATGCATAAGCGAATAAATAAACCTCTAAACTACAAAGATATATGGTGTACCTATTATTAACTTCCTTAATTTTAATGGTCTTCTCAATGAAAATGGCACTTGATGCTGCAAGTTGGAAAGCAGTATATCATTTTGATTAACTTTCTAAATAGCAAGCAGTTGGAAGTTTGTATTCTGAAAGGAGGTGTAACCTTTTCTTTAAGCATTTGTGTGCGGCAGATATCCTAATGCAACTCCTTTCAAAAGTTGCAGCCCAATTTTCCTGACTGCTAAATTGTTAGGTTTAAGTTACACTTTTAAAGTAGCATGCATATTTCAATATCATCAATGCTAACCATCTTTCAGGCAAATTTAGCCTACGTAAAGGAGTCACATCGTAAGAAAAATTTTACAGTTTGCCGAGAAACCCCTGTGAAAACTACTGATCACCTCATGTTCTCTTTAACTGATTTTCAGCATCGGATGTTTCACAGATGAAAGCACACGGTAGCCTTCTCTGTGATGTTTCTTTCATACGTCTTCTGGAGAGGTGGAAACAGTGCTGTGTTTTACTTTTTTACCGACCAAGTGGTTATGTGTTCTGTGCACGCCGGCCTCGTTACCACAATGTCTCAACCAAGTTGTAGCATGTTCTGCTGTTTTTAAAGGAATGAACAACTTGACCAAATATGACCATCGAATTGAAGTTTCTGTTGCATGGATTAGTGACAGTAGCTCGTGCTACACGACGCGTTTCCAATCTCAGCAGATGAATAGAATGACTTCTTTGTGCTAAAGAGCCTCCCTTTGACCGTAACTTTGGACCGAATTTCATATTTATTTAATAAAGCCACCGAATTTATTTGATAAATGTTAATGTTCTCCACTATGACTCAGCGGCTTAAATTGACTGTGAACTGTAGATTGATTACATAATTTTTGAATGCAGCATCTAGGGAAAGTTTTATTTTCATGATTAGTTAGGACCAAAAGGACTTTTGAAGCTAAAATTTAAATAGAATTTTGGGTTAAGTCGGTAGTGCCGAAAATATGCATACCGAAATTAAGCAAAATATTACCGAAGTATATTTTGAACAAGCCCCAAAAAATTCGGTCTGCTTCAGTCGAAATCTTAAGTTGTCTATTATTTGCCATCCTTCGGCGACATTTTTAGGAGTACATGAGGTCTATAACCCACAAGATTACATATAGTAAAACAATTATGCAAGTCCTAGACAAAGGCGGTTCATAATGAGCTAATTTATGTCGAACTCGTGGTTTTAATCAGTTATTTAATGTTGAATGTACCAGTTAACTAGGAAGGGATGTAAGTTGCTGCTCGACCATCTAAATCACAGGTGGACTATAGTTAGTCTTAGCTTCCCCAAAAAATGAATGAAACATCAAGAAACGACTTCATGAGCCGCTATTCAAAGCTCTAAAAACAGAAATGCCTAAAGTAACAAGCTTGACAAGGTAATCCAATTTAGCAATGAGAACCTACTTTTTGAAGTCACCGAAGCTAGCATAGTGTCACCAGTTGCAGAAACTGTTACGGTCTCTGTGAAAGAGGCTGTAAGCACATCTGAAATCATTGGGGTGCCCTGAGGAGCTGCAGGTGAACCCGCATCAAGCTCAGATGGCATTGTCTGGCAGGCAGCCTCTTTCGCTCCCACTGCTGGTGAAGGGTAAGATCCTCCACTCGAGGAACGCGAAGAAATTTCGCTGTCATCTCGCAGGACACTTTCGTAGCCACTGCTTGCATGGCCACCCCCACTACCCCCGATTGAACACTTCACATTAGTCAGAGGAGACTCGTCAATTTCGACATCTGTGAGCATCGCGACACTACCTCTATTTCGGTGAGCTCGCATGCGACACCTTCGGGCCCGAATTTCACCCTGAGCAGAGCAGCAGTGACATCGAAGTGAGTGCTGCTCACTATGCTCACTGCCAAGGCCACTGCTTGAGCTCTGGGAAACGCACTTGTGGTGACCCGCAACCTGAGGTGACTTTTCGATGATTATTTGACAATGAAAGGCCATGCTATCTTGCTGTTGTTTTTGGTAATGGCCTTGAAATGGGGTGGAAGCCTGGAGAGAAGGGTGGGAGGTTGGTGTAATGTCGTCTGGACAAGCGCGACTTGTAGAGCGTTTGCCAAAAAGCGGACTTTGAAGAAATCCAAATCTGTGTTTTGCGCCTGCTTCCTATAGGGTTGGAAAGTGAATCTTTTAAAAACTGGATTGTTTCCAAATAGGTAATCATTGAATAAACCAGTCACTTATACCGTATACTTTTCAAGCTGAGTAGGCGGTTGGTCATTTTTAATGAAATTGTGTTTTAAATAAATATCGTCGATTCATCAGAGCACAAAGAAGCCCTGCAATACCTCATGTGTACACTTAAGGCTTTGTAATATCAGTAGTTAGATAATAAATGGTTATGTTTGTGATTTAAGCCTACTTTACAATGATTAAAATCTTTTCGACGGATTTAAGTGCCATGCAATTTAAACTAGATTCAAAGCATTTTTGATGTGCTCTACAAACCCATTAATACTGAAATTCAGGTAAAATTTGACGTGACTGAGTATTTAATCCATCACGCGGTACTTAAGCCTGAGTGCTTAAAACAAAGCGTACTGATCGTCTTCGACATGTTACCTGAATTTGTGATGTCTACGTGGACCTTTGATTGCTATTATCACTCGACCTTATATCAGTGCTTAAACGATCATTGAGCCATCATGTCTTAATGCTGCATAATTCGACATTTACCAATGAAAAGCATTACAATTGGGTTCCAGATGCGATTAGCTTTAAATGATTTTGTGCGGCACAGATACCTTCAGAGATTTATTGGCAGTAAATCTAATTACCAGTTCATCCAAAGTCTGCATCCTTACCATTCAGTCAGTTAACTCTAACTGTGAGCTTACTTAGGCTAAGGCCTTAAATCATGCCATTTCATTTGTTAAAGCTCATCCAAACGAAGCTTATAAAATATTAGCCAGATATCAGACCGCTAAAACACCGAGGATGACCCAAATGTCGTACACCTCATTCATACATTCATGGTTATCGGTACCGAAAGTAACAAAACCAAACTAGTGGTGACCATGCCAAAATTGCTCGACAATGTTGTTTTTAGCTTAAATCCTGTTATTGTCGAGAAACAAACTGTGACACCGGTAGAGTCGACTCATCCCCCAGAGGGTTTCAAACACATTTTAGCCGCATCAGAGTAGCGGTGGTTTGCTGACAAGGACTGCCGAATAGAAGGAAACAAGGTTTTAAGCATTTGATTATTTTGCATAACAGAGCTTCAACTATTTTGTATGGTGACAAATGATTGATTTCGTACTTGTTGGAAAATCAAAATGAAACGTAACTAAGAGTCATTTGAGGTCTTCTGCCACGAATTCAGTCATGCCATTCACTACAAACTCGGTTACAAGTTAAAGTCAATTTCTATTCAAGCAAATAAGAAATCGTAGCCAATTACCGTGTGAATTCAGTTACATTCTCAAACATAATCTGGGTTGTATTAAAACTAATTAAAAAGTACGTGTTGAGTGTATTTATGAAGTAGATTCTCCATTGCACGAAACTCCATACAGTGTTCTGCGACCGCTGCTAAAACAAGCTAGCGAGGTGACTAAGGACAAAAGAGAGTTTTAAGTGATAGATGAAAACTTGCTGTACTTTTATTCGTAGACCTCCTTGTCCCTCTTCACAGTGTCTGTCTACCCTGTGCTGATTTCCACTGGTCGGTGCTTGACCTGTTTGTTCAGACTCAAGGAATAGGCTCTCATCTCTACCTCCTTTACTCAAAGACGTAAAGAGCATCCCTGCCGAATCAATGGAAATTGAGTCCTCTTCTGAGGCTTGTGGCTTTCCACTCCCTCCAAAGAGAGGTGCACACATTTTGCTAACTTGCCCCGACTGCTGTTGTGCGTACTGCTGTCGGTGTCGGTTTGTGCTGGGTGAACAGACAAATAGGTCTGCGAAGCGCTTAAGCACGGGCTTCCGCAACGGCGAAAATTTAAATCCTTCTGTTATCGTGTCCAGTCCGCTCACCGAACCAAACGATCTGTCTCTGTTCAGCCCAGGATCTGAGGCTCCATCAGGTTTGCGTGGATCAGAAGATATATTTACTGTCGGATGAGGCTGCTGCATTTGAGTGTCTTCGGTTGAATGAAAGACCACAGGACCGCGACGGGATCTGTGACGCGCGGCTGGTGCTGAGCTTCCACGTCCAGAGACTTCGGGGGACTTGGTGGAGCCATGTGATATACCCTTATTGCAATTTTTGCAAAGAGGGGATTGGAAGTGAGGGTGTTTAGAACAGCCTATGGAGGGGGGAAGGAGTGCTGGTTCTGGAGTGGAAACGGATTCAACCCAACGGGCCACACGACTGAGATTATCCAATGTTGGTCCTGCTTGGTGAGATTGAGCAGGCCAAAGCATATCGGCAGTCGCGTGTCTGGGAAGGCTGCGACTGTGCGTTGTGGGATCATTTGGAGGGATCGTAATGTCATCCACATCAACTTGCTTCTTGCCACCAGGTTCCCTACAAAACGTTTAACGGCTTTTAAGTGTCATCATGAATTAAGTTCAATTTTAAGTGACTATTTTAGGAATTTCTTTAACTTTCTTTCTGAGGCAATTTTGTTTAAATTCTATTTGCTATAAGGTTGTGCATTGTCATCCAAATAATTTTGTATTAATAGTGGTTTGTACGCGATTTCAACATTGATGCTGTGAAGGCGATTTGACATTTTGCATAGGTTAAAGACAGGGTTTACCTCAAAAGGAGCCAACAACGTAAACACAGCCAATATATTAGTACAAAACACGCAACGTTAGGCTAAAGTAAATCCTTTTTACTTAAATAATAGCTTTTCTCTTGTGAATCTTCGAGAAACTGGTATGGAATCAACGGTCGAAATAGTGAAAAAATTGCCTTATATAAAGTGCTGACCTGTGTTTTTGAGAAATCCGAGGAGTTTCCGGGGTTTTGGAAGTTAATTGACAATGCTTTTCAATTTTCGATGCAATGCGCATTTGTCTGTGCCCGTGTTTTGGTGATGTTGGCTAAAAATGAAGTTAAAATGTAGTCTTTTTAACTTCAAATGACAAAAGAGCGAAAGAAAGACCGCAGCAAGATTAAATCAAATCTTTAATGAAAGAATGGGGCGGCTCTTTATTAAAACACCATTTTATGTGGTATGTTTTTGGTTTGACCGAAAACTACTTCTCCTGGAAATATTATTTATATAATGACTACGAAATATGCCATAACAATCAATTACGATATCGGCAGTTGCGAGTTGAGGTCAAGCGAATTCTGACAAAATGTTTCGACCTTTAGGGGCAACAAATTCGTGCTGTTAAAATGCGTGTTTTCGCCTAGCCGTGAAACATGTCTGTCCCACAACGACCCTGTATAGTCGTACGAACATGCGCCTTGGTGACAAGACGCCACGCTCACACCCTGTCCCCTAATGGGTTTTGGCCAAACGCCCACCTCCACGCCATTTCCCAGGCCAAGGGGACAATTTGCTTGCTTCCGCATCGTGCATGCCTAGGTGATGTTCTAAATTGCCGCCACTCACGCAAAACTCACGTTAACTCAAGATGCGCTCACACCTGGAACCTGAAGCATTAAATTCTGTTTTGATAGGCAAAAACTGTCTTGTCTCAAGAAGAAAAAGCAATCTGAAGTTCAACGAAAAGCAAAACAAAGAAACGCAGGCAATGAGAACTAATAAAATGTGTAGGCTGGCCACAATAATAGACTGATGTTGGATGCATAAACCACCCGCAAAACAGGGCTCAGTACTTACAATGATATAAAGGTTCCATTTTTTAACCAGAATCATAAAGCCTAACCATCAATTTAAATCCATAGTTAAAGATAAAACATTGACATCTGAATATTGTGTTAAAATATGTTGTTTTATCGAGTCATAAAACAATATACAAACACGTTATTATATCTATGTCTATTACCTCAGACTCCGCATTGATAGATATGCAGAAATGATTAGTCTTGTTTTTCCACCGCTTTTTGTATCATGTTACAAAAGTGGAAAATGAAGTCACGAATTTTTTTCACAAGAGGTCAGGGTAGCTTAAATAAAGCCACATCAAGCATTGCTAAGAGCTTTAGGAACAGTGATAAATGTGATGACGTACTACGTCAATCCTTGAGCGATCACCAGCATGCACATAAAACCGATTTTGGAAACTATTGAGCAGTAGTGAAGGAATTAAATGAGATGAAAACTTGCGTTAATACATGTATGTTGTGTCATGATTTAGTTTAATCGGGTTAGCTAACAGCCTACTTCTGCATTTTGTGATTTCAAATTACAATGCCATTGGACACAACCACGCGTGAATTGGTTCGCTCAGGCAACGCAATTATTAAACCGTGAAAACAAGCCTCAGTTTGTGTCCTGTAAGCACTGAATCTACCGGAGGTAGTTTAAATGCTGTAGCTGCTGCTAGAACTTAGTTTAATAGCTCCATAGACATCTAGTACATTAATGTCCTATTTTACTGATTTAAGAAGTCTTAAGTGGAGGACGTGAGATGTGGTGAGCGTCATTGAATAAGCATTTCGCTAAAGATAATTTCTCTCATAAAGGGATTTACACAATATAGCACGATTTAAACTTGCATTGAACACGGAAAGTGACCCTCCCTCAGACTCTCAATTTTGATTCAAGTGACCAAAGCAAAAAATTTCTCAAACCACGTAAATGTATACAACACGCTGTATCTTGCATTCAGAAAGCCTTTAATCTGCAAAAAGCTAATTCAGCCGTGCTTTGCAGACGTTGGATTTGTCTAAGTTCAACCGAATTATCTTACTTTACAAGTGCAGTGAAAAGCTAGTATCATGTTTTCATGTCTCTTTTGAAGTAAATACGTGCTAATCATCGTTGTCATGGCTGCACGTATTCTTATGCTTGTACAACAACGCGAATGAATAAATTTACTCTGACTCGTGAACATTTTGCATGCCAAAAGCTTAAAGCCCCCACTTATCAAATAACTCACGATTGTTGAAAAATCAGTTTATAAGGTATGTTTTTATCTTAAAAATTGTCTTCGTGGCCGGTACGTATCTTTTTAATTCATTGTTGATGGAACCCAATTGTGACGTATTTATAGATTTGATGCTACCTACGGTCATCTGGTCGGTAGCGTTGAATTTAAGGATGGTAAACGAATGCTACTGAAGACTTGTCTCTGGGGTTAATATGATCGTGATGCAGTAAAATATAAGGGACATAATTCTAAGGGTGTGAATGCATTCGAGGCACGCGCTCAACCCCTAAATAAAGGTGTTGTTTAGATGAACGTTGCTTGTTAAAGCAAGGTTGCTTTTTACTGTCATTTAATGTGCACGCCAACGTTCTTCAATTCTGAAATCTCCTGGAATCATCTTATTTTCGATTTTTAGTTGGAAAGATCCACATCTATGCACAGTGTTTGAGTACCATGAAGGTGCGTTCTCACTCCAAAGAACTAAGCCTACCGTTTTGCCAACAAATATTTACATGGTTGACATTGAAAATGACAATCGCTGCGATCGGCGTCTGCTCATGGTGAAACTCTCGCCTCTTTTTAAATCCTTTTAGACAACATTTTGGATTGCAGCAAGGTTACCTTGTCTGTAAGACATCCTGCGATGGCCTGGTTTTGGCGTTCGACCCATTCCTTCACGAAGGGCTTCACCCCTCGAACCGCACCGCTGCTGCCGACGGGGAAGGCGTCATGCCTCCTGCCTGCCAGAACGGGAAACTCGGTGCTAGTTGTAGTCTGCTGGCACTGGTCGATCTGCTTCAGCTGTTTTCGCTCAAGATAGGCATCACCTAAAATGAATCGGTTTTCGTAGACAACACCTCAGTGTCTGGAAAGTGACTATTAAAACGTAGGACTTTAGTGGCTAAAAAATAACAGTGTGCTTAAAATGGACCTTACCTGGATTTAGGTGGTACGCACTGATATATGAAGAAAGAAGCAGTAAGTTGTATGTGGGAAAAACCATTTGACTGACATTTTTACGGTGTACAACGTTTGGTGAAAACACCATCACGACATGAGGAAAGTAGATTATTTTTTACTTGCTTGAAAACATGGCGCCGCCTTGTGTGCGAATCAATGGTAACAAAATTTAGACGAGACAGAAGCGAAAGGTATACATTCTACAGAATCACTAATATTAAACCAGGAATAAACTGCGACTCTAATTATAAATGAAAATCAGTGAATGTGCCAATCACAAATAATTTTTCTTTCAATTCGCTGGACGCTTTTTATTAGGTTTTGTAAAACACATCAACTAACACGTGATAAACATTAATTTTTTATTTTTGCAAAAAATCAATTCTGCCTTTATTTTCAGGCATCAAGACCCTGTTATTAAGTCCAACAAATGACCAGGTTAGATTAACTAAGCGTTTTGTACATGGATTTCAAGATTTCATCAATTACAAATACTAATCTTCTTGTGGATTCATGGTCCTACACATTAGATGTTGCTCTATCATGAGTTGTCTTCCATTTTTGGATGCGCTGAAAACAAAACAAATTTACCAAGGTTGGGCTTAATGAATGCAAAACAGATGAGACAAAAACATCCAGGTAACTTGGCTTTAACTGATTAAATGGATAAATTCGTATCGATGCCATTGGTTAAAATAAAAAATGCCCTGGCGTTGAATGTCACTTTAGTTAAGGTTCTACAAAATTAAAGTGATGGAAAAGTATAGTGCACAAAAACAAATTTTGTGGGGCTGCTCTAGATGATTACTTTAAATAAAATTTCAACAACTTTAAGCAACCCATTAACAGTACACATTTTTTGTACGTAGAGTTTAAATCAAACTAAAATTCAATTTTTAAATTGGGCTAATGACTTCTTGGTGGAACCGCCCGAGACAAAACTACTCCAGGTCGTGAATGTTTAGGTGTCTAACCATAGGATATTCCAGTAACGTAGACTGTCTTCAAGAGACCTCTAGATGTCGCAGAAAGGGCTTGATTTATGTCCTTCCTGCTACGACGTGTTTTAAACCACTTACACGCCGGGCTGAACTCGATTTGTGCATTCAGTTTAGCAGAGAGTTGCTGAGATGGTGTAATGAAATAACATGTCAAGTCATTGATTTTTTAATCTTTTTTAAGACAAGAAGGGTTTGGATTTTGTCGCCGTCAAATGTATGCAATGGGAACACTGATTGAGTCGCTGTTTGTTGGCGCGGTTTTATACAGATTACATGACTGGATTTAAAAGAAATACGCGTGAGTGCAGTAACTGAAAAATGTTACTTTCACTAATGCATCCTTGTTCACAGGGTTTTTCGTCAAGTACTCGCACATAAAAAAGGCCACCGAAAGCTTTGAATCTCAGAAAAAAACAAATTTTGTTTTGTGAACATAGAGGGTTTCCCCACAAGCCCAAGGTCCAACATGCATGTATCATGCATCTTTAATGCGAACCGCGTCCTTGCTTTTTTAGGACTAAAAATTGGATTCTAACGATATCGTAATGCTTAAAAAATCAGTACTGCACGTTGTGCTGCAAAATTCTTCTTTTAGGGATTGCAGAATTTAATCACCTGACAAATGGGCGAGACATTATCGCATGAGAGACCAATCATGTCTAACGAGTTGCAGCTAAGTGAAAATTGATAATACTTTCGCAATTTAGCGCAGTGCAGACCCTAAGTGTATAGCTGGTTGGTTGCCCAAGACAAGGTCTTGTAAAAAAATGCACTAGAATGGATTCCATGACTACCAAACTCGCCCACGACACTCTGGGAAATCAACAGTAGACACGACAAACTGTCAATACATTTTCACACTAACAGTCGTTTTGAAAACACAGTGCTGGGAATTATAATTTTCGTTATGTCCTCCAATCTAAAGTGTAATTGCATTTGTAAAAAAACCTGTCAAAAGAAACATAAGCCTAACTACGAGATGCTATCGGAAAAGCTGATTTGCTTGAAAAGCTCACTCACCTATTAAACAATTGCAAAAGTTGATAGGGGTAAAATCTAGACAGCATCATTTATCTAAATCTCCGATCAGAGGTGCCGTGACCAATGAAATGAAGCATAAAAAGTTGTTTCATATCCAGTTCAAACACTAAAATAATGCTGTAGGCAAAAATTGTTCAATAACTGACAATTAAAATAAATTTTCACGTTTTCTTGGATTGACGGGGCGTTTGGCAGGCTGAACAGTGAATAGCCAGGAGAGCCATGATCCTGCAACAACTCAAGAATTGAAAGCCATGTCAGGTCTTAGAGGTTTCCTGCAAGGACCTCAGGCCTCTTCAATGAGCTACAAATACGGTTCGACCGTGGGTCCGAAAGCTGCCAACACTAGGGTTCTCTGGGTTCAGACAAAGCTCCTTCACATAGCACAGAATTAGCTTAAGAAATATTATGAGGTAAATTATAGGAAAGCAGTCTCTAAATGGCTGCAAGCGGTTGGTCTGCGATGAGTCTTCATCCAGTTGAGCTTTTAATTCCACTTCTTCAAACTTCTTAGTCTGTCTGGGGTCAACAAGACCAAAATCACTACTTCTAAAACGCTTGTGTCTATTAGTACACTTTCCATACGACACAGTCGGCACCAGGGAGGCTACAAACTGATTCCCGCGCTTTGAAAGCATTTTTTCACTGTTGGAATGTGCATTAAATGAGGTGCAAAATGTGCTGTTCATCAGTTGCCATTATATACTCTGCTATCCTGAGAGGTTACGTTACGTGCATAGACCTGTAGTTTAGTATTTACAAACCTTGCATCCGATCCCTTAAGGTAGTTTTATCTTTAATACAATTCAAGCCCAAAGAAAAAAAAATGAAGTCATAAACCAAATACCGGATATCATTTTGTCTAAGCGCACACCGGATTTAACACCTATTTATAAATCCTTCGTAGATTTGACGTAGACCTACTAGATTAAACTCAACTTGGATGTAAAAACAATTTAACTTATCTGCAAACTGCAGGCATGATTATTATTATTATTATTGGAAACACTTGGATCTAAGAAGCACCATTTACCACAGCACAGTTCTTAACAAAAAAAGCGGCTCCTCCACTAGTTTTAGGTAAGGAAGATATCTTGAAAGGATAGGTTTCTGTCTAATTTGCTGCGGAAGAATCTTAAACTCAGCAGCATAGAAATTCAAAGGCATCTACGATGCACACATTCTTGGTTCATTTGGTCGAGCATCCTCATAAGTATTATCGAAAAATTGCAGGAATTCAAGCTAAGCCTTAAGGACTGTAGCTAGAGGGAACACTCCACCATTTTCAAAAAAATAGTCACAGTATTAGAAACATTAACACATCCAATGAGAGGTCCATAAAGAGCCATTGCCTTGGATGTACATTTTTTACGAAACGAAAGAATTGCATACCTTACATGTTGGACCGTGTTAGAAAGTGCAGATACTGATCACTGAAAGTAATCCCTTAAAATTCTCTTAATTGGTTGGTTTTTTAATTAAAACTGGATATACTTTAGCAATATACACCTGGTGTGAAACTAACATGATTGCTACAATCATAGGGTAAATTTCAAAAGGGAGACAGTTATCCACCTCGCCTTAGTTTCCGGTCACTTCGGGGAGTGAGAATAGCCTCCAACTGCCTGGCGGTTCTTGTGCCACCAAGGGAATCTGCAGGACCTAGCGGCCATCGGCTGCAGACCTCTAATTTGCGCTCAAGATTGCAGTTAGTGTGTGCGTTGCAGGATTTACCGTCTGGTACACCTTTTTCTACCGTGGCTTGAGTTGGAACGATTGAGGACTAAAAGCAAAAGTATGCGAAAATGAACACAATCGTTTTGTAATATGGCTTAAAGGTGTTTCGCATCATGTACTAAGATACGGAAAAGTGGCTGGATTACTTAAACATACTTAAAAATTCTTTACATTTTCGAAGAAAACCGAGTAGAAAAAAATCAGTTTGAGGTTTGTAAGCGTACAAGGATTTTTTGGCTACATAAACAAATATCATTTAGATAGGTTACTTGACAGAAGATAAATATACTTAAGATGAATCAATTTTGAGAAACGCAAACATTAATTTGCCTGTACACCTAACACCCATTTTTTGCTGTTTTTGTATACCGCGTGTCTACTCCACAATTGCCTAAAGATATTCACTCATATTCTTAGTAACCTAAGGGCTATCGTAACTTCGAGTCAATGAATGTACACTAGCTGTAACAGAGGAATCAGACTGAAATTTTTTAGTCCAAGTTTTTTACATAAATATCTTCCTATTTACGATTTTAACAGTGTTTAAGTTCGGCGTCATTGCTATCATTGACGCATACAATATAAAAAGTCAGTATTCATTGAATTAAATATCTTCATACAAAGCATGCCACAGTGGTCATTTTTCTAAGCAGTTTCTTAGCGCAAACAAGATTCCTTGATCTTGAAGTTACACCGAACCAACGACAAGCACAATGCTACTGATGTAACCCACTTAAATATTTTTTAATCACCATATCCAGTCTCTACGGGCGTTGGCGATCACATTGTGTTAGTGGAGACGGCGTCAGAGTAACCATTTGGTCTCACAAGGAGGTTTTCAACAGGCAGTTATGTGAGACGCATATACCTGCCATCGAATGGAGCAATTAAGCCAGCTACATACAGTTGATGCAATAAACTGAAGAATGGAAGATAATTGTCGAACTCGTTGTATCTTCTTGCGGCTTTGCTTAATGCACTACACCAATCCTCAAGATGCATCAGTCTGAATTTTGAGTACGTTGTGTTCTCACAGACGATTTTCTCTTTCAAAGAACTACTAAAGATTGGTGCAGGAGGGAAAAAACGTTACCATCATTATCTTAGCTTAGCCCGAATTACAGTTATAATTTCAGATTCTCAATAACTTCTTTAATGAGACAGTTTGCTTGATTTACAGGTGAAATAAATATCTCTCTTAAGAATGGCGACTGCTTTGGAAAACAATAATTTGCAAAGGACCATTTCGAAGTGCTAACAGCTGATGCCTGACAGTCCATTAATCTTTACTGTGCTTACAAGAAACGGTATCACTTCACTAAATCCAGGGTACTGGAAATGTCAGCAGCAGTCAATTTCAATTCCACTAACTGATGCTGACCTTACAGTGTAAATAAACACCTTGTCTCTCCCTCGCTCTCTCACCCAAACCGTTTTTTATTGCCGTCTAGTTTTTCTCCACACTTAAAATTCCCGAAAAAAAGCACTTTATTGAAAACCTTCCAAAAGTTATGGCTCAGTGTTGCTTTGCAACCAAAATTGCACCTTTAAAGTCACCAACCACAATGAAAACTCCACTTTGAATAAGTGCTGTTCAGTGGCATCAGCTAGTCATGATTTCTCTCAAAACGTCCATTGATAGTTGCCTTTATTCCCATTAAAATTCATACCCGTCACCTTACGTTGTGGAAGCAACAAATGATTAAATAGCGTGTTGCAACATCGCAATGAAGAGTTTTGGTTTAATAATTAAACATCACAACCCTAATACCAGATATGCATTCAGAAATGACTCCGTGGAAAATATTTCATAGTGGTCCAAAAAATGGCCAAGTCTTATTTAAAAACATTTTTGGCAATGAATGCAATGATGAGCCTTTAAATTTGACTTTTTGACCCATTGAATTTGTCCATTGAAACAGCAAATATAGCGTTAGTGTAGTAGGAATAGGTTTTTACTTATTGGGCAAGACTGAGCGTCAACGTGTGCAATCTGAATTGCAATTGCTAAAACAGTAATTTAGTTGGTCAACCGTCCAGTGTCTTGAGCGTGCTTATGAAGTTTATTAAAAGCGTTCTTGAATTCTTGATTAGAGACCAATGATTCCATGACATTTAGTTGATCATAAAGATCCTAAGTAGGCTTAGGAAAACAATTTCGGCTGATTGAAATTGAGATACGAACGATTAAAAATAAAATGCATTTTATAATTGCTGGAAAGTGCTAAAGTAATAATTATTCTGTCTGAAATATGCAGAGTCATAGTGAATTCTACGTCACTGCCACTTGACTGCTGTAGGCACACCACTATATGCCTAAATTTCACACCTTCCGGAGTTTTTTGGGGTCCGGACCTATTAGGCAGCACTGGCTTTCGACGTATGAAGTCCAAAAGAGCACAATCTGTCTGGATATGAAGATTACCTTCAAGTCACAATGACAGACAGCAGACTGTATAGTCCATTCCGCAAGTGACTCATTAGTCTGTGTGGCCTTCCCAGACTTACTGCAATCAAGGTTGCAGCTATACTATAGGAAAGCGTCTCCTTTACAGCCATTTTTCGGATGTGCAGCCGTTTGTGGAATGTGTAGGCAAAGTAACACTTAGAAGCATGAACTCGCCAAACATAAAATTCATATTTATTTAATTTTTTGGCTTGTTTATAAAAAAGATTAACGCTTTACTGATCAATGCTGAGAGCAACTTCTAGTCTCCAGAGGTTTAAGGATTCCTCAATGGCCTATTCTTCTCATCGAGATTGAAACTCATCATTAATCACCTTGTATTTATGTAATGAGCTTGGACATTTACGTGGTTCATGTCACTAGTGATCCTCTTATTGATTACACATCGCCCTAATTTATACTTTCCTAAGTCGACATCAAAGCCATTAAATGAATACCTGATCCTTTTCAGAAACAGAGTCGGATTTGCTCCGCGACGCAGTTTCTAGGTGACCTAGATTCTCGGCGGAACACGAAGTAGAAGCAGATGGAGCTGTGGCCCTGGGGCCGTCGACCCAGAGCTCGTTTGTAGCTGTCGCAACTGACGCCTTGTGACCAGCTCTTGACTTGAACCTCCGATGATGGGGTAGAAATGGGGAACAAACCGGAACTGTATTGCTGACCTCCTCGGTCTTTTGTACTGTCTGAAATAAATGGTTCAGAAATAATTTATTGTTGAAGTTCCTTTACTAAGCTACTTTGGCTCAGATCACTTGTACTTAGCAGAGAAATTAGTTTCCAGTAGAAACTGTTAAAGGAGTTATCGAAAGTTGACTATCAAATCAAATTCTTGTAGATGCAAAAACAAAGTCAAGAATTTTAAACGAGCCCCATAAATTTTTAGATTTGGAATTAAATTCTTGATTGGACGTTGATTTCCCAGTTAGCAGACCTTAGAACCCATTACTTGAAAAAAAATTGAAGCTATTTTGCAGTTTTAACACACCAATTCCGACGGATCTCTTTTTCAATCGGGTAAATTCCGAGTTAGACGAGCAAAGGTCCCCTTATGCAACCCCACATGTCAAAGTACGTTCAAGTCTACATGCATGGTCAAATTTGGCCGCTAGCTATACCAGGGTAGGAGTTCAAAACAATAATATGGTAGCACATTAACATTGTGGCGTCCATGTAGTTCGCAGACGAGTTCTTTCAGTCTGTTTAACCTCGGCGTCAATGTGACTGCTACACGAATGCCACCACTCACTCGGTCAACGTTTTACACGCTCCTGCATGTAAAGCGCATGAGTGACCACACTTCTGGGTTAGACAATAGCCCACAGTATTCATCCATAGAATTTGAATAAAGTTTTTATTAGTTCTTTCAAATGACGAATCTTTAACAAAGAGGATTGAATTTAACTGGGATGTTCAGACAAGGCATTAAAAAAACAACCATGACTTCAGTTAATTCATTGTGAGTACTAGGTAGGCAAATAATGGAGAGAAGATATGAAGACATTTTCAACTGATGATAAGGTTAAGCGTGTTCGCTAAATAAAAGTGGCAACCATAGGCAGCTCAGACCTAGACTTGAATAGAACAATAGCGCCATTTTCTAGGTTTGTTAGGAACAAGGTACGAAGGGCACTTGGCGCCAATGAGATATAATTGAAGGCCGAAACTTTGCTATGCAATTTTATAACGAAAACCGTCAATCGTTGTGCAAGTGATTTGTGTACACTTAATAAAACCATTTGAACACATAGTTTTACAAATTCGTGCAATATACGTGAACCTTTTTTACGCCCTCTAGGCAAACTTTCACGCTTTCAATTACTTGCCTAAGGAATATGTAATGGTTGAAGGGCACTTAAATGAATGATCGAATAATCAATGCCATGCCTTAATTTTGGTTTAAATTTTTTTAGGCGAAAAAAGATTATTGAAACATTGCCCATTGTTGTTATGGCCGCGAGAATTCTATTTCATGACTAAACTGATAGTTTATCTAATTCCTTAAATGCAAAAGAAAAACATATGATAATTTGCAAATCGTGCTTCATTACAAATGCACAGTTGATCTTTCAGATGTGCAGTAATCGATCAAATGGATTTGCACTGTCAAATAACCATGGATGTTTGGACTATGACAGGGAAATAAAAACTTAACCCTGTCTGTTTAAGTGTACACTCCACGTTAGAACATCTGATCCGGTCAGGGTGTTCGCAAGTTTTTTAATCATGTCATTGACGTTCTAATTACTATGTTAGGGAATCAATTGTAGTCATTATAGTTGAGGCTACTATGTTAGTATTGAGTGGTAACTGGGTCTTTTTAAATGGTTGATTACCTGGGGAAAAGCTCGATTAAAGCTAGAGAAATCAGACAGGCCAGACAGAATGATAGAATATCAAAATGCCATCGCTCTGCCAAAATATTTCAGAGTCACATGACCCTCGGTTAATTTAAGGTGTCAATTTGTTTGATTAAGCTCAAATCAAAGGTTAATGGATTTCAATCCGATAAAATTTGCAATGCTATTTATGAACAGAGTATTGAAATTTGCAGCCAAGGCATGGACTAAAAGTAACCAAGGAAATAAGCAAAGGATTAAAAATTAAGTTTAAGTAGCCATGGGTTCCAAAGGTACCTGTTTCCTACATATTGTAAAACACGTTTTGGAAATCTGGTATATGGACTTATGTATAATCCAATGAAACTTAAATAAATGTAAGCTTTGAAGTATGGCAGTAAGTGCATAAGCGGTCTAAAATTATACTAACGTCGGTTGACCCAAGTGGCTTTAATTTTGCGATTATTGTTTCGGATTATGTTAAACAATGATTTCTGGCTTATATTGGCATGCGTAGATGATAGCATGAGTGTATAGGTTTAATCGCGAGCACGACTCAACTCAACTAAGGGATCGAAACACGAGGTAGAATATATCAAATATTTGTAAAGCGGGTCATTAGTCCTATTGGTTAATACCAACCATCGCGATAAAGATAAAATCAATTTAAACATTCCAAAAAATAAAGTTATTGAACAATTTTTTTTAACTACAAAATAAAGCTCAATCCGAGAAAAATGCTTGACCAGAATGGACTCCAAAGTTTCCTTTTTCATGCGAAATATCAAGTAAAAACCGGAAAAGTTAAGACTAACTTACAGTTAGAGATGAACATCTTAAGACAAAACAAAATCCGTTAAATTATGCCCATTAATAAGCACATTCTGTTGTTGTCAGTGAATTCTTCCAGTGCATATTATTCGCAGACGTTCAACGACATAGGAATTACGTTGAGTACAAGCATAGGCACAGAAAATATAACTTTCCGTATTTGCGCTTTTTCTGCTTTTGAGTTATATTTAGTGTTTGTAATGAACACAATACATTTTAAGAAAATTGATTCTTCTGATCTGTGATCTAGAACGTGTGTGGGACCGCCTCATGTACGTGCTTGCTGGACTTGGAATGTTGTGCTGAGCACTTCATGTCATTTAGATGCAAACAAGCAAATTAATGGGAAGTGAAAGTTTTATAATGCACTTTTATTAAAAGTCATGGTACGAGGAAATAGTTTTTCTGTGTCAAAATTGGTTTGAATCAGTCGAAAACATCTTACCACTTTTGGTTCAAGAGCAACCAGTCTTTTGGGTCGATCAGGAGTAGAAAGTGTTCGAAGGGGATGGGAGCGTCCAAGATAAATAACAGTTGTACAGGATTGCTCACTGCTCGATGTGTACTCTAGATCTGAGCTTGAATCTGGCACGTCGTCATCGCCGCATTCGCGACCGTTGCTATTTTGGCCACTTCCCGTAGCAACACGTCGCTTTTGCAACCGTCGACCCAATCTTCTGAAACGAAAGTTACCAATACCGTTGTTTGATGCTGCTGTTGAGGGCACAACACGATCCCAGGCTGAAGTTTGTCGACGGTGAGAAGTGGACCGAAGAGATTTGGAACTCAGGCGGCGTTTCCAGGCGTGCTGGATTTTCGTAGTATGCTGCAGTAGCTAAATGAGCAAACAGATTTGCCAATTAAAGAATTCCGCTTTAAAAACGCAATTTCACAGCTTTCGTATCTGAAATAGTAAAATCAGTGAGCCTCAAATTTCACTCTTTACTGATTACGACTGTAAGTAAGAGATGCCTTTCAAGATCATTAGGCAAATTCAATGCCAACTTGTTGGCATGCTTGAAGTTGTTAAGCAAAAGCAAGCGTTAGAAAAGGGATTAGAAGTAGCGTGCACACCGCCTTCAAAGAATGCAGACAGTAAAACTGTTAAAATCACTCCGTCTTAGAAGCAAAAGTGATAAGGCTAAAATTTTTGCTGCCATTTGACATCGAAATACGACATATACCAACCATTACTGAGCTAAGTGTCTTAAACGATAACTGAATGCATTACTTTGCCACCGCAAAAGAGGAAGTAAATTTGGGTGGAATGGCTGTACAGTTTCTTCAAAAATGCGTAATCTTTGAAAACTGGGCACGTTGTGGTTCTAATTACACCAGTGTTTTTCCAATGTGAGAAAGGTAGTGAATTGTCACAGAACTTTAGAGTGCAGCTGCCCTCAACAACCGGAATTTAGAGAATGTTAAGAACTTTCTTCGCCGTTTCTCAGTATTCTACACAAAAAATGATCCAGCCATTCTTTGGTATGCTTGGTGTTTCATTTTGTAAAGAGCATGCTGAATGACTACAAATCATATCTGAGTAAATGGTGTATGCCTGAGTTGCTAAAACACGTTTCTAGTTATATTAAAAGACGCGGCAAACAATTTCGACATGCGAGGTATAATTCTTTACACGTCTGCATATTTTTGCCAATTAATTTAGACAATTTCCTTACAAGGGATGTAGAAGAATACTGGACTAAACCCTTGGTTCTTAGGTGTTAATTAGAGCTAATGCAATTTTAATTAGGGCTGAACAGAGCAATGCAGGATGGTGTATGTTCATTTCAAGTGCAATACGCCGGTGTTTTTCGATTACCTGGGAATAAATAGCCCCAATACGAGGTAGCATCTCAACTTTTGTAAGCCTTTTTGGTAGCCTTAGATCACCACCGGTTAATCATTCTTTGGCATTATGTATAGGGGCGGTTGAAGTCCACGAATTATGAATTTTGTCAGCGCTTACATCTCCAGTCTAGCAGCGAAAACGTTAAAACAGATTATTTTAGACAAAATAACAAAGGTACGACTTAAAATTGATTGCAACTTAAAAATGCATATTGAGGCTGAGTCGAATATGGCCGAATTCGTCGTGTCTCACTAAGTACTGCAAAAAGTCTGCCACACCAGGCTTATATTAACTGCCCTTAAATCACCTCTAAAGTGCAGTCGTAGAATTTCGGATGGACGGAGGTATGGAGTACAAAAGTAATCCTTAGAAGTTCCTCGGCTAATAGGCAACTCCGCAAAAGATGGTGGAGAATTGGTTCCTTGGTTCCGAATGGAGGAGAAGCTCTTCCAGAGACGAGACTTAAAATGAAGTTGGAGATTGTGGAGTTCCTCGGTATTGCACTCCCTTTCTGCTCCACTTCACTTTCTGTTGTAACCATCAGCTCGATCAAGTTAAGTTGACGGTGTTCTATTTTATCTGAAACAAAAGCAGTTCAAATTGGATTAAATAATAAAGCCTAAAAAATCTATTTTTTTGAAAATAGACACGATATTTTGTTGTTAAGCAATATAATGTTTCGTGTATGGATTCAAAAGTACTTGGTTCATTGATAGCTAGTAATGGAAGCTTTACAATTTGTCACGGTTGGCATTATAGTACAAATTCATTGCGTTGCATATTGGAAGAAAAAATCTTTTAAGCCTTAAAAGCTTAATTTCTCGAAATTCTGAATTGTGCCCTTAATTATATCAGGGTGTAGATATTGAATTTTTTAACGAGCGCACCGAGGTTGAACAAATAAACTTCAATGAAATGGCATAAATTATTTTTAAAATTGATTGGACCAGACCTTACCATTACACATTCAATGAATAAACAAAGACAAAAGTCGTTGACTCTCCCACCCAGGGAAATCTGGTTCCAAAAAACCAATAGAGACTAGCCGTTTTATGTGTAGATTGACGATTCATCCACAGGTGTCTATATATTTCGTACTCTAATGCTTACTTGATAAACGGTCATTCTGGCAGTTCATACACTTCAAAGTCATAAGCTTGCGCACAACGGACCCCAAAAAATTGATTTTGGCCTTTAATCTTCAAACAATCTTAATCGTTTACACAAAGAATCTACTTGAATTGTCAATTTGGCCAATTACCACTAACAATCATTCTTGTACCTTCGTGCTCCACTCACAAAAATTTTGCATTAAAACATGACCAAATGCGACTCCAAATCTTCATGATTTATTGAATTTACATTACTTGAAATTCTGCACAACTCATTAAGGCGGCAGCTGATGATGAAGGATAAGTACTACGTGAAAAATACCAAACTGGATGTCAATTAAGCTTAAACAATTTTCTCCTGGCTATCAATCACGCGTTTGGCTTTGCATTGTTCTTTGTCCTTTGTGATTTGCCAGTTCTCACGGTTTCTCCTTAGTTGCACCATTAAATAGCCTTTCATTAGTGCTACCCGTTCAAAATGTAAACATTCTTGTGATTTCACTAAACTGACACCCTGATCTTTTATTTTGCAATTCAGTTTTCTGCTTGGTGTGTGGTGATTTTCACACCTGAACCATTGTAGTTTATTTTGAATTTTATTTTAGACGGTCCGATTGGCGTCAGCATTGATGCCTCATTTATAACGGGAAATTTAACGTCACTGAAATTCATATAGCAGATATCGATTTGTTATAAGAAGTAAATTTATTAAATTCATAAAGAACACGCATATTGACTTTTTAAAAGTCCAAGACATTTTTATTAGCTTAATTCCTGTGCATCTCTTGCATAGGTTATATGTCAATCGAACAGTTTTTGCTAAAATTTAGTAATTATCAGCTTTGGTAGGTCAACAAGCCTACTATATTGCCATGAGAAAAAAATTTTGAAGCAAATGAGACACGCGTATTGTATCCAACGATGCATTACTTCTTAGCATTAGCACACTTTATTGCCTATACCGAAAAAAACATTTGCATATCACTCACTTTAGCACAGTAGGATGCGAAATTGATAACAACTGCCAACAAAAGTAAAAAATAGTTCCCTCACAAATAACTTAAACGTGATATCGACCAAATGTCACAAAAATAAACTTGTCACACTGTAAATTCGTTTGCAACAAATACAGTTCTGCCCATTTGCTGGAACCCGAATTACTTTTTTTTGAGCCTACTTAATGAACAATCCAAACGTAACGTGATTTTCGTTAGACGTACCACAATAAAAGCTAATTCATCTTGATTTTGTGTGTGAGTTAACATTTGCTTTAAAAAAAGTATGACTTTCAAAATCGATTTTATTCTAATGATGACTCGATATTGTTTAGCATGTGTATATCAAATCTAGCCAGCGGAACAGTCCTTTTACTCCTGCTTAGTCTAGTGGGCTGATATGTACAAAGTGCGTCGTTTATTCCTTGAATGTGTACTCGTGTTTTGACTAAGTAACAAATTGCATTGAAAAAGACAAACCACAATCAAAATTCAAAAAATTCGAAGCTTAAAGCACTGCAACTGCATGACACAGCCTATTCATTGCAGCAATGTAGTACTATAGGACTTCTACAGCTAATAAGTAAAAAAATGGATTAGTTATAATTAGGGTAGATTCCTGTAGAAATTAAAATTGCTAAGATCTTTCCCGTAAGTGTAGGGGCTGCAATTAAATAAGTCATACCTATCTATTTATTGGTACAACCGCTAATTTTGGGAGTATCACGATGCTGAACTTGTTCAAATTTAGACATTAATGACCTAGATGGAAAAAAACGTCGGAAATTTTTAGATCACTTTAACAACGATGGACTAAATGTACTTAGCTGAAACATAAAACAATTCGAGAAGCTGATATTGGAAGATCTGAGTCGATGGCATAGAATTAATTAACAACCCAGCCATAAATACGTTCAAGTAATCACATATTCTTAAAGTTTCTGTATCGTAAGATCACGATATTAATGCATTTTACAGAATAACGGGTTAGCGAATCAGGTTTATCGATCATGTACATGGAAGAACTTTCACATATTGTGGATTCCTTCTCGGAGGTGTCGTAGTCGTTAATGGAATTTGTGCCCTTAGGCCTGGTTTTATATTCCTCAACGTGCGACCATTTCGTTGGTTACAAGCGTGGATTTCGCATTCACGTTCCAGGCGCATAAACTCGAGGAGATCAATCCGATCAATCTCATCTTTGCAGAAGTGACACTGAATGTGCCGTGTATCACGCTTGTAACAGTGAAAACTTGAGCCCCTTGAAAGAGACTCATCGAAACCCGAGTCGTCATTGGAATCGGCGGTCATTACTACCCGACGTTGGGGTGGACTCCACATGGCAGGTTTTGGCTTCACCAAATCTGAAGGAGTTGATGGCACACTTCCTTTTGTCTGATAAACAGTGCCTTTCATGATTGTACTGAGCAAATAATCTCTATTAGCATTAGACAGTTCCAATGTGGAGTTGCCAGTCGATTTAACTCCTCGAGAAAATATTTTTCTGACACATTTCCGCAAATCCTCTCTGCTACTCGATCCAGTGTTATCGCCTTTTATCTTTGAGTATTTACGGAGTAAAAGAGGGATTTTGGATAGCCTTGACCCCATCTGAAAAGTTTCTAACTCAGTTTCAACTCCACGTAAAATGAATTTGCTTGGTTATTGACCACAGACTCAGATAGCGTGACCTTGAAAAAAAATCAATTTTTCTAAAATAATGAAATGTGAGTAATAAAACGTCAATTCGCAAAATCTTGAAAAATCAAGAATTTTATCAATTAATCTTAAATTCCAAGACGTAATCTTCCTAGGTGAGATATTCAAATTATAGTAAATTAACTAAATTGTCCAGGGCAAGTGATTGTAATACCAAAAATAAATGTCTTTGGCTACATATGCTGTTAACAAGAGTTTGATGGCTTTGATTTGAAAATCTAGGCTATTCTTTAATGTTCCAATCGGTAAATTTTAAAATCCTTCCTTAGAAATTTTACTTTGGAAAGTGTGTTAACAAAATCTCACCCAGCAGTAAGCAAACAAATACATACCCAAGCCAAGTGTTACAAACCTTTAAAGGAATCTTCATGAATTTTTGTACAAGTCCGCATGTGTTCTAGGTGAATCAAGCAACTAAAAGCAGAGTCCATCAAAGATTAATTTGATTAGCGACAATTTCGCGACTAACTTTAATGGATCGCCTGTGCTGCGAGGTGATCAGCCATGATGAACCAGGTTTCCTACGTAACTAACAATTTGACAAAATCCAGCTTTTCTAGCTGGCACAAAACAACTTTTGTTTAAAATATGTATGGATGCATCATGCAATTTGAAAATTTCACTTCGATTGTATAGGCTTCTATAATCAAGGAAATTTGATGTTTTAATCGATTTCGTGGCAGCGTGTTTTGGGGTTAGACCACAAGCGTTTCTGCTGAGGCTAATCGAAAATAGGCACTAGTGGCCTCATGTTGTTTACTGTATATCTTAGCTAAACAATGATATTTCATCATGATCATCGTTCTCCTGATGCACTTTGCGGGACCACGAGGAATCTGATTGGTGAGTGGATAAAGAGAGTAGAAGTATATTTAAAGCCACCTTCAGAAGCTCCATCGTGATGATTAATGACATATCAGTTAGTCTTAAACTTTAAACCTAAATTAAATCTAATAGATTGGCTAGCATTTACTGGAAATAAAGGTGAACTTTGGTTTAGTTTATAACGACTACTGTTTGATGCCTTTTGTAGTCCGAGCCATTAAGGCAATATTTTGTCCACCTGGCCCAATTTAATCACTTTGCCTATGGTAGATCCATCATGAATGTGAGTTTACTTCAGGTCCCGGTGTACATGGGATAGCTGAACAACCAATTTGACGAAGTTTTCAGAAATAGTACAAACCTACTTTTACCGATACTGCTTTAATGTTAAGCAAAAACGAAATTTATTGCTCCGTCATTGAACATACGTAAATTTATTAGTTGGGACTAAACTGAGGAAATTACTTGTTTTTTTTTGTCAAATAAACTAATCAGATAACAAGCTAAAATCGGTGGCAAGGCAGAAATTCCAACTTTAGAATTTGCATTGTTTGAATTTTCTAACATTACTGATTAAACTTAAACTTTTTTAAAAAAAAATACACTCCTTCGTTATTTTATTTGCTTAAATTATAGGGTGAGACAATAATTCAGCCACGTTTGACGAATTCAATGTCATCGATGATTTCCTAGAATCATGCAAATATGCGTGCGTTTAGGAAAACGGCTAGCTTACTGGAGGCTGTTACTACTCCGCCTGAGAAATTCCGATAGATGTGGAAGGTGAAGAAGAGATGGCCCACGGAGGTGTTGGTGGTGGCGGCTGGTAAGGCATTCAAATGCACGTCGTGAAGCCGCTTGCTAGCAGCAAGGGCCATGTCAAGATACCGAGCTGCCTCAACAACGTTTGTTGCCACAAGTTCCGTCGCTTCGTCATCACTACGTGATGAGCATATTTTCTTCCACGAGGAGGTCCCGGATAGCCGATCTTTAGAGCTCTTTCCATCCCCTTCAAGGGCTGTGGCTATAAAATATTAAAACAATAGGCAAGCAATTTAGTACAATTATTATTTCAACGGCCTACTTTTTTAAGTGCTAGTGTGATGAGAGATTTTCGCAAAACATGTGTCTTCACAAAGATTTCTGAATTCGTACCTGTCAAATATGCATGATGCTCGAATGTTGGCAAAAATCTTGTCTGCTTCACAAAGCGGACACCAATGGTAGAAATGGGCAGTTTATAAATCACCTCTGAGCCGATTGATGCTCCCATGAATACTTCGTGCTGCAGATATGCAAAGACACGTTCGATGGAGATGAGTTTTTTTCTGCTTTCGTCGGTTGCCTCCCATACATCTCTCTAAACTTGATTAGTTTATTTCGGTAATTTAACTCACATCTAATACTGTCAAAAACTGAAGCCAATGTGTCGTGGTTGGCCATGAATGTGGATCAAACAGTGATCAAACAGAGTCGCGTGATTTTACTAAACTTCTACTAAATATTATATTGGCGAAACACCATCAGAATATAATTTTGCCTCGTAGTTTTTGTTAACATCGACCTGTAGATAGCATCAATCTAGGCTTGTCAGGCTGGTCACGTTCAAAGAAAAAAAACTAAGTTTTAAAGCCCCCTTTGCGTGTGACAGAGCAGCCTACCTGATAGTTTTGACAACGCACGCAAACTCTTTAAAAATGTGCTGCTTAGAGTATGTCCTTCTTTCAATGACTAATTTAGATGCGATCGGAAATTTCGCACAGAACAGTGAAATGCGTCGCTTTTGTACAAAGCAAAATTCTTTTACTACAAACACAAATACAGATGCGTACTGAAAGAGCTTTGGACCACCCGAACCATCTTTGCCGTAAATAAGCAAGAAAATAAGAAAAATTTGTCTTCCCTTTCAAACCTTTTGGCCCGGTGCCATAAAAAACGGCAGTAATACTTATGACCATGACGATTTTTGTCAGCTGTTACACCTCTGCTAGCGATGTAACAGTTTGTACAACTGTTGACTAAGAGGATACAGTGCAATTTCGGTATACACCTAGATTAAATACACGAAGGCTAGTACTCGAGTCACAGCAACATTTTCCTGACAGATGCCTAATGAGAAGGCAAAAAATTCTTTCATTACTACCAAAACGCAAACTACGTTGGTCCTGCAGTTGTAATTCAATACCTTATTTCACATGAATGGAACACTTCACAAAACAATAGTTGCCAAACACGTCTAACAAGCGTAGAACATTTTTGTACCAGAGTTTTGTCGCAGCCTTTGAACAACAACGATAACGTAGTGTGGGCGCAGGTGATGATTACTTATTAGCCATGTTTTCTTTGTTAACTAAAACGTAAGATTTGCTAATGTCTTTCTCGAGAATTGACTTCAGCAGTGCACAATCACTTTAATATGCGCCAAAACTTAATAACAACAATATGTGCACATGTAGACTTATTGTCAGAACCACATTTCATAAACGTAACTGGTGAAGATATGTTGTGAACCAGGTCTTAGTTAGCATAACAAAGAAAAGAAATTTGTTAAGGTCTGTGATGTGCAGTCTTCGGTGTTAGCAAACTGCTTTGCTGCGGCCATTAGTGCAGTACGGTTTGATTAGCATTCATTGAAGCACTTCACGAATATTCGATTTATTACTTTGTTTTGTCGCGTTAACGCATATCTTCTACGAGTAAATAATGGTCTTTTTCAAGAATAAAGTAAGATTATATGCTGTTAGGTTACTCAGGTTAATTTGCAGCAGGCCAAATCGAAGCCTACTTTTATGACTGCCCGTACATTCGCGTTTAAAAAAGCCATTTCGAGAAAAAAAATTCGCCAAGACTATATTATTCAACCACTTAGCGACTGTAAAAATCGGAAACAGGACAGCTACGCTTTGAAATAGTTGTTTTTTCATTGGTGTAGATACTCCCAACAAGTTGAACGATAATAATGAATAAATAAAATATCTAAGGAAACGGTTGTCCAAAAATATTGAGTTGATTAAGCCACACCCGTAATGTCATACACAAATGAAAATATGCATTATGAATTTAGTGATTGCAAACTGCTGCTGGAGACTCGTGCATTTTAGCCTGTCACCAGAAAGGCGCTCAGTGACACTGCATAAATTTGTCATTGGTGCACGCCGTACCCTTCAGTGAGACCTGATAATCTAATTGTCGGAGGAGGAGGAGGAGGCGGAGTGGGGGCAAGAAAAGGATAAAAAAACATGAAACACCCTTCATCCCTCTGGCAAGTGAGTGAGCAACTCCTTCCATGGGTCATGGCCGCCTTTCCCCCCAAAGAAAACGTGATATGAACATACATCACCTGACACGCAAGAAACCGTTTCTATTTATCTACAAATTAAGAAACCAAGTCAAACTACTGCAACTCTCAGACACACATGCTGACTTTTCTAAAAGCCAATTTTTTAACGTTATTAAATGATTATTTTAACTTATGTAGACTGTTGCAAGACTAGTAACTGAAGGATCTTGAAGAGGAAGTCGTGCTTATTAGTTATGTATTTTTGTCTGTGTACCTAAACAGAACAGCCTAAAATCCAAATAATTGCTAATCGAATCAGTTTATTAAATAACGTTAAATTGGCGACTTGGAGTTACAGGACAGAATCAACATTTCAATCAAGTCAAACAATAGGCCACGGTATTAAATCGGTGGGACTTCCTCTCTACACACTGGTTATAAGAGGCTACAGGCCAGAGAACGAATCCTAGAGGTCTCTACTACAGTACATGTAAGACAACACATGTGTTTATAAAAGGTCTTGGGAAAAAGTTTACACTACCCAACATTTACTCACTAACCGAAAATTGAATATTTATAACATCTGCCCTGTAGTTCAGTGTGAAAATTCTACCAAAAAGCGATGAAACTGTCTGAAATACCTCTCTTGGGTTCCAGTAAAAAGTCTTTGTAGAAAGTGCAATGTTAGACATTTAACTGCCTTATCATTAAGAGCTTTTTTACCTCAAAATAAAAACTATTTTATTACAAGCTGTTCTACAAATGCTATTTGAACAGTTAAACTAGGTTTGCTATATAGATGTCCACTTTGCATAGGATTCAGTCACGTTTCCACGTAGGTTCCTGGAGTTTTGGCTTCCTTTCCTTCAAAGCATACCAACGTGATCTTTTTACTCAATAACGTCTCCTTGCTTTGTACAAAACTGACACTTTGACCCCGTTTTGCTGGTTTCACACGAGTATTTTTAGCACTTGATTTTGCAAAAGAGGTGTATGTGGTTAGCTATTCCAACAGCCAATGAGTCTAGCGGAACCGGTCTGACTATTTTTTGACTAATTAAATATAGTTTAGACCAGATGAGAATGGATATATTATCAGCAGAATTACACAAAGAATAGCAGTATGAACTGGATGTTTGCCTCTCATTAGAACCTAAATCTACAAAAATTGGCAAGGTCATTGGTCCAGTCGATTTAATACGATGTTTGCACACCCATTTATCATAGCTCTCAAGTAAATCGGCCTGATGGTTCTTAGCGGATTTACCTACCAAAATTCCGCCCACTCACACAATACCAGGAGTTTTGAATGGGACATTGACTACTTAAAATGGCGTGCGCTCAGCCCATGTTATGCGATAAGTAATGCGTTAGTTTTTTAATGTATAATTTTACCTTGTCCTTGCCTACTTTTTCATGAAGCCTATTAGGGTAAATCGGAATTTCCCGTGTTTGTGTAAATAATTTTTGTGCATCACGCTCATGACAACTGAAGGTTGGGGTAGGCTTCAGCCACAAGTTGTCACAATTTATGATTGCAGGGTGTTTCAACAAATTAAATCTGCCATGGCAAAATTTTAATCCCATTTATAAGAAAGAGGTGACACCAAATTACTAATTGCCAAATGCTGTGAATGAAATAGGGATAAAGAGCAAGGAATTACACGAGGCACGGAAACTGGTTAAAGGAGTATCGGCCGCTGGTAGATTCGATGCTCTCTGCGTATACGCAGGGAACTCCGTGGATAATTTCTAAATGGACAGGTGGCTTTATACATTCTTTTACTTTTTTGAGTACTGTAGGACTTAATAGTAGCTGATGTACCACTTACATAAATTTTGAGACGAAATAACACATTTCGACAAGAAAAAATCAGAAATGACCATTTTCACACAGATAGCCCTTTAATTAGTCCTTTAATATCATTCTCACGTTTGGACAATGAGAATGGACAGCCTCCGTAAAACATGACAGCAGTCAGGTTTGGATGGAAAATGACCTGGTAAAACGAGCTAAACATGTTGTCTTTGGATATGGTACAAAATGCTCGTGTCCACGCTTGCTGCCGACGCATGTGCAAATATTGTAAGACTGATTGCATTGGCCGATCTCTGATAAGAATGGTTTTATAGGCGTATGGTACATTCTGAACCCAAAATGCAGACATAGTGTGAAGTTACCTATAGTTTAAATTTGAATAAGTTTCGAAAAGGCAAAATGTGGAATGAGATTATATCTTCATTTTTGACTGAATTTTGCATAATTTAAAGCACATGAGAGTCAATGCGTGCGCCGAGAAAATGTGGTTTTTCCCTAACCCCTTCTGAATATTTAGTTCACATGGAAATACTCTTATTGTGCATATAACGTCGCCTGCGGCTGAAGTCCGTCCGCAGCCTGGAAAGCAAAGTGCCGATAAAATTTAAAATAAAATAGAGGTTAACTTTTCGTTCCCACGTGCTCTAAATGATACCATTGTTTAACCTGAACTCTCTTTCGCCATCTGTAAAATGTTCTCGCCGAACCTGTTTCAACTAGAAAACCTAAGCCAAGAATTCTGATGGTGCTCACTACTTGGATTAGGGTTAGGAGGCTGTTAACGTTTTAAGCTAACCACTATGGCATAATCGAAATAGTAGAAACAAGAAATGTAGTACAGTGCTTTCTACTGAATGATCTGATAAGAATGAGCAGAATTCGAGGAAATGCATTTGTCAAGCAGACATTAACGTCATTTCTCAAAACCAGACAAGTCATCATTTCTAGCCTACCTTGTATGTGTTGGCAGTCTTTCATGATCATGGTAGTTTGTTTACTTAAGCTATGTGACAATCAGTGGGCATGCAAATAATGTAGCCAAAGGCAAGTTAGAGTCAAAAACGCAGCCATTAGAGCACATAAATATGATAGATCCTTTCATCTATTTCACTCTTTTAAACGTGGCAAGCCCGTTATGATTGCTTTGAGGGAAAAATGACTTACATTTCTTGAAGTCAATCAGGAGGTCAACACTATTGTTTTCGTAGATCTCTGTGGCAGATACAGCGAGACAGAAATGGACTGCCCGCTGCTGCATTCGGTCGTTCATCGCGTCGAACAGCCACTTGATGGCCGAGGGGACGAGGCCAAGGAGTGTTGTACACGAATCGTTTCCAATGAACCTTGAGACGTCCCCTAGAACGGAAAGATTGGATAAGCAGGAGCCAACTAGTTCTCCTCCAAATTTTTCACATAGTTTTGTGGGCAAATTGAAAAAAAAAACAAATTACAGGAGTAGGATTTCAAGTTTATGATCAAACGAAATCGATGCGTTTTATAAATAACGGTTGAATCAAATGCTTAGTGACAGGACGGAATGTAAATTGAAAGATTATAGAAGTAGAATGGTAAATACGGAGTCAAATTCACCATGTGCAGACAACTTTAAAGGAAGAAACCTGTCGTATGCCCAAATGCCATGAGTAAAGCCCTCCCCTTTAGACTCTGTTTTTGTAATTGTTTGGTATCAAAACACCGGCAATAGACTTGTGCATATTGCGTTGTACAAACAGCAAAGTGAAGCCTTTATATAAAAAGTGAGTGCCATGTTGTCGGATGCCTACAGATGACCTCCCACCAACCATTTTACGACCCTGTACTTTTGAGCTTTTACACCGCATTTATGTGCGGTTGACCAGTTTTATTTTAACTGCTGATTTAATTACCGACCTACCATCTTCATCCACGCCGTATCTGTTGCGGTTAACAACACTGGTTTAATTTGCATATGTCGGTAGGTCAACAGCGAGCAAAGGTTGACTTGTAAGTCGAAACACTATGTGTTGAAGTTCTGTCTGAATGAGTAAGTTACCTAAAACTTAGGTTAAGTTTCTTATTTGCATAGCTTAGCCGAAAACCATGACAACGATATTAACCTAGTAACTCGTTGAATCAAATCCAATCTTTGCCCTAGAAAGTTTTACAGATACAATCCCCTTCTGATCCTAATCGATTCTGGGAGTTCTGGTGCATCTCCGACAAACACAAAACAGCCAAAATCTTTACAATCATGCCAGGATTTTTCTCTATGAAACATGCCAGCCACCGTAGGCAGCAGTTAGATACCTATTTAATTTTGTGGAAGGTTTCGTCTTGGAATTCAAACTACAATCCCATCGTCTGACCAAATTTTAGCCAACAACCGGGTCATCACTTAGTGAATCTAGCATATTTAAATGAAAATCCTGGCGTCACAGACACTAGTGTCACACAATCCTGTGCACCGGTCGATGTGAGCGACTGAATCCTGGACTAAACCATTATTATTTTCAGTTTGTTCTTAGCCACAAAACCCTAAACATGTTTGGTCCTAGATTTAATTACTGATATTATTTTTTCCATCTAACATCTGTAATTTTGCGCCAGTGTTAGAAAGTATCAAAAGCGGTACAGATAGCGGTACTTATCTAAAAATCATCATACTTTTGCGTTGGAAATGTCAAAAAGACCACGCCGAACTTATCCAACGGTACTTTTTTTGCAAAAATATTGCAGTGGAGGAGTCAATTAATTTGGAATGAGCTGGCATAATCATTAAATTATATCTACACTATGTGCTAAACAAAATCAGTGGTAGTAATTTACCTGACTTGTAGGAGTGGCAATTCGGGGCACTTTGAAAGATGGATAAACTTTGATAAATCAAAGCACTTGAAGTAGTTACAAATATGCATACATTTAAAAGAGTATTAGTGGCGTTAACGCAGCAAGAACCCATCCAAAAATGTTTTGATGTTTGAAATTGAATATTATTGGATAAATAGAGCTAAATCCGAAGTACAGTGAAACACAAGACCTGACGGTGGTGTGTTTGGAATAGAAGCGGATAAATCCCGGTTGAACGGACAACACCGAGCGTTGCATTTTAATGGAAAATGATCGCCTGTTTCTTCATAAGCAGAAACAACAAGACAGGCGAATCAAAAACGTTTTGGAAGAACGACATGCTCTGAGAAATGATTGCACATCTACAGCCCCTGGTTTGGTCTGGTAATGTGATTTACCTATATTTACCTAAGGAAATCCCATTATAGCTAAGCATCAAAATAATCTTTAAGTCATGCAAGTCTTTCAATTTGCCATTTATGTAATTTTGCTGCTTCAACCAGCAAACCAGATTTCTTTACTAAACCTGACGTGGACGATGTGGTGCTTTGCAACATAGATGCTGTTCTGCTAACGTATTAAGTACAACTCATTGGAATGAATGCAATTAAAACATTTAAGCTTTGATCTGACGGCTCAACCGTTTCGCAATGAGTCGTTTTGTAATTTGAGTAATTGTTTTGGTTTTGTCACATTTTAAAGAGTTGGTTATGACTATTCTAGTTTGTAGTTTAAAAAAAAGCGTTTTCTGTAAACTAAAAAAATCAACAGTAACTTGGTTCCGATTTATAGAAGGTAGTCCCTGACGGAAATTAATTTAGTGAAAACATCGGTTTAATGATAGTGAGGCTGTCGAAAACATTGCGTGTTCCGAAATCCCACCACTAAATAGGCCGTGAACATTTAGAGAAGCAAAATATTTAGCAGTAAATGTTATATGAAAGTGCAATGAATTCATGGGTCTTTTTAGTGATGAAGACAAAGAGAAGAGAATATTAAATGTACGGTATAGCCAAATAGAAACACTGAGATGGTAGTAAATGCCCCCATTCTCTACATGCTAACATTTGGCTTTGCAATAATGTTTATTAGCCAACTAATAAATGTTTTAGGAGCAATTAAACATTTTTTTACTGCGGTCATAATTATTGTTTGTTCGAAGTTGCTGTGTCAGAATTGTCTAGGCCCACTAATACTAATCAAATAAAATTTGAAGTAGAGGGGGGTGCCTTAAAGGAGCATGCAGTATGGGTAATTTTTTCTTCAGTCTACCCACTAATTTCTAAACGCGCAATAAAGAGTTCTCTTAACACTCTCACCTATGTAAGATAATTAGCCACTTCTTTGAGTCGGTATTAAATCTTGTCCGCTGACTTATATAACAATTTACGGATTTGCTTTATGCCAACAGTTTGTGATAAAATAAACAGAAAACCATGTAATGAATTAATTTTAAATGGTACATTGTATGTAAACACACTTCTGGTTATTTTTAAAGTGTTAAAACTCATCCTCAGAAGGTAAACTTACGTCGACCGATGCTGTTGAGGTAGATAACACACCCATTGTTCCCGTTTACAAGAGATGACATTTGATCGCTAAGAACATTCACACAGAAATCACTCTAAAACATAAGGTAGAGTACAAGTAGGGGAAGGTTGAATGAATTTAGGGGATCTTCCTATGTTTTGTGACCTAAATCAACATGGATAATAAGCCACATTCTTCAAAATATTTGTGCACACATAGTAAATCCCAACAGAATACTAAAGGATACATCGTGTGCACCCAGAAGGATTAAATTAAAAAGAATATGTTCATGATGCAGTAAATGTTGGTTTCAGGAAATGGTTTGGAAAGTCAATTGGGATTTTCTTATTGGTGCAACTTCTTTCCCAAATGGGACTATGTAAAATTTAACTGAAATTAGACATTTGGGTAAGTAGAGCTACTTCTTCGTCCCAATGGAAACTTTAAGAGCATGCATGTACAAGCAACAACAATAAAGCACCGAATCGTCCTAAATATGCAGAATGACCCGTAAGACTCTACAAAATGAAACTGGACACTAATTCTAAGCAAACTTTGAGCATTATGCAAGTGCCGATGATACTTCGAATAATTTTCTGCATAAAAAATTTCTTGTAGTGAATATCTAGATATTTAGTTAAGTTTATTTGACACTAGACAATCTATGGAATTATCGTGGAATACATTATCAGTAGTAACAAATTAATGAACCATAAAGTGAATCTGCAGTTATAATAGTTAACAGCCTTTAACCCCACATTCTGCCTTGAGATGGCACTGCTTAGGGTCTGAACATTAAAACGAACCTATCATGGTTAAAGATTTTTTTAGAGAATTTGTGCCTGTAGACTATAGTTATACCTAACTTAATTAAAGTTAATCAAGAAATGATATCCTACAAAGTATGGATTGTGAAGACGATTGTTGATTGCTTTCGGAACACCTTACCATCGGTTCGTGGTTTGAGAAAGCTCCATTAAAAGGGAAATTTTTCGGCGCACTGGAGATGGCCCCCGGGTTCGGTGAGGAATCGGTGTCCGGACGCACGAGCTTGACTTGTCGCTCCTCCTCGTCAATCCACATGCATGGCTGGGCTATGGACAGCCCATCAATGTCGCTTGTCTCGTACGCGAAGACCAGTTTAGCCTAGAGACGACAGAGTGTTAAAAGAATCCTGTGAAATGGGGTGCAACATGTCCTTTTCAGTAAACGCAACACGCAGAGTAGTTTCTACGTACCATTCAAGGTCAAGCTCTTCCATTCATGATATTATCCCAACACTTGCTTTTTACAAATTCTCAGACTTACCATTACGAAAAAGGAAGTAGGACGCCGTGGGCAGTCTTCAGGTTTTCGGGGCTTCAAAACTATATGAAGCCATCAAATAGGGTGCAAAATTCTTTTCAGAAGTTCCAATTTTAGTAGATTTTATGGGACGTTATTAGCTACAACCATCTATAGCAACATTTAAGTACCAAAATACTGCCTGATTGCGAACAATGTTTACCTCACAAGTAAAATGTTTGAGCAAGATTTCTGCTCGCAGCTGTCCATTATGGTTGTCAAAAAACATTTTTATTGGCAAATTTAAAGACGCCTATTCTGACGACAACGACAACAACAACAAACTAAATATTTTACAAGGTAGCTTTCTGTCAATGAATTTAATAAAATTAGCCCTTTTACAAAACGGGTGTTCTTATTAGCTTTTTCCACACCTCAGTCAAAACCAGTGGCTTTATCTTTGCTCGTTACTGTGACTGCCTAGTTGCTGACAGCTTAAAACACTAGTTTTAAAATCAAACGTAATAAAGATTGATCCAGATGTAACCTAACGTTAGTAACTGCGCACAAATTAGGATTTATTGAGACAGAATTTCATTACATAATCTTTTTAAACTTCTTCAAATTTGCAATATCATATACAATTTAGATGCGACATCGTTGTTTAAATATGACCTTTTTTAAAATTATCCTCAAATCGCACCTTAAATATCCTTCACGTTTGTTACTTGTTGCTTGAGCACATCAATGGTGCATTTTGTATATCATAACCTGTACCTGATCTAGCTTTATCCCTAACTTTACCACCAGCCTAAGAGTTTCAGCAAAATTAAAACAATTACTGTAAACAGCCATCAAAATTAGTTTATAACTGACTGACAATATCTTGTAAATATCTGCTTTAAAAAACAGCACTGGTGGATTGTTTCGTTTCTTTATCCTAATTTCACACTTGCAATTTTCGTTTGCTTCATAATTAACGTATAACCGCTATGAGGGCAATAACTCACGATAAATGCGCCAAATATAAGGAAAGAGGAGGTTTTAAACAGGCTAAGAACAATCCTTAATTAGTTAGGATAACGCTAAACTGCAACATTTCGCCCTGGTAGAATATGTATTTTTGTAAAACACATAAATCTGCAAATAAAAAATTAAAGATTTTAATCGGTTGCACAATCATAAGTCTTGAGTTTAATCCTTATTTCTGACCATATTTCTTTCATTCCTAGACTAAATAACCTGCAAGTTCCTGTACTAGGCCGCCTGCCAGCGTGGTCATACCTTAGGATAAGCGGAAGAGAGGTTAGATTTCCTGGGTTCCTGAGGTAACGGAGTTGGTGGAGAATGGAGTAGGGTGTGCGCAAAATTGGCAGGAAGTCGACGAAATGCAGCACCCTCAAGATTGCCGATTCCTCCGGGGAGATCATCAGTCTGAACGCCTTGCTGTTTTCTCCTACAAAAGAGCTTAGTTTAGTTTACTCAAAAACTCCGGAAAGAGTCAATATCCCTTGGATAACTTTTTATTTATCAATGGTCTCATTTGCTCGCTTTAACTTTAATTTCATGTCCATTTAAGTGCATGTCTGCAGGTACACTCATCAATGCTGCCCACAAATTTACACCGAAATCTACCAGTCTGAACGGGGGCATTTTACCCTTACTTAAATTCTAAACTTCTAGTCATGGGGTGACCTCATAGAAATGACCAGTAAATACATCACTTTAAGGACGTAAATGAAACTTCTTTTGGTGTTACCCACAAACATTCTAAAGGCAATTATTTGAGTTGACTGCTACTGCCAGAGCTTTAGATGATCTACTTACTAAACGACAGTTTTGCAATACTTAAACTGAATTTGCCAAATAGAAATTGACGTTTTCAAAGTATCAGTCATTGAAAATGAGTTAAAGGAATAAGTCAATTCCTGAGAAATTGAAAATTGTTTAAACATCTGCGTTAACAAACAGACGTGAATACGGCAATATGCACACGTCTCAAGACGAGGTAGAGAGTTAAACTGGCAAATGTGCAAGGCATGAAGATACTAGTTTTTAAAAAAACACGTTAAATAGTGATATTTACACCTTCATCATGATTTTTTTGCATCAAATTTCAATTAACAGGAGTAAACACCTTAGTAAACCACTTTTCTAAGGTCATTAATCTTGATGAAGACTTGATCTATTTAATCCACCCCAGTTTGCCTAAACGAGTAGGATTGGGAGTAGCGACATTGAGTTGATGTTAAACCAGCACTTTTAATGCTTAGAAAAAGAAAAACTGACAATCTGAACCACATGGAAGCCATAGCAGAGATGTTGATCACGATTTTAATTTAAAGAAAGTCAGGATTCATTTGTTGGTTTGGCTGCAAACTTTCATGAAATGTTCTGAAATTAGTGGGGCATATTTTGACACTCATTTGCTGGCTCTCAAAGACCATGACCAATACCACACCGCAAACCAAGTCAGTTATTCAAAGAGTTAACTTTAGACACTATCCCAAATGTACCATCACTGATTTAAAATAAACCGAATCAAGTCTTCGACTCAAATAAACTCAAATATGGTCATTATATATCATGCTGCGCAGGATTCTCAGGATCTCCTGCATGACATCAATTTCTTGCATCTGCAACATAAAATGTGCTTACTTGCCACTATTGCACATTTAAATACGCGTCAATTAAAACTACTCAGTTAATAATGTAGTTTTATGTAATTTAACGTTGGCTTACCTCTGAGATTGATTCACTTCTGCCATAGGTTATTATATGTTTCCGAAAAGTGATGCGAAGAATTACACGAGAGCGAAATATTAGCCATTGCGGACTTAAACCCAAAATCATGCACATTAGAGTAAATCGTGCCTGGCATTCGCAAAGTTAGCTTAGGGAAAGTGTTCTCAAAAGAACAGCCGATGTTCCAAAACCTTGGTTAGATTGACCAAATATTTTCCAGGTTTCTTTTTATCCCTGGTTTTTTGGAGGACTGAAATACGAAGCGTCTTAGCTTGTGGCTTTTTCATGTTTGCTACAAGACAGCTGATTTTTGGGGCTGCTTGCATGGCATTTTAACTTAGCAATGATTTTAGTTTGTTTGCTTTGGGCTATACTCAGGAACCACCAGTTTACTTTTTCCAGACTCCTTGTATAGGTTGCAGACAATGTCTTATCGATAACCACTGACCCAGTTACCGCTGAGTTACTTTAGTTTCTACCCACCAGCTTAGTTGCACAATTTTGCAAAGTAATTACCTTTTCATTTCTATGACACATCCTTAGTAATTACCATGAGGATTCTCTGCTGCAGCCGGTTGATTCTTATCCTAATGGCAACCTCGAGCCCCATCCATAGCCCAAATATTTAAAAGGTGTCTGGTAGGGTCAATTTCTAGCAAAATGCTTGGCATTACTGATTTGCATCGACGTCTTTTGTCAGTAGTTTTCAGTGTGTTTGGAATGCAGCAGACGTTGTGCATTCATTAATTTTTCGTTTTATATAGTAAATTAGCGCCACTGGTTAAAGTAATTTCATTCTGATTACGCTGAACTATTGTTTGAGTGAGCCCCTAGTTGCGTTTCTTGGACTATTTGATTCTGTACTTTAATACTGAAGTTCAGTTAAATTAACCTCACACAAATAAATGCCATCTAGGAAAATTCAACTAAAGTAGGATGGAGTCCCCTTACTTTGTTTTCAAATGTCATCTTAATTTAAGAAGAGAAGATTTCTTGTAGAAGTATTTTGCAGGAATCAATCACATAGGTTGCATCAGAATGGTTTTTTTTGGTGTTTTTATATTATGCGGCATTAACACAATTTTCTGGATAACTTGGATACACTAAACACCAAAGATAAAGGGCCAAACTTACAGATTGCAATAGAACTTTGCAATTTTAAAAATTTGCTACATTCTTGAAATTTGGGTCAATGTTAAATAAATTGAAAACAAGAGGCCTAAATTAGCATTCGGAAATATGCAGGCATCTTTTAGTTGTTGGTGGTCAGTACTAAGGCTGTGCAGAGTCAGAGTGTCGTTAGTTCATATTTTAAATTTGATCAAGTGGTACGGGTCTTGGTGTTACGTACATCTGATGGCGTATAACTTGCCATCACGTTCCTCTTTATATCACGAGCTTGAATTTCAATAAAACCGCCATTTTACTTTTTTTTGAAAATGTTTGCAAAATATATTTGCTAAAACTGTAACAGAAACTAATTTAATTTGGTTGCATCACTTTACATATTTTGCCAGACTGTGATTAAGGCTCCTTTTACTTTGGGTAACTGTGCTGGAGACACGAAAGTAAAAACGACGGTGAATTATTAAGAGTTTATGTTACACTATTACGACAGCTCGGGAAAAGCGAATTCTTTCCATGTGTTTTGGTGTAATACATGTGCAAGGCATAACACCGCTGCCTTTTATCGCCACCCCCTAAAGCAGCTGTTCTAATTCTTCAGACATGGGTCGGACAAGAAAAACTGGACTTCGTATGTCAGGTTATGTAAGCGGGCACACTGTGTGGTGTCTTCAACAGCTGGTCATGCCCCTTGCTGAGTCATTCGCCAATGAGCCGCATCGCACGCCCCCTCCCCTCCCCGCCACCGCCCCCACCTCGGCCAGGCCGACCCGGTGATTGGCGGTGTCGCCCTTGGCCCCGACACCGATGATACTCTCGAAACGCGCATCTACCCTCTACTTTCTAGCTGCGGTCCTGACTACTTGCAGCCGATTCCTGCGAGCGCAATTTTAACTATGTGACATGTTCGATAGCATGTTAATTTTTGTTTTGGTCTGAGGAGGTAAACTCATTTAATTACAAGCTATGGACATAAACAAAAAAGGTATAAATCCTCCTTCCGACTAGCAATTTGCAATAGGCACCCTGAGTTACGTTTTGGTTACGACTCGAAAGTAAAGTGATTTGCACACACATTTAACATTTTCTGTAAAGCTACTGAATGCCAATAATTCGTTACAGACCTAAAGCTGTTAACTTATTTCAAACACAGAAAATTGCTGTGAATAAAGACAAGTAACCCGAACACGCCTAGGTAGCGTACTTGCCTATATTTTCCAATTATCGAATAATCATACCGAATTAAATACTCAACCCACTCTAAGGCGGCAGCTTAAATGCATGCAAATTGCACGAACAAAATAAAGCCTTTTCTATCATTGTTTATTTAAAGGTATTGCAATCTTATATGTGGAATCAACTTAAAAGAGCAAATGAGCTGATAACAGACTTCCAAAGCCTACTGTCTGGCCATCAGTACAAAACCGCAGCAAAGTTGTTCAAGGACACCCAAATCGCGTGACTAAGGCACATCAGAGTGCTGTTATCTGGGTGAGCGTTTTACCTTCGATAACACTTACATTGAAATCGGCCACAATCCTAAGGTTATACTTGGCATGCAACCAGAAATTCGTGTTGAAAACGCATTCAAAACTACAGCTGTGTACATACTTCAGAGTTGTGGTATACTTACTGTAAAATGAGTCGCTTGACCAAATCCGACCAGGTGAAGCGCCATTAGTTTTTGATTTAAACCTAAATTGCCATGTTTATATTTTAATAAGGCCATCCCTACTTAGTCCTTTATTTTTTTCCCTTCGCCTTAATGAATGCTGATGAAAAAATACAGAGTACTTGGCTTAATATTTGCAGCTAAAAATGAAAAATAATTTGTTGAAGGGAATATGTTGGTTCAAACTGATTTATACATAATGTACTGAGAGCCATATTCACTAATCCAATCAGTAAGGATTTTATAAGCCGAATCGTTCCATGTGCAATAATTTAACTAGTTTGTCTGATTCAGATTCCAAAATGAGTTGCTCTCAGGTATCCATTTACTGCAATGCAAGTTGAATCAGACATCCGTAGTCAAATTGATGTTTTCATTTGTAGCATGCGAAAATTTATTCCTAATTGGCGTACTTGTGCACACGTCTGGCCGACCTTGTCTGTTTCACTTAAGGACAAAGTTGCAACCGCTTAGCAGACGGACTAAATTTTAAGACTTCACGCTGTCTCACGAACTGACTTAGCTTTCTAAGGAATGATGATTAATACCGGAAAATCGTATGCATTTGATTGAGGTCTTAAAACTGTGCAATTAAATCAATTTTCGAAATATACCCAAATTAGAGCGATTCATTTAATTTCAAGCCAATTAAAATGACTCATTTAATATGGACACATAAACAAGACGTCATAACTCAACCTAACGTAGGATTCATCTTACGGTTTAAAAGTGTTAAAATGACTAATAATTAAACCCACAATGCGTTTTGAACGGTACTAATAGAAAAGCACTATGCTGCTTTGTTTACGTAACAAATGTTAACACAGCTTATGAGCAAATTTTGATAGGAAGCAAGTTGAAACACTTATTTGCTCAATTATTGAGGCCATTTTCAATAAAACTATCTCAAAATTCAAAGAAGCCTGGACTTTGGTTACAAGCAGGTCATGGCTTTAGCACATAATTTAGTATTTCAGTTATCTAAGTAACGCTATTTGATTATTCTGACTAAAGTAAGTTGAAGACAGTGTTGCATCATTGGAATCATCATAAAGTGTCATCTTTTAATCAATTTTTGCCTAAATACCTCATAATTTCCTTTAATTACAAAGTTAAAAGTGTCTGAAAATGTTGAAAACCTGACAAACCAGAATATTTTAAAATGGTGTAGTGATTTCTATCATTTGAAGTTATTCGATCAAAGTTTGAAGTTATGGAAGAAAGGTTTGTGTGACTTCAAACCAATTAATTCGGACTAGTTACTTTAAAAACATTGTGGGTAACCGTGAAATTTATCCATTGCGAGCAACTACGTGAAAAGGAAAACCGAAATGACTCATATTCAGCAATAATACAAAGAGTGCCATTGAACGCACACACCCCTTAACCGTTCGAGTACGAGAAAGACCTTCTGCTTTCATGACACTTTTTAGATATCTTTAGGTTCCGGGTTCTTTCACCGGGTTTCTGTAAATCATGACAGATTTTTAGATTTGACAGTGACACGACAGTCAATAATTTAGTAAATAGCTGTCGAGGCAAGGATTTGTTTTTCTGCCAATGAAATTAATGTATTTAGCAGCTATTGTTTTGACGTCACTATCGTTGTCGTATCACCTGCTAAGCACTTATATCAGAGAAATTAAAAGCTTGTAAGTGCCTCTATCACATTATTCAGGCCATTAGAATTCAAATTGTTGAAACAATGGATTTTTGCACCTTATTTTAAATATTCACCAATTTGAAAAAGGTGGGGATATTTTTTTAGCTGAATGTGGGGGTGACCACGCTCGAATCCCACATAGATGTCAAAATTCATTTAATTGTACTGAGTGGCATTTTTACGTATTTCCTTAAATTTTAAATTGCCTTGCCACAAAAGCGTTACCTTAATTTCTGCTATTTATTCATGTAAAATGCACAACTTCTTCCAGTGCAAGACACGTTTGCTATTTTAATACATTTTTGGCATTCAATAAAACCTTAAAGACAGATCTGATGTCTTAACCGAAGGGATTATAGGTTCCCCGAGGCTAATCAAGCAGCTGCTTTCACAAATTAAAATGCAACTTTGAAAATCTCCGTCGCAGACCAGTTTCTTTCTAATCGGCATTTGACACCAGTGGCTCGAATTTTAAGATTGCATTTCAACGTGCCTCAATTTATTATTGTTACGGAAAGAAGAATTCTTTGATCATGATTAAATGCATGGGAAGCGTAATTACC